TTATGGCCAGTTAGAGGAGCGTGGGAGTGATTATTTTCTGAAATACATTGTAAACATGAAGAGGAGTTTAACTACAGATCAATGCTGGATTGTAATGTTCCTCTTGTATTAGACCAGGTAAACTCATTAAAGTTTGGATTTTAAAAAATGCCATGCATCTCTTACTGATACTTCTTGGCTCATAAATTGAGTGGCTTTAAAAAAAATCATTTTTGAAAAACTCTACCTGGAATCCTGTCTATCCCATCATTTGGAGCATCATTAAAGTCTCCTCCTATAATCACGAATGCCTCTTTATTTTTACTTTGTAATTCCCTTCATTTGGATAAGATTTATTTACATATTAGGAAAAAAGCATTATCCAGTTTGCATATCACAATACACCATCTATAAGAATCGTAGGTTTCTAAGATATCACCTGTAAATCTATTGAACAGTAGTGCTACACCTGCGGAATTCTGTGACAATTCTAGGACAAAAGTAAGCTTGTTCACCGCATTGACTTTTACTAAACGTACTCTCCATGTCGCCAAAGTGTGTTTCTTGTTTGGAGGATAATATTGGCATTTTTTTTCGAAGAACTGGAAGTCATTCATTTTCGATAAAAAAAAGTCAAAGATAAAAATATGAGGGGACAATGTTTGAGGAAAACGAAATAAGAAAACTAAAGCCTTAGAAAATAGGCTTGCTTTTTTTAGTTTAAGTTTTGGCACCATTAACCAATTTAAGTACCTATGATTGGAAGGCAATGAGTAACACATTTGTCTAACAATCTAATCTAATCTAATCCTTGTTTTCCTTTGTTTTTTTCCTGTTTCAGAGCTGAAAAACAGAGATAGGGTGGAACCTATGGATTCCTCAGACATCTTTCCCCGTAAAATAAATCAGAATTTAAAGTCTTTTTGAATTGTACAATGTCTATTTTTGCATTACATATACATTTCCTTTTTATGCCTCCATTTGAAATTTCTAATTTTCCTAGCTACATGTAAAGAATAGTTGGGTGGATCGAAAAAATGCGCACAATATTTTATAATCAGTAATCAATACGTTTTTGGGTTTGTGAAAACCCAGGGTGAGAACAGAGGAAATGTAGACAAAATGAAGACATAAGACTTGCAGTTCATCAAACTGCAGACAGATGTCCCTCTTTGCTTTGAAATCCTTTGTTTTCCATTCAGTCTAGCTGAAACTCTTTCATTAAAAGGCATATAATTTATGTTAATCAGAAAAAAAGGTTACATTTATGTTTATTACAGGAGTAATTTCATAAAGTTCTGTATGGATACAGTGTGAAGGGACAATTTGTGAGAGAACATGGCTGTATACAGCTGCTTTCATTTATTCAAATTTGTATGAATACAATCTAAGCGCGATCCTATTTATGTTTTTGTTAAATACATAGGAAGGTTGACTTATTTCAATTTATAATTCATTCCTAGTCTGGAAACGCCCCCCTCTTTTGCATTAAGCCCTCCATCCTGTCCTCATCCCTCTTTTATTCGTCTTTCTGAGTGCCAGAACTCCTCAACAAATATTTGAGTCACATCAGAGTTCTGAGAGCAAAGTAGATGAGGACTCAGCTCAGCAACTGACAGCACAATGCTGTCCCATGTGTTTTCAGGTTCACCAATGGGAGATTTTCAGGCCTGCAAGAAGGAAAACTTAAACCTTCGGCCTGATGAAATGGTGGGGTCTAATGCTGCAGCTGGCAGCTTTGTTTGTGGGAGTCTGTGACAAACACAAGGCTCCTGAACAGGGGGATGGGTTCACATCACAGACGAAAGATGAGGTCCCCAAATCCCATTTGAGGATCACTCACCTGATCCACGGTGTGATGGAAAACAGGAGGAGTCTGTGGAGTTAACCACCGTCAAATTTGATCTGTTTTAGAATTGTTTATTGGGTTATGAAATGCTGTGAGATTGTGATTTGAGGATATTGTGCTAAACTTATGTTGTTGTTATTGTATCTTGTATTCTTGTTCCTCGGACCATAACGATTAGCCATGAACTTTTTTTTCAAATTGAATTCATCAGAAAAGGAAACACTGATGTTGTCTTTATGTCTTGATCTGTTAATATTTTCTTTTTTTTTTCTTTTTCTATTTTATCTCACAGTTCAATCTAGCACCTTATGGATGCATTAGCCAGAAGGACATGCAGATTTGGAATGCCAGGAGGGACAGCCTGTGGAGGGAAGTCATAACTTTGCAGAAAGAGCGGGATGATCTGGAGAGTCAACAAGGAGCCTTGCAGCTCCAGATGAACCTGGTTATGCATATTGTGAAGTTCCTGACTGAATTGAAATCCAGAGGTTGGACTCAGCTTGACATCAGTACCATGGAGGTGAGCAATGAAAAATAACTTAAACAATGCAACAATCATTAGAAATCTAGCTTGGTGACATTAAAACCTACATAAGAAAAAATATATAACCCTAAATGATCAAAATCTAGTTTAAAGCTTGTTGATCAGAAAAAAAATCACTAGGACTCCAGAACTAAGTTTTTCTTCACTATAAACTATTATGATCTATTTTCCTTAAATAAACAGGTATATGTCCACTGAAATTGTTAGATGTGCCAATTTTTAGCTTAAGTGTCTTTGTCCAAGTGTCTTATCAACAAGTAGGCCAGACAGCTCACCACAGAGGCTTAACCGTGAGACAGAATCATCAATCGGCACTTGCGACTGATTGAACAAATGGAGAAACAGCTATTTTCGGGTTTGATGCTCACACTTTTAAAATGTTGCGCCCATCTCCTTTTCAGAGGGTTGTTCAGAGGGTAGAGTTGATCGATTGAATTCAATTTACTGAATTAACTATCATCATATTGACAGGTATTCATAAATCCAGTGAACAAGGGAACATTTCTGATAATTAATTGATCTTCGGACTTGTTGTGCCACCAGGTTGTCAGATGTATTCCAAAACCCGGAAAATATGTCTTGGTTTTAAGATAATCGAACCAAGATGAATATTTTCCAGACAAAACCCCACAAAACATTACTTTGGAGCTTTTGTTGCAAATTATAGGAACAGATTATATCTCAACTGGATTCTCATTGTCCAAAACTCAGAGTAACTAAATGATGCACCTTCCAAGGCTCCAAGCTTTTTGTTAAATCAGTAAAAGTCATAAATCTACTTGCCCGTTTTAGTGTGACAACTAACAGTAATTATGCATTCAGTTAAATCACTAGTTCTAAGCTGTTCCCCTTGGTTCATCTCTTGTGACTTTAAGGACCTCCCAGTGATTTGGAGATTACACTTTTGCCTTTGTGCATATTAGAGAATGCTTTGACATTTAAATACCAGCCCCAATAAATTGTATTTAAGTTCTAGTTTGAGTACATGGACATCATGTTTGTGACTATTTAAACATGTGACCATTTTGGCACGTTCAGTTTTAGCTTAAACAGTGTCACAAAGCTGTGATTATGTTTCTTGCCTTTCGTTTGCTGTGTGTGTGTTTCTTGCCTGTAGTCTTGTTCTTGCGTTCTTTTTCATTATCTATTTTCATCTTTTACTTTGAAACCTAAACATGGATGATCACTTAATATATATCAAATGTATCTCAATTTTTTATTATTATTTGAAGATGTTGTGGCTTATTTGTAAAAAATATTCTAATGTTTGTTTGCCCTGGGAGCCTTTAAGCTGTGCTGAGGTCACATGTTCGTTGTGAGTGTGTCTTTGGAGTACAGCTGCATCGACACAATGACTGAACCTCATCAGCAGTTAGAGTTAAAATGACTTTTTAAAGTTTACCGAGAAAACTGCTGGTGTATGCATGTTCCTCAACCATTTTAAACCTCCCCACAACGTTTTGAATCACCTTTTACTTTCTGCCTCACCACATCTTTGAATATGCTTACTTCTGAGTTCAATATTTTCATTGAAAAACTGCCAATAAACATGTGAATTAAATAAGGTTGTGAAACATTAAAACCTGATTTAACTAACTTTTTCAGAGCCAAAGCATGAAAAACAGTGGTATTATCTATTAGTATTCAAGCTTCTCCTGCAGTACTGAATCTACATACTGCAAACAAATGTGTGTATGGCAGTTATGCCACAAACACTGTGTCAGAAACTTCAGGAAATCATTGTGTCATTGCTAGTATGTGCAATTCGGACGCTTAGTCTTAATGTTATGGGTCTATCTTCCTCAATATTGTGGTTGATGATGGTGGTGAAACACACTGAGAAGATAATTTGCACATACACACCAAAAAAGGAAGGACACTTTCATGACACTTCTAACTTTAAACAAACCATCTCAGGGCTTAATCACCTTAATGTGAATTTCAATGTATTCCTTTGGTTTAATTCACTAGCCACAGTTTTGGAATTGAATAATTTGAAAACTTGTCAAAATTGTTTTTTAAGTAATTGGATTATCATAGCCTCGAATTAGACAGTATCTCTGAAGTGCCACAATTTTCTGGGCTTTGGTGTTAACGTTCTAAACAAATATAGATAAAAGTTACTTGAATTTAAAATAAAACAGATTGTAGTAGTATTCTTTTTTGCAGACTACTGAACCTCTGCTCTTCTCCCATTCAGAAAGCCTCTGGCTCCCCTGTGTAGAAAAGAATTGTGTTCTACAAACCCTTTTCTATTTTTGTACAACTTGCATTTTGAGCCGTTTGTTGCCCAAAGTATTTGACTAATTGTGTTCTTCAACTTTTTGGTACTTGGGATGTATATTCAAGCAGCTTTAATTTTGCAGCATATATTTTGTAACCTCTGACCCTTGTGTCTTGCTCACTAATCAATCCAGTCTTCAACAAAGGAAAACAAATAGTGGTTTTGAAGCTTTTGCGTGTGTCATTTGCCACTTAACTACAATATTTAACTTACTAATGCTAACAATATTTTTCCACAAACCGCTCATTGTAATAGAATATCTTTAACTCAGACAACGACTGACGTGGCCACCTAGGATAAACGCAATGGGTAGGCGGAGAAAGGCATACAGAGATAGGGAGGGCGAGAAGGGAAGTGGTGAGGATGCTCTAAAGTCGTCATCGTGTCACTTTGCTCATCATTTCACTGCATTCACACGCGCTTTTTTTTGTTTTTTCTCTGACCAGGAGTCATCATAACCTTCACAGCAAGATGACTGCTAAGGTAGGACACCAGTTAATCCACTCTGTACTGCACCCAACTTTAATTTCAACCTCTATGGCAGCGTTAAGGTGCGCTTATTATGGGAAGGTGAAGAGCTGATAACATCATAAGAGGAAATCAGCTCCACTTCCCCTTAGTCAGAGAAAGAAAGTAAAATGTCTGCAGCAGGCTTGAAAGGAGCTCCAGTCATTTACATGCATGCAAAGAAGCTGCGGTGTGCATGCTGTGCTGAGAGTGTGCAGTGTTAAATATTTACCTTCCTTTACCTGACCGAATCAACTTAAACACTTTGTGTGTAGCACACACCCAGCTCGAAGTAGAACAGGTTGTCCAAAGAGTGTTTATTTGTTTTACAACAGCTTTAAAGATCTTCAGATTAAACTTCTGGGCGAATTAGGATGGTTTAGTTAGTAGTGTTGTTCAAATCTGCTGCAGTTTCTGGTCTACTTGTTCAGTATTTATTGTTATGTGCTACCATCATGATTATTTAAATCACGCGGTGATGTTTGGAGAAACCCAACATCATGGATGGATTTCAGTTTATTCAAATTAGTGTTCAAGTTGGTATAACTACATGCGTAAAGGGTTTGATTTGATTCATGATTTAAATACATGATTGATTACTTTTTGTTCTAGTCTACATGCTAAAAACACGGCATGTAGGTTACCTTAAGAACTTACATTTATTCAAACTCTGTCATAACCATCACTTTGAACATAGCTTTAATGCTTGTGTTGGATGAAACTTCTTCTGTAAAGTTTCACGAGGTGTATGAGGTTTAAAAATTGAAAAGAAAGCTCTGTTTTCATTTGAAAAGAACACAGAAAAACATGAAGTAATCAATAGCATCATTACATACTTTACCTGGATGAATGGCAGCCAAGTCCTGCAACATCTGATACACAAAAAACAAGATGTCTGAACTTAAGTACTTTGAAAGCAGAGTTGAGTCATGCATGTGTTCTTTTATAGGAAGTGTTTCATCACCGAATATAATAACTTTAGATCTCAGTTACTTCTTAGTCAAGAAGCCTCAAGATAAAAAACAATATTGGTGGGAATAAAATAATTGAAAAGATGGAGTCTTTTTCATTAGCTGACACACACCTATTATTTTTATTTATTTGATGACCTATTGTTATTTTATGGTAATATTTCAATACAGACAATCAAATCATTAAAATAAATAAAATATAATCAAATTGGGAGGTTTATAGTTGTGAGAATATTCAACACAACCCCTCAGTTTATGCTGGTCTACAAAACTAAGTGATTGTCCAACTTTTTGTGATTATGTTAAATTAAATCAGATATGTACACAAAGTGATTAAATATATCTTTTAAACATATATTTTCATTTCACGCGTGGCGTTGGATCACAGGAAATAATCTAACAAACACGGCATGAACATCTAATAAATCTTTTTCATTACCCTAGCCGTCTGATCACTAATTAAAACAAGATGACGTTTTCACATGTCTGTTTATGTCTCTAGCCTCTTGTTCAAATATGCAAACATCCTGTAAGCTGCAAGACAGCTCCCTGAAAACAACGTTCATCTTCAAGACCCCCCACCCGTGACCCACTTCTGTTCTCCTTGAGTCAGGCCCACAATACCACATCCTGAAGGAGGGCTTAAAATAAAGGGGTTCATCTAACAATCAGTTCTACTGATTGCCAATGTGCTCATAACAAAACATGTCTGAGAAGGACAAAAAACAACATTCCCACCATGCCTTCTTAAAAAAGCCAACCTTTGCTTGCCTGTATAGGTGATTGAAACGGCAAAAGCATTTCAGTTTGGAAACGTTTAAGGCCACATCTGTCCATAATTTTTACATTTTGGCACAGAATATGAATTTATTTATTTTTGAGCCTTCTTTAATTGGCTATGCAGACCATGCCAATTCAAAATCCCCCTACATAGTAACAAAGCTCTGGATCTATGTGGTCAAGCATTCCTCCAATTAAACTTTTTTTTAAGAATTAGGCATATATATATTTACTGTTGCATCTATCTTTTATCTAAAATTACATACAGTATATACTGTATTTGCCAAGATATAGACTGAAATATGTTCTGGTGGACTCAAATGATCTCTTATTGAAACCTTTCAGAAGATAATGCCCCTTCCAGAAAGGCTACCTAATGCTCCTTAATGAGCTTTGTTTTGTGTACGGTTGCATTTTGATACACACCGTCCCTGTTGTGTGAGGTTGAGTGTTAAAGTATGAACGCACTGTGCTTGTTATGAAAGAGAAGAATTTAGTACGTAATTTTAAAACCCTTCTTAATGAGGATCAAGGATTATTGAGTTGTTAAAGACGCACATAAACAACAAGGAGTCTCAAAACTGAGCAGAAGTCCAGACAGAAAGGTTGTATTTGAAGAGGACAAACTGACTGAAATTACTTCTAGGTTTCTAAGACTTAGACGTTAAAAGCAAAGTTCTGCCGGTGCAACTTGAGTAACCAGTCAAACCCATGCATTTTTTTTCATTGGCTGGCATGTGTTTTGCATTGACATTCATGCAAATGTGGCACATTGTGTAACTCTATACCAAACTTACAGGAGAGACGGGCCTAGGAAATGCATTTTCTGTGAAGTGAATTTGCTGTAAATCACTACACCTGCTTATTCAGTGCTGAGAGGAAAAAAGGAACTCAATCATCCTCAAAGTTGGAAGAAGAATAGCACAGCTTCCCTCCGATTTAGTTCTCTCAGTCTAAAAAAATGTCAACTGCCAGTGCTGACAGCGGAGGAAGAGGAACCAAAACTTCCAAAGTGTCAAAGGATCACAAAAAGGTGAGTGAGCATCAGTTTTCAACGATATGTGATTTTTAAAAAAGGAAAAAATCCTTACAAAATCATTGACATAGAAACTTAAAATGATAGTTTTTCTGATTTTATTTTTAAATTCTAATGAACTGGTATGATACTAAAATCTTATTTAAATCAATATCACATTCTCATATCCCAATATTTTGTCTTAACCAGCATATTTTATTCAAAATAGCATGTCATAGCATTTTTTCTTTACAAGTTTTTGTAAATACAAAAGCATAAAGCATATTGCGAGCATCTAGCGTCAGTTAAATAAAGAATAACACAAAGGCTACAAAACCCTGAGGTGGTAAATAACCTTGATTATTCATTACCTTCATTAGAACATTATTTTTACTTCAACTGACCACAACTGAATGCCATATAGGTTCATATTTGAGACAAATATTCCATATATAATACTCATTTAAGTACTTTTGTCAGTGAAACTGCCTCTGTACTTTTCATTTGAGAAAAGTTGGATCTTTCTGACTTTATAAAGATTGCTTCAAAGACTTCAATTGGTTTCTTCTTTTTCAATGACAAATCTATTATGTGTGTTTTAGCCACACTATCGTAAGTTTGACGGACAATTTTATATCTAAACTGATATCCGTTTCAAATATAGCATCAGGCATCACACTGAAATGATGGCGATCTTGGTCGTATTCCTGCTTGGTATTGTTATAGTGGCCTTTTTAGCAAGTTCAAACTGACTTCCCAAAGGCTTGTGGGAAATGATCATGGATTCTTACAAGATGAAAGCATGCAGGGTGTTGAAAGCATCTGCAGACAGCATTTACGAGTCCTGTTTATTTCACACATTCCTTAGAAGGTGTATGTTGCAAAGATGAGTATTGCCTATTGCAGTGATGAAGACTGAAAATGTGTTTTTCTTTCGTCTAATGTTGAGCCATATTTACAAAATTAACCTTCTTCTGTGTCTTCTTCCAAACAATTACAGCTTAAGTCATCAAGCAAAACAGAGACACCAAATCTCCAATAAAATTGTGCATAGAGTTTTTATACTTTCTTTTTTAATCATAGCCACTTGATTATCACTCTATTTGAATTGTTTTTGTGTATGTACTGCATTTCTGTCAGGTTAAATTCAGTGCTAGATTCAGTGCTTATAGATTTCCTGGCATGAATACAAAAATGACAAACTATGTGATAACAGGAAAAACACAGTATACAAATCTTTTAGAATATTTTCATACGTTCTTATAGCGCTTAACAAAGTTAGCTATAACACTGGTAGTGAGGGCTGTAAGATTAAACATTTGAAAGCAAGCTTTATTTTAAATAGTTAATTGTCCTGCCTGTCTGTTAGCATATATTTTACAAAAGATAAAGTAGAAGCTCAACCAGGCTGTACTCTAAGCAAGTTATCAGCTTAGGTTACTTGATATTTCATGTATTTCATACTGCTTAGCACTGAAAATACTAAATTCAACTGAGGGAAGATCACAAAATTCACAACATTTTATATTCAGGAAAACCATGGAATAACTCATGGGTCTTTCTTTCTTTCTAACTCTGTCAAACCAATATGTTTAACAGCCCACAGCAGCTGCCCTGAAAGGAGCCATCCAACTTGGAATTGGTTATGCAGTTGGAAATCTCAGCTCCAAACCAGATAGAGATGTGCTCATGCAGGACTTCTCTGTGGTTGAAAGTGTCTTCCTGCCCAGGTACAAACTTGTTCATTGTCAATGTTATGAACACTTTTAGAGCAAGTACAAAAACCTGTATATTAACATTACATCCATTTACACCAGTTCTAAATGGACTTTGTTCAGTGAGTACAAGTGAAATTGCAAGTTTTTATACCACATACAAAAAAATTCTGTAGCTTGTCTTACCTAATTTGCATCAAACTTAGCTCTTTTTTCTTTCTTTTTGGTAATTTTGAATTCCACATTTCAAGTAACTGGTTTGACTTCTCCTCTAAAGTTAAGTGGGTGGTTTGAAACTCCCAACACATTTTTCTGATGCTATTCATATACAAACAAATAACGAATAGGTAATAAATTGAGCATGATTATTTGAAATACAGTTATTTGAAAGACTATTCTAGAAAATGATTTTGTCATAGCTAGTACTGTTGAAATAAAAGTCTCACTTAAAAAGAAAAGATGTGACAACATGCATGTTTAGGTTTGGGGGAAAACCAATAAAGTGCGTCAGAAAAGCACATACTGTACTTCTGCATTCGTGTTTGTTCTCAGCAGACGAGATGTTGTAAGAGAAAGGTTCTCCCTTTATCCTTATTGTTAATGTTAATTTCTTTTCCACTATTCCTTCTACTGTAAGCGACTACGAAACTGTTTTCTTTTGCCAAGTCTAATAGAATATATGCAAACATTTGAAAAGGCCTTAATGAAATAAAAAGCTTCAAAACGTATTTTACCCTCTTTTCAGTGAAGGCAGCAACCTGACCCCAGCACATCATTACCCAGACTTTCGTCTGAAAACGTATGCCCCGCTGGCCTTTCGTTACTTTAGAGAACTTTTTGGCATCAAACCAGATGATTATTTGGTAAGAGTAAAAACTCAAACATAGCCAAACAGCACGAACACTCTCATTCGACACCATATGCTGTAACTCTCAAATCAAATGGTTGCAAAGTATTGTTTCATTGAGGCTGTCACATTCATTTGTATTTCAGTATTCCATCTGTAAAGAGCCTCTGATTGAGCTGTCTAACCCGGGCGCCAGCAGTTCCTGGTTCTACCTCACCAGCGATGACGAATTCATCATTAAGACGGTGCAGCACAAAGAGGCTGAGTTTTTACAGAAGCTGCTTCCTGGTTACTATATGGTGAGCTATTTCCTGCCGTAGCATTGGCTTTTACTTCACTTTCAACTGGCTGGAAAGGAGATGTAGACACCTCGTGGGGTTAAAAAACATAAATAGATGAAAAGAAACACAGTTTCCACTCTGTATTTAAACATTCAGTTTCTTTCTTACAAGAAATTGAATATATATATGACAATATATCCACCCTTTTCACTGTAGAATCTGAATCAGAACCCGAGGACGTTGCTGCCAAAGTTTTACGGTCTGTACTGCATCCAGTGTGGTGGTGTCACTATTCGTGTGGTGGTAATGAACAACGTGCTACCCCGGGCCATGAAGATGCACTACAAATATGACCTGAAGGGTTCCTCGTACAAACGTCGTGCCTCACGCAAAGAGCATTCCAAATCCTCTCCGACATTCAAAGACCTGGACTTCCAGGAGATGCACGAGGGGCTATACTTAGACCCGGAGACCTACAGTGCCATGATGAAGACCCTACAGAGGGACTGCCGGGTATGTTTACATGATAATCTTTTATGTATGAACACAGAATACATAGAGTATAAGTGGAAGGGCAAAAGAGTTACTACTTTTAATCTATTTCAGGGGGATGTAATACATCACATTAAAAAAAGAGATATCAGGTTTTTAGGTATGCTGTGATGGGCCAAAGCTTTGATTAAAAGTCATTTGTGTCTCTGTTACATGCTTAAAACAAAAATTTGATCACAGAATTGAACTGTGCATATCACATTGGTATTTCTATAGAAATCTTAGACAGTTCTGTAATGCTCAGAATGATGCACCATGCTAATCTTGCTCGACCGTTTCATTTTGGTTGTTTGTAATTCAATAAAAGTTCCCCGGGCCCATCGCTCCACAATACAGAGTTTCAGTAATAATCTTTTGGTTGTCCAATCATCTTATCATTCCAGGCCTAAGACCCCTTAACAGTGGGGTTTAACTCTTTGCTCATTGCTGTTCTGAGTTAAGCCGATGAGTGCTGCACAATTCTCCACTTTGATAACGTTATGCAACCACCGCCAGACAGAACTCTGAGCTGGGCCCTGCTCACACCATCTCTTGATGTTTTGATGACCACGTCAGTGCCTGTCTGTAATTTCATTAGTCAGAAACAACAGTGGCCCCCTTGATGAGGGATTAGCATCCAGCAGGGCAAAGCACCTGACAACAAATCAGCTGCATTTTTTGAGAACAAACTGGTCCATCTGGGTGAAATGCTTTTACTGGGCTGCTCCGGATAACTGCGGCGTGGTTGTGTGTGAGTTAGGTAACACGTTGCATGTTAAGAACTTCTTTGTCTACAGTAGTTACATTGTGACATCAAAAGAGATTGAGGTTTATAATTTCAGTGCATTCAGTTTTTTAGAAAAAGTTTAAATCTTTTTAAATTGTCGAACCAACAGAGAGATCAGATTGTTCATTTTTTCCAATCCAAAACTCACTATAAGAATTGGCTTATGGTATCCATGGTATTTCAAATTAATCTTTTCTAAAAAGAAAAGGAATTCTTGGGCTTCTGTAAATAACTTCAGAGTATGGTCTGACCTGCTCTGTTTGGAAAGTGCTGTAAAATAACTGTTGTTGTTATGTGACGTTATATAAATAAAACGAAATTGAATTTAATTAAAAATCTAAATACTCAGCAGTGTTGAAATAAAATAAGGTATTCGAAAAATGCCCAGAATAAAAACACTATATAACATGTGTGTGTGTTAGTCTCCCGTTCTTTTCTAACTTGCCTTTTTGAATTTCAGATAATTTTATTCTTCTAATTTGTCTCTGTCTCCCAACAGGTTCTAGAGAGCTTCAAAATCATGGACTATAGCCTCCTACTGGGGATTCATATGCTAGATAAAAAGTCTCTAGGCAGAGGAAACAGATGTGACAGCAAGAAAGGACAGAAGGTCCTTTACTCCACCGCCCTCGAGTCCATCCAGGGAAACGTGAAGGACCCAGACCCAGTGGCTGATGATGACACGTAAGCCAAAAACACATGCACTCCACACATGTCCTCCTACTTACAAACTGACCATATTATTTTATGCAAATGATGTCATGTGTCCTCAAATATGAACTTGATCCGTTGGTGGTGCTGAAAAAAATAAAAGCCTATGTCATAAATGTGTATAAGACATACTATTGAGAGTGTTTTAGGGGCAAAAAAGCTCTCCAATGAACCAGCCTACCTTTGTGGAAAAAAATACTTAAACCAATTCTTATTTTAGACTGGGTGGAATTCCTGCCAAACACAAAGATGAGAACCTTCTCATCTTTTTAGGAATCATCGACATTCTTCAGTCTTATAGGTGAGCTCATGATGTCTCGCTCCCACACAAACACACACAAACACAAAAACTTTTCAGGACACAAACAGGATTTTTCAGTGCATGCCTTTTGAGCTTTAGATAAGTTCAAAGAACACTCTGTGTTATGCATGGTTATGATAATTGTTTAAACTGTCTAAACTGTCCAATAAGGTACATAGTATAGGGTACAAAGAAGGGGGTGGTTAATTTAATTTAGTCTTTGGTTGAATTATAAAAACATCCATGCTGCTATCATTTACATATATTTTTTCTGTTAAAGCAGCCAGTTTAGACAATGTGTCAATTGAGGTCACTCCAAACATGGTGGTACTATGTCCTTTTAAAATCCGGATTTTATACAGAGCACGTCAACTGGGACAAATTGTTGCATTTAATACATTTAATACATTTGAATTTATATATATTTTATATATATATATATATACAGTATATTTGATCTTTTATTTTTTTTAAATATATTTATCATTTCAATTTGTAATATTTTTTTTTTTTCAGGTTTATCAAGAAGGTGGAGCACTCCTGGAAGGCTCTTGTACACGATGGGGTGTGCTTTATTTATTTATTAATTTCTTTCTTTCTATCTGTCTTTATCGTTTTACATTACATTTTTGCTGGTGTTTACATTATTGATTATGACTGTTTGTGTGTTTGTATCGTACATTTCAGGACACCGTATCGGTTCACAGGCCCGGTTTTTATGCGGACAGGTTTCTGAAATTCATGGGCACGACTGTATTCAAAAAGATGCATCGTAAGCCAATGACATAATATCAGCATTCTTCACCCTGCTTTTTTCAATCAGCTTTTTTTTAAATAGATTCTTTTGTGTGCCCTAGCTTTAAGAGGAACATCTTCCAAGAGAAAGAGGAATTCCCTTCACACGGCAAAGTCAGCCTCACAGGAGGTTTTGTCCCCACAGAAAGAGAAGGAAAAGGAGAAGAAGGAACACAAGAAGGCCCAAAGTATGGACAATCTGGATGGAAATTGTAAGCTCTGCATGGTTCTGTTAATATTGTCTGTCATTTTAAAGAGGAGGCTTTTTCTTGACTGTGCATTGATGTATTTGGTGCAACAGTTCACAGTTCCTCCAAACATCCAGATATTCTTCTGGAGTCTGCTTTGGCGCTTGAGTCCACCCAAAATGATGAAGAGGACCCTGAAAACAGGTACAACTCTCAGACTTTTACCTTTAACACATTCAGTCATTTTCAAATAATGGAATTACTGGACATTAATTTAGTTTTCTGACATAAACAGATTTATTGATGTTTTTTTCTTGAACAGGTCTTGCAAATGTCTGAAATGTTAGCTTCTTGGATACGTACATTTTAAGGGAAATTGTTGTCAAATAGAAACACAACAATCAAACATATTCAGACTGAATATGCTTTGTTAAAGTAGAAATTTAAATAAATCATTATAATTATATTGTGTTTTTATTCCACAGTGAAGCCAGACGGGCGTCCAGTTCAACAATTGCTCTGGACGATCCTCTGGCACCCCTCACCAGAAGCCAGTCAGACTCTGAACTCGATGTCTACTTGGTATGTAGTTTTATTTTCAGTAATCTGCATGACCATGAAGTAATGAAGGATTAATCGTAACTGATGATATGTAATCCATAATCAGACACAGTATTTCATTTACATATTACAACAGTAAGAGCCATTTATTTTTCTTTATATTTTTCAATCTTTTTGCCTGTTCCAATGACAGATACATTTAGATTTGAATTGAAATAATTACAATATTATTCAAATGGTATTTTTTGAAATCCTGATTTTTACTTTATATGTACTATAATTACCTGATATCTTTACCTGATGAAAAAAATCAAAAGAAAATTTGACTACTGGATAAAATCATTGTATCTGAACATCTAAGTCTATCACATTCATCCATCCACTTTCTATTCCATTCCATCCTCCTCGGGTTACAAAGAGCGGCTGGAGCCTACCGCGACTATCATCATAGACCTTAGTCTATTTAACTAAACTCAGTTGGGCTCACCCACTTAGATAATGAGACTGATAGTGGAATTTCCTTTTGTGTTTTTGTTTAGTTATTTAAAAACTGAATAGATCTAGCTGGTAGGTACAAGTAAAAGAAGAGAGTAGTTAGAACAGAGAGTAATTAAATAAGTTGTCTTTGTGTGTGACAAGTCATTAAGCCTTAATACCCACTGAAAAGGTACATGCTCACTAACTGGAACCATAGAGTTTTTGGAAAAAGCAAGCATGGCCATTGTGACATATTTCATAGATTTGTAAATGCTTTTTTGAAACCTCAAGCACAGAGCTTAGCTTTCACCAATATTGTATTTTCAACCATTTTTGACCATATTTGGTAATGAGGTGTGAGTGTTTTCCCACTTCTCATCTTTTACACACATTCATCTTTTACACACAAAAGAGCTTCTTTTCTTGAGGGAAAAAAACTATACAACTGGTACACTAAAACAAGATGATCTGGTCATCTGAAATGTTTTTTTTTTTTTAAGATTTTGTTGGCTGTAGTGGCCTTTAATGACAGTAGCTTGACAGGAAGGGGGGCAGAGATAGAGAGGGGGAGACCTGCGGGAAAGGGCCATGGGCTGGAATCGAACCCAGGCCGCCCGCTCTAGCCATTAGGCTACGCTGCGGCCCTGAAATGTTTTGTTTTAAAAGAACCTCGGATGGTTTGGAAAAAATATTCTGAAGCGCTAGGTCTTAAATTATGCTCATACAATATTTCAGCATGACCTCAGGGCCATTGGATGTTTCTGCATTTTCAGCATCACACATATTCCCCCAGTCCACTCAGCTGGAGTTAACCAGTTGTGTATGCATCCATAAAATATAAGCAGCAAATAACATCCATATATTTGCAGCGTTGCTTCATTAAAGGATGCTTTCATTAAAAAACAGAAACATGTAGACTGCATATAGTGAGTCACAAGCACAAGCTGTCCTTAAAATTTTAAAACAGATTGTTACAAGAGTTGATCTTCCATCTGATCGCATGTAATTTATTTAATTGTCTTGGAAGTTTCTGAGTTGATGGTGGTGACTTAGGGCATCCAGGGACATTTACGCAGTATGTGCTCAGTCTTTTTCTATCCTCTCCAACCTCGCCCCATACACTCGTAACAGTCTGAGAACCCTCCATGAATTCCCTTTTCCACAGCACTTCGCTTACATAACCTCAAAATCCTAATTCAGGCTTATATGAAGCTGTTCCTCAGCCCACATTAAGCAGTCAGGCTCTTTGGGAAGCCTGCAGATGTCGGAGTTAATCTGATCTAAAACAGAGCACTCCAGGATTCAAAAGCTGTAAAGTTGGAAAAGACGTACATTGGGGCACAAAACAGAAGCAAATATTGGTAGGGAATAGAAAGGTGATCCACATATATAACTGGTGTGAAGAAATTGCTGTTATGGTTGATTTGTACAAAAACGTTTGGGCACAAGGGGGAGACATTTACTAAATTAGTAAATAAAAAATAATAGAATTTTTTAATATTTTTATCATTTCACACAGAATAGCAGCCTGGAATTGACAAAAGATAAACAGCTAAAATGAGGAAAGAAAGGCTAAATAATAATCCTTTGTGTTTTATGAGATTTGTATGAAATCACTTAGTATTAAATCAGTCTTAATTAGTTTTACCCTGAGCATTTGTCCTGTCTTTTTTTATCCTAGTGAGAAGCCACCTGAACTCATGAAGCACAACATAATGACATCAGGACCTCAACGCAACTACAAGCCAGCATCATCATGTGTCATTTTGTCTCCTCGAAAGAAGAGGCAGGCAATATGCAAACTCCTTTGAAATCCCATTATTATCCTTCTCAGACTGAGTTACAGATTGTATGTTAGCTTATTGAACCAATATTATGATGTATGAAAATAAAAACACTATGGCGCTGCTTCTTCTAACTTCCCGATATTGTTCACTTTGCTGCTAGATGAGACTTTAAGTTTTTTCCTGTTCTTGCTTCCTTGTATTGGCTAATTATGTTCAAAGTGTTTAGATTTCCATGTGGCTGGATCCCTAAGGAATTCAAACATATGTTCAGATAAAGGAAAAATAATTATTATTTCTGTTATTTTCAAATCAGGTTATATTCAGTAATGTTAAGAGATTGTTTTTGTTTCAAATTATTTGTATGGAAATGTAGATTGGGCTGCTGTGCATCCCTTTATAATGTATTTGAATTTGTCACACTGTGTACATTGAGAACATATGCATGCTATGTTGGAAAAATCCCAGTTTCCATTTTGAGTAAAGAAAATTGAGACTGTGGAAAAATTCCCAAAAAGTTAGGTTATTTTCTGATTGACAAAAAATGTTATCTTGACATGTAAAGCCTTTAGATCATCAGTATGTTAGCGATTTAAGCATGGTGGCCTTTAACTTCTGCCTTGGCTGCATTTTGCAACTAGTGCTGATTGGCATTGTGCGTTAGCTGTTAGCATGGCTAAATGTAATATTAAATTAAGCTAGCAGCACCATTGTGACTGTGGTACAGCTTCACAGAGCTGCTGTATGGCAAGACTTCCTGTTTAAGCATTCAACATACTTTAAGAAAAATAGATATGTCATAATTATTATCATTATTATTTCCAGATGTTGTCTGTGGGGTGGCTAAGTGTGGTGTTGCCTCACAGCAGGAGGGTTGTTCGTTCTGGGGGCTTTTTGTGTAAAGTTTCAATGTTCTCTCTGTGTATGCGTGGGTTTTACATGGGTACTCTTATTTCTTCCTACAGTACAAAACAGGTATAGTAGGCTGACTAGAGACTCTAAGTTGATCCTAGGAGTGAATGTGAGTGTGTGAGAACGTTTGTTTCTATTGTATGAACTGGTAACTGGTATAGCAAATAGATGGATGATCTTTTCTCAAACAACATTTATATGGTAAATCAGTTCAGTAAGTGAACTTTCTTTATGTACACCCACATATTTTTGTGTGATTTCTGTAGGCCGACAGTTGTAAATGTGCTTGTATTTGGTAAATAAATTGACATTTAACATCTTTGTGTTGATCTTCCTGTTTTTGCTGAAAGCGTTGTAAGCTTAAACCTGACCATTCATCCTGCAGTTATAAAAAAAATATTAAATGTGTGTCCAGTAAAATGTTTATGTTCTGTCTCTGTAGGAGAAATCTGTTCAAACTGTGTCTGCCAATGAGAGAGCAAATAAATGAAAGAATATATTGCACAAAGATAAAAAATCTGTAGGAGAAAAAAAAAGACTTGCGATTGAGTTCTTGTATGATTCAATATGATTTTCTGGAGGCATATTTGGTTTTTCCTTGCAGGTTTAATCTCGTATTCACAGTGTTTAGTTACAGAATTCTCAGAACGTTTCTGTTTTCCAGCAGTAAACAGAATAGGTTATTCATGCCAGAGGCTTTGTCTTGGACTGGTGGAACCAGTTACACAGGTTTCTTTTAGACCATAAACATGAATTATTTGCAGCATGAGGCGTAATAATACAATGTGTGCACAGGTGGCATTGCTGTACAGTAAATGTGCTGTTCTTATTAAGTCTAACAGGGAAGCATCTATGGTTCAAGTTTATAAAAGTGTTGTAGATCAAAGTTGTGGAAGAAACCCTTTGAAGGTGGGTATCCACAATTTTTCAAATGAATCCATTTTTTTTACTACATTATCGTCTTTTCTGCAGTTGCATCTTAAATGTCTGGTTCCACCCTCATAACATTTTTTCGTGCCCTGAAAGTAATCTCATTAAATCTTTTGGTGTCATTTAACTGAGGTTTTTGTGTTAGCATAGCAGAGACTGTAAAAATGGAACTGGCCATGACAGACTCACAAAACATCCTCACCATAGCATCCAAGTCATGAAAGGGCTGGAGCTTTCACAGGAAAGGGAGTTGACTCTGGCCCTTCCGGCACAGGGCTGTGCATTCCTGATCCTGTTTCCTGTCTTGAGTAAACTCTCCAAGTCAACTCGCAGGCATTTCCCCCCTGTATCTTTTCCTCCATCTCTTCCAAAAAGGAGCAATGAGTGGTAAGAGTCTTGATAGCGATTAGTTCTTCTAATTTGTCGATGTTCAGTGTGTCGTCCACACCCTGCTATTCAGACTCATCCTCAATCTTATTGCATCAAAGACTTTTCATATAAGAGCTTTTCATGTGCCATATTAGAAATTACTTTTTTTTTTTGCGTTTCAATCCTAAGGAAAGAATGAGATGCAGCTAATGTGTTGGGACAAGTGCTACAGAGGCTTTCATTAAGTATTTATTAGGATTGACTATCTATAACATGTAAAATAATTTTAAATAATAAAAAGCTTATTGTGTTTTGCCAATGTTGTACATGTAGTGATCTGACTTTGCATTGGATGAATATGTTGTATTGTCAGAATTCTCTGGGTCAAGTCATTATTGTAAAGTACATTGATTAATTCTTAAACAAAAGGCCTATTTTTTTAACAATAGCAAATTTACATATTAAATGGGCTATTGTTTGTCATCACAATGCTATTGGATGGGAAAAAATGTATAATCTGATAATCTGACTTTGAACTCAGTCTACCTGCAAACTTCCCGCTGTAAAACCTGAATCATAATGCCCCAATTGAGAAACAGGATGTATGACTCGGTAGAATCATACTGCCAACCACACCTAAAAGCAGTCATGAAAGACACTAGAGTTCATCTTTCGATCTGTCTGCGCACATAGCACACCTGCAGCGCCAAAGCCACGCCCACATACCTGCGAGAACCAGGAAATAACGTTACATGGTCTCAACCAAAACATTCATTCGACACTTTTCTCGGCAAAAAGACCACTACGTCGTCGCTTTTCTTTCCAAATTGCGGTGGAAGTTCGAAAAAGAGACCTGCGTCCTCTAGAGAAGGGGATACGTTCGTAGTTTCACCTGGTAAGTAGGCCTAGTTTCGTCCGCCCTAAAAGTAGTCCTGTTTTCACCGTGTTGCTATGTCCGCCCTTCCCTATAAGGGCAGTTAACCGCTACCACTTTTTAAAATTTACGTATTTAACAACCCGTAGAGCATTTTAAACCATCATTGTATTGGTCTATGTATTGTTTTATGACTGTTCACCAAACACCTACTGTGGTACACCTTTTTTCAGGCCTCACTGTTAGTTAGTCCGTCCGCCACATGACAGTCGAGGTCTGTCTTTTTGTACAGTCAAATTCAAATGAGCTCAGCTTTGTAGTTTCTGTTTGGAGCTAGGATTTAAAGCAGTATTGTGTCGCTTTTCTGTTCGAAACCAAAACTAGACATCAAAGAAAATTTGTCCCCACTGTGTGACTTTACTGAGACTTTATTATCCCTATGAGGTAGTTCCAAAAATGACTCAGACCAAATTATATCTCCAAACTAAGGTAGCTTTATCCTCCATTTAATTTGGTAATGTGGTTTTGAAAGTTCAGCATCACTCTGATATTGTTTTAGGCCTATGACATGGAAGGTCAATGAGAGTTAGGAAAATACATCAGAACAAATTTGTTGACTAAAACGTCATACACTTAGTATTGCAGAAGCTATAAGTACAGTAACATTTCCTTAACACTTATTCTAAGATATTTAAAACCAGAACTGAAAACCTGGTCTCACTAAGATATATATTCATATTTCCTCTTTTTGTCTACATTACATCCCCTGATCCAGATTACACCTGGGAAAAACATGTGCACACCCATGCTCTCCCCCTGTCAATCTTTTTCCCCGACTCGCTCGGCACACTCTCATCTCAGATTTGTGCTTGGCATTTGTCCCTCCATCTGGCTTGCACATGCATTGCATTTGGATATTGCATAATGGCCCTAGGCCTTATTAAAGCAGCACTCCAGTGCTGCGACTACAAGTGACAAGGGTCAGAGAAACAAACTGCTTATGTAAAAGCATTAAGAATACCAAACCGCAACAACCATGTTTGCTCATCCCGTTCGAAAAGGAGAAGGCGAAAAAAAGAAAAGTTTTCCAAATTCGATCAAAAATTCAAACATGTCGTGACTAAGGAAAATGCGGCGAGAGTCACTCTCCTTCATCTTCCATAATTTATAGTCAGAGCCTTGTTGAAAGTAACAAACCCTATGAGCATGTTTGATGCTTTCATTTACATTGAAGTTGTTACAATTCTGATACTTATTAATGCTTGTAGCTATATTGTTGCAACGTTAGGTTGAATGTTACTTATTTTGGGCAAAACGAAATAATTTTTTTTCATAGAAATGTGAATTGGAAATTCTAAAGGGTTAAATCGACTTCTACGGAGCACAAAAAACAATAACGACACACTTCACATGCTCCTTATATCAGTTATCAAGAATTTGCAGATTTGTTGTTAGAGAAGGCATGAAATGGAAACAGAACCCTGACTCGAAATCATTTTCAGTCTAACTTTCCCCTTATTCCTCCTCTTTCCTGTCCTTTTTTTCACAATTACATGAAAAGATAAAGGGACACAAGCACTAATAAAATAATTCAGGAACTAAAACAAGCAGCCCAGAGAGCAGAGGTAAAGCCTATTCTATGGTTATCCTCCACCCTGACTATTCTCTCCTGATTGATCTGCCTGCCTGTACTGTAGAACCTCTACAAATGATCCACAACGCAGTGTTATCTCCAATCAGCCCAACTTCACTGACTTCCCCTGGCTGCTCGTATTAAATTCAAGCCACTGATGTTAGCTTTACAAAGTGCTTAAGGGTCCTGTCTATCTTCAAGAAACTCTTGAAGACCCAGCTCTTCAGAGTATCTCCTACCTTAACTCTTAGCCTGTATGTCCCCACCCCCTTTACTACTCTTTCTATATTTCCCGCCATCTCTATACCATCACCACTGTGGTCTCTAACAAAGTCTGACCAGTTTTTTCTTTTGAGCTTGTTGTCAGGTTGATGCTAACTGTATTGTTGTATCCGCATTGTAAGTCGCTTTGGATAAAAGCGTCCGCTAAATACATAAACATGAACATAAAGCAATTTCGATATACTGTAAATGTGGGCTGAGCTTTTATTTCTTTGGGGCTAGTATGGGGTCATGCTTTCCCCTTATGCAGGCTTTTTTATTTTTTTAGATGAGTGTTTAATGATTATGTATCTTCAGAATAAGATGTTGGGGTAATTTGGATGATAATTATTCCTTCATCCCAAAAACAAAAGAATGAAAGAATTCAAGAGAGCCAAGAGGAGGGGCTGGGAGTTTGACCTTTAGTCTCCAGCTAGTCCTGGGAAAATCAATAGGCTAAATTCTTTTGCTTGCAAAATGTTTAATACTCTTCATGGACTAGTTCTGTATATTACCTGCCTGATGTTTGGCGTGGGACTTAACTGAATTTGCCTGCTGTCTGCCTGCTACTGTTTGGTGGACTGACGTGCCAAGACAGAATTAAGCAGTGAGTTTGCTTTTCTGTTACAGTCACCTGATTCAGTGTTTCTTTGAGAAAACTAATTGTCAGAGTGTTGGTCGTACACTTCACTCATGTACAATGTTTGAAACGCAGAAACTAGGGAATTCCATTTAAAGTAATAGTTTTACACTTTTGCTGCCGTAAACACGTTTGGATCAATACTTTGTCGATATTTGTCGAAAGCTACAACAATCCGTTAGCTTTGCACAGACCAACCTGGCTCTCTTTGAACAAACAGCACAGATCAGAAGTCTCAGGTCTCTGTTTTTATATATTACCCACACCAAAAAGGGGTGCAATGTTTTATTGAAACTTGCAAATATGAATGTATATACTTTTTGTTTGTTTCTTTCTTTCGTTCTTTCTTTAAGTAGTCTTCAGAAATATTTCTCCATGCTTTATGAAGGATATCGTAAAGCTCTTCTTTGGATGTTGGCTACCCTTCTGTTCCCTCAGAGTGTCCCACACAGCTTTTTTGACAAGTTTCACCCCAGATTTGTGTGCATTTCAAGTGTCTTAAGTGTGCAAACAAGAAAACAAACACACAATCCTCTGAAAATATTCAGGTATGAGGAAGGGACTGGAAATTTATTAGGAGAAAGTATCTCATTTATGCATAAAAATGTCAAATCTTTAAGAGACCTTTAAAGCTTGAAGATAGATATGCTCTGGAAAACTCTGGAAAAGATTAGGAAAAGTCTGGAAGATTACACAGAAGGAGGGGGTGGTGTTCTCCCTATTAAGTATAACATTCCTGATTGTGAAATAGGTCAGCACATTACTCACTGTGAAACCACAAACTTACCTCTTCACTCAACAAAGATCAGGTCTGTGTGAGTATGGACGTGTTCCCTTTGTGTGTCTGTGTCCGTTAGTGTATTTGGAGTTTGGAACTCACACACACAATTTTGTCTGGACACCTTCTGTTTATTGAGCACTCTGGGTGAGAGTACTGTAAAGCGTTGGATTATGATAAAACCCGTGAATGTGGCGGTGCTGCGTTTTTTTGGCATTGCTTTATAGTCCAGCATCTGCTAAGCTCTCAGCTCAGATGATGTCTTTAATCTGGATTTCTCTGACGCTGATGGTTCGCAGGGTGAGCATCTTCTACTTTCTTTCTGCAGTGTTTTTAAAAATAGATGCTTGTTATTTTTACATCTCCCCCTGCACGCCTCTGGTATTCTCTGCCCCAGCCCCCTCCACCTTTAGGGATTTTTCCTGCTCAGTGAAATCTGCAACAGCTTTCATGGCACAATCATCCAGAGCCGTAATCCAGACATCCAAGCTGCTCGATTATGAATCCTGTTTCAAGCTATATTGGCTGGCATCTAAATAAGAGGGAACAATTGTTTTTAAAAATCTTTATTCCATTTCAAACCTATTAGGACATGGCAGCTCGCTGCCCTCTGATCATTTCAGAGGATGATTATACGCTGAACTTTTAATCCGTTCACATTTAACAATTTTTTTACATCAGGAAAGGGAGTAAATGTCAGAGAGAATGGTCTTCTGAACACATAAAACATGCAAAATGTGACAAAATGATACACAGCACAACCTGTACATTCCAGTTCATAAAAGGTCAGAGTTACAAAGTTACACAGAGATCTTTGAAGTTAGAATAATGATGGCATCCATCATATGCTCCAGTGAATTTTTTTTCATACTTGTTGCAGCTTGTTGTTTGGCAAACATGGAAATAAAATTTGGGGCCCTTTATGTTTCATCTGCACATGTTGGCGCATTTAATCTGTGGAACCATTTTCCTTCATTCCAGTTGTGGACGTTTGTGAACCTTAGTGACAGCAGCGTGTTTGCATGAATTAGATGAATTTGGAGAGATGTTTGATTAGAAATAAACAAATAGAAACTGCTCTCATTCCAACCCCCGACATGTTTTCACCTGATTCGTAGCTCCACGCTTGTTTAGGAACTGCCAACTTATTAAGGGACTGCAACCTTAGGTTGTGCGCTGCTGGTTTAGTCATTTATGGCCTCCAAGAACAGGTTAATCATGTTCTTTCTGGCATGTGTGGATGTGAGGATGAAGGAAATAAGTTTGACGTGTAAGTGGCGTGAAGAATATGCACGGACGGGGGGGATTATTAGAGAAAAGGGGCTGGGAGCACGCATGATCTGTCAGGGCTTAGTACCACTATTATCCCAGCAGCTGCAGCAGTGTCGGCGGCAGTGCTGGTGATGGCAGAGGCTGCGTTTTTCATTATCGTAATGCCCAGAGAAGCTTCCGAATTATGTAAGAGTGACGTGGTGCCATCCCTTTTAGCCCGGCCCACCGCCTGAAAACAACGTGGCCGTTTGTTTTCCTTTCATCCTCCTTCGCTCAGACAAGCCAAAAGGACATCTGTCAGAGTCGTGCTCGCGTGCAGGTCTCGTAGTAGCCTCACCACAGGGGATGTAGCAGATCCGGATGCTGAATCCGCCGCTTGCTGTCACGGTAAAACTGATGCTCTGAGGCATGTGAACGGATAGGTCTCCGCCGGTGATTCAGAGTGAGATGACCGGACAATTGGAGACACCACATTTTCTTTCGGTTTGGCTCTTTGGTTGAAGACATGGAAGCTCCATGGTTATTTTAAAAGTCTCTGTGATGCTGATGAAAGAGAGTTAAAAGATGAAGTTTAAGAAGTTCATCACCATCATGCAAGCAGCGATAGGAATCGTACCCCTCAACAAACGGGAGCTTATGCCTCCAGGCAGAAAGCTGTGGAGAGGGTGAGTGTAATTCATACTGACATGCACAGAAATGGAGATGTGGATGTTTGTTTTTCACCGTGAAAGGTTTGATTTCAGAGATTTAACTCGCATAGGGAACAGGTGGTTTGTTGGGGAATGTGACACTGTTCCTTTTCTATCCTGAGGATGGAAAGGGTCAGTTCACTTCACCTAACCTTATCTTAAACATGACTAACGGTCTAGACTAAGATGCCCGTTTTAACTTGGCATGAAACAGTCTCTGGAAAGGATAACTTTTAAAAATACTTGAAATTTTGCCCGACTTTGGCACCATCCAGAAGGTGAGAAATGGGTCAAAGGTTATCTGATATACACTTGAGATTATTATCATCTTTGTTGATTAACCAGGTTAAGATTTAAATAAATTTTGAATAATTTATTTGACATTTTGAATGATTATAGTAACGGTGCTCATGTTTGGTTAGTTTTATAGCATTTAAAAATTTGAAATAAATGTTCAAATATATTTTTATATTTAAAGAAATACCTCCAGGTTGTAAAAAATTAAAGTAGAATGGCAGAATCTCCGCTGATTCCATAAAGGTTCTCTCAGAGTATCTTATTACTGAAAGTTTTTAAAATAATTTTTGTATCATTTGGATACCAGTTAATCAGTTGCTTTTTTCCCCTTTGAAAGCTCACATTTGAGGGCCTAAAAATATGCTGAGTAGCTCTTTGAAACTTGGCACATTTAAGGGAGGAAAGATGCAATCCATTTGAATTTAGAAGAAAATCCAACATGGCTGCCTCTTATAAACAGAAAAGTCTTGATGGCTACCGAACGAGACTGTATAAAAGCCCATCTGTCTGTTTATAGTTTATGTAATTAGTTGCACACATCAGATAAATTGCCATGTTTCTGTATACACAAAACAGTGGGATCAGCCCTTAGCCTATCACTAATTTGGGTTATTCTGTTGAGTGTGCGTTCAGCTTGTGTTTTCTGCCATTCCTAGCCATGAACTCTGACCTCCAAGTTAAACAGAGTTATGCAGTTTCAATGTGGTGTTGCTCCGTCCCTCAGTGACTATCCACCATTTTGTTGAAAGCGCAGCACAAAAATGACTGAAACCATTTTCCATGGGAACTTTCCCTTGTTGGAGTATCAAACACTGTATGGAGACACTTCAGGTGTTCCTAGAGATACAACGCCCATCCTCATAGTTACACTGAGTTTGTCCCTGAGGCATGTAATGCAGCAGGTTTCATCATGCCAAGGCAAGCTGCTATACTCTCTCCTAGCAAAGTGCAGTGGTTATTAGCCTTTACCCACAGAGACCATTTCGGCCTATGACATCTTGAGGCAGGGACAGTATAAGCTGTGTCAGGTTGGAAGAAAAAATGTCTACCACATGTTAGCGATCAGGTCAGGGATGCTGGTCTTTAAAGGGTGAGACAGCAGATTATAGTCTCATAAATGCACAAGATTACAGTCTGTGGTATCCATGTGTGGTTGTGGTCTTACTGGGTGAATCAGGTTTAACTGAGAGACACGGGTGGGAAACATGTGCCTTATTCCTTTCTTTTTCATTTTTTTTCTAACACATGGTCATTGCTCTCATGTTTTTGATCTTTTGAACTAAATCTTTTTAAAAGGCATATTCAACAAATGTATTTTTTGCTGTTACTTTAAAGAAGATCCTTTAATCTCTGTCAGTGCATAATCTCTCATGTAGAATCACTTGTGAAATGAGTAAAAGATTACTGTAGAAAGTACATTGAAAATAAAGGCAGTATTGAAGCACATGGATTATACAACTCAAGTAAGTTTAAAGACTAATTCATTTTCATACCAGCTAAAAATAGACCTTCTGTGCCTGGTGAATGGACACGTGTTCCCAAACAACCCCCCGAGACTTTGTGCTGATGAGCTGACACTTTGACAACATGCCTGCTGAGATATGCCCTTTAAATATTTCAGTACCATTCTGCAAATTAAGAATTGAAGATCACAGCATAGTTTATAGAAGCAATTATAAAAGACAAACATGTCAGCATTTGTCAGGCTGCTTGTTTTAGATTTTAAATAATGTTACGGATGCTTTTGACAATAGAAAGATTACAGTCGGTTTCTCTTCCTTCCCCAGGGACCAGGCTTGCTCTGAACAAACCAGCACAGACCTGCTCAAGTGCAACCGCAAGTTGTATTGGTCCAGAGAAGCCCAGTACTTGTATCTACGCCGCTTGTCATCGAGAAGCTTCTCGGCTATTATGATGGTACGTTTTTTTTCTGATGATGGTAAACATTGGTGCTGGGTGGTGGGTGTATAAGGCTGGACACCTTGTGAAAGGTTTAAGCCTTGACAGTCCAAACCCAGTGGTCCCCAGGAACTTTCTTAAGCTAAGAATTTAGCTGTAATACCACTTACTTCTTATAGCCTTGTATGCACAGAGCCATTTATTACTAGCAGGTTTACTGCAAAGAGAGGGAGAAAAATACGTAAGATTGAATTGTATTAAGCAGGGATGACAGGGAAGAGAGAGAAGCTATTGCTAACAGTTAACAGATCTGAAAATAGCATTGTGTAAGTAAAAGTATCATATGAGCAAGATACTTTGCAAACAGCTGCTTGAGTAGACTGAGGATCTTTTACTATTTCAAATTAGGTGCTGTACACAGAGTTCCAGCAGAAAGATAATTCTGTGCGCAGCAGTAAGACACATTGTTCTAGTACATGGTATCGGTCACTTACTGGCAAAACACACTTGCAACAACAGATGCCAGTCACTTGATAACTGCCCACATCATTCTCCTCTCCCTTTCATTGAATGAAACTTCTAAACATAGCTCATACAGTTCCAAAAAAGTAGGGACAGTGTAAAGTTTGAAAAAAATGGAATGCAATGATTTAATAATATTTTGCCGGACCTTTGGGATAGGAATGTTTCGCTATTCTTCGCCATTCCTTTCTTCTGTCAAATATTTTTGAATCACTGATGTGGATTACATGCATGTCAGACCAACAACTGGATTGCTCTATCACAAAGCTCCATTGGCTTCTGGTTTAATATTGTGTTGCTGAAATATGGGAGACCTTCCACTGAGAAAGTTATGTTGCTTTAAAACCTACATGTACCTTTCAATATTTATAATGCCTTCTGACATGTACTTGCATATCAACGGAGAGTTTCGAACTCTGATTTGGTCCTGGGGAATTCCAAACAAAAATTAATTAATTTGTGTTGAAGATAAAAGTAGAGAGAAGTGACACAAGTTATTACAGGTTGCAGTAGCCTAAAAATTCTAATTGAATCATGCAAATATTGTTTTCCGGTATTTAAAAGAGTAATGAAAAGGTCTTCATTTGGATAGATTCTGTGTTTTTATTGTGTATTTTCAATTTTTCATTTGTTTCTGTGTTGCTGGTTGTTCTATAATTCACTGCTGGTGTCATAAAAACACAGTGGTTCACCTGAATGATTTTTTAAAATCTCTTTGTTGATGAAAATGCTATAATTTGCATGCTCTTGGAATTTTTGTTTTTGGATTATTCCGAGATGGATGCATACATTGTGGCGTTTCTTGTGTCTGATGATCAATTGGAGTGCAGTACCTCATTGTTCCATGCTCCCTTCTTTATTTGAACACAACTACACTGCTGTGTGTAACTATAAGCATGTCACGTCCACAAAGTTTAATTGTTTTAATGACTTGGTCTCACAAATTATTTAGGTCAGCCATGCTATTTTGCATAAAGATGCCCTATTTTAAGGCATGCTTTGTCATTTTCTGTGGAATTGGAATGTGGAGATTTTGCTGCATTGACTCATTTTTTAGATAACTCGTTTTCATCCTTCGTTACTCATTCAGCTATGATGCAATGTCAGCTGATCTTGCTGTCTCTGATTAGTTTCTTACTAATACAGTTTTAAATTTGAGCTATTTTGAATGGACAATAAAAGCCAAATACATATACAAAGTTGAAAAACAAGGGGAAAAAAGAGGTTACTATGCAATAGTTACTCATGCTTACCTTGGTTTTACTGTACATGGGCATGCAGGAACCTGACATTTGCTTCCTCTAGAGATGTAAACTCTTTTATTTTTATCACACAGTTGTCATTTAGAGTGTGGTAATCTTCTAATCCTGTGGCAACCATATGGGGAGATAGTTTCCTAATTTTACCTCACAAGGCTTTGATTCCTAAGTAGTCATAAAGGTTCTCTTAGTTTTGACCGTTTTTGACAGACAAAATCATTTGAAGCAGGATCTAAAGTATGTTGTTTGATCGCCACAGGATGTTATTTAAGGAAACCGAAATTATAGGCGGTTTCTTAATGGCACTATGGTTGAGACTAATCTTCTGGGAGCATTTGTTTATAGACTAGAAGTGCTTTAAATATTTTACCCACAATGACTCGACGTTTTGTTATTTATGTATTTAGTTTTCGCATTTTAAAAAATCTTTTGTTTTGGGCTAAACGCAATATATTTGATATACCCATAAACAGTTTGAAATGCTTCTATTCTTTTTATTGTCCTCTGTTATAGTGATGTTTTTGTTCTGACTAGAGCTTCACAGCAGGCTGCCTCAAAATCAATGGGAATTCTGGACGGATCCATCCGTATTGCAGTTTTAGTCTCCCTGTACGAATTCATCTTTTGTATGGAGTTTTTACTACTTTATTGCAAGTTTGATTTAAATCCACGATTTATTTTAATATGTTGCGACTATAAAACGATGCTAGTCCAAGTTCTTATCTATAGTTTGGTTAATGTAAATAAATCTCCTCCCCCCGCGCTCTCATTTTGGTACGATCTGGACCAAGCTAGGAGCAGTCGGCGCTAATTTTTGCCCGGATGTTTAATGTTTATGTATTTTTAGAGAGTAAGGACCGCTATTTGAAGTGAAGCCGACACACCTTCAACACATTTTAAACTTCGAACCTATCAACTGCCGCAGAACTTTGCCCCACGTAAGACTGGGAGAGCTGAACTTGTCACAGTTTGCTTTAAATCTTTGGTACCAGTCCGGGACAGTTCAAAGTGCGTGATGCCAGTGAACGGAGGGGGCCTGCTGTCTCTGAGCAGATATGCAACTCAGTACCTAACCGTAAGTACACGTACATTTTTGTTTTCAAAGAACTGGGATTTTTTTTTAAGTAGGAGACAGAGAGTAGAGCTTGTTCCACTCCCGGCGAAGAGGTTTATTTATGTTTTTTAAGGATAAATAGATGACTCGGGAGTTTCCATGAATCCCAGCTGAAGCCTGTTGCATCCTGTCGCACCTGCTACCACCGTTATGTGGTGTCTGAATCAAATCACAAAACAAAACAGAATTTAAAGTTCCCGGAGTCCGCTCTACGGTGTGTTTCACTCTGAAAGGATACGCCGAGTTTGTTTTTTGATCATCAGGATTATTTGGACTTTGCCAAACTCTGATGGTCAGCGCTTCTATGGCCATCTTTTTTAAAATGGTCCCTTTTTTGCAGTCGTTCATTTTAGAATAATTTTCCACTGTGAGTAAGTAAGAGTGAGACGGACTCTCTCAGCCAAAGCCAAAGCCTCGAGTTTCATTACAATTTGTTTGCTTATTTATTTATTTATTTACATCAACCTCAAAAGCGTCATACTACCTTATTACCAGCAGAGGGCAGACTCGTATAACTTTCATCTCAGTTCAGAGGAGGTTTCGTATTTCTTTGTCAACTCCACATCTCTTTCCTGGTCTTTAGATCTGAAATGCTCCTTTGAAACTCAGTCAAGTCACAGAAGATTTAGAGATTTGCTCATCTGATTTTTTTTCTTTACTTCCCACATGTTTGTAACCTCAAAATATTCCCATAAGTGGTACCTTTTAATTTTTATGTGCTCAATTTTGAGTTTTTGTCATGATTAAAATCTTTTTAATAGCTTTTTTTCTTGATAAACTGTTTTATCTGTAAAAAGCATATTTAAATTCCCATTTTTTCTAACGTTCTTCAGGTCTTAGTTTCTTAACATGTCGCAGTAAATATTCAGAATTTGAGACGTAATGTAGTCTCACCAAACCTTTTGGCTATAGTGTCCCGCTGACTTGTTGCCAAAGCAAAAATTAGCTCCACTGGAGCAGAGCTCAAAGGATTAGTTGAATATTAAAGTAGTACATGGGCAGAAAACTGAATTGAAAAGTTGTTTGGATTTTAGAGGAAGCTGTCCACCCCTGCTTAAGCTATTGGTACAGTGTTGATTTTCTTTCTTTTTTTATGATAAGGTTTTTTCTAAACCACATCCCACATATATGACCCAGTATTTTAATCTCCCTCTTCATTAGTGGAAATATTTGTGCTGTGTTATGTAACAGCCCACACTCAGGAGACCACAATTTACCCAGCAGCCATCACAGCCAGAGACCATCATAGTGAAACTGCTTTGGTTTTGTCCAAAGCATGAACAGCCCATGATTTTTCACGAGTTAATGCTTTCTCCTGCCACATAATTCTCTCTAGGGATTTTCATCAATCATCCCATCTCCTTTGGAGTTGGAGAGGGGCTAAAAATATAACATGCCTGTCATGAACGTAACTTGTAGAGCAGTAATATAATAAACAGTCCTGTCTCTGTTCTCTAGTTTTGTTTTTTTTCTCGTTTAATTTGTGCACCCCTCTTGGCCGTTAGCAGTCTGTTCCTGGCTCTTGTCCTGACATTTTCCCCCATGTTAGTCTGAAGAGTTTAAAAAAAAAAAAAAAAGTGGGTTATGATGGTTCTGCTGCCAGCCATTGTCACGCCCCTATTTCCCTAATGCCAGAGCCTGACATCCTACTTTTTAGAAGAATGACAAATGGCTTTTTTGGCCAAATATACAACATGCACAGTAATTTAACCCAGTATCAGAGCATCCCAGAACAATTGAAATAACAAATGAAATGTTTTACCATTAAATATTTTACCATTCCATTTGTCCAAAAAGACCCCAAGTGTCTAACAAAAAAAAAACCCAAATCAAATCACATGTATGTTTTATAGCTGTGCTCAGGTTTTGGGGCCGGTGTCTGGTGATGTGTTACTAAAAGTTTGAAGAGTCCCTGAAATATTTAGAGGGAAATAAGCTGCTCGGTTTGTTGTTGTTGTTGTTTTGGGAACTGCACTCTTGTGTGTGAGCGCAGCAGGTCTGCGCAGGAGCCGGTGCGTCTGCATGCTTCCCCTTCCCGCAGACAGTGGGATTTGTGCCGAATGTAGGCCAGCAGAATCCCTCTTACGTCAAAGGCAGTTAGGCGGGCAGATGCAGGGAGAGAGTTGCTGGTGGTTGTGCAGCTGTGGCCATGGAGGAGGCTGGAGCGCACATCAGTCCACCAGAGCACTGCTGATGGGGAACAGTGAGAGACACAGATAGGAAGAGACGGAGAGCACTGACAATGAAGACTGTCCTCAGCCTGCACAGGAAATGGGCCCATGCGGTCAAGACCATTCGCATCCTGCAGGGACTCGTGAGTGAGATTCTGCTACCGTCGCGCAGATTTGATCAAATCTGGGTCTTGGCCGGGCAGCTGGACCCGACTGGCACTGTAATGGACCCTTTTTTCGCTTGAGCTGTAAATGAATGTGACTTTGCCTTGAGATGTTGAACTGTTTAGAAGTGGAAAAAGAACTAGGAAACGATTATTTGATATAAAAATCAAGTCAGTTTTGTTAAGAAGTTGATGGAAAGTTAGTTTTAAGGAATGTGTTTCTATTCGTGTGTGTTGAAGTGTGAGGGAATTGTTTTCTCAAGTTTTTATCTGTTGCATTGATATTTGGTCTGAATGGACTGAGTTGTGGATTCATCACTCGGTGATAAATAATTGTTGGGAATAAAGTAAGGAAATGTGAAACATCAGAAGTAGCTTTTCAGATGTTAATAAGCCGTTCAGTGTAATAAGAGCAACTTGACATTTGGCAGCTTTGTGTTTTAGTTCAACTATATCTATCCTAAGTCATCTCTGGTTTTTGAAAAAGATCTTTCGTCTCCAAGTGTTCAGCAGAACAAAATCAGAAGTTTCTGAAACACAGGCCGGTCTATGCTTTTGGAACTGCTGGTTGTGTAACAAAACGGGCTAGCGGACGGACTTTGTTGTTACATCACATAATACATTATTAATCTGCTCTGAGAAACAAGACCACCCATAGTAATCTTTCCCTTCTCTCCACAGAACCCAGCCATGGAAGAGACCGTGTGGGAGCAGTACACCGTGACCCTGCACAGAGTGAGTGCCCGCACACACACAAGCATACGTACAGCGTTCTGCAGTCTGACATCCAAACCCAACAATTTGCCCAAGCGGTTCACCCAAAGTGCATTAGATTTAATATTTTGATACTTAGGTCGGCCAAAAGAAGAAAATGGAAAGCCAGCAGATTATAGATGTGACAACTATTCAACTGTTATCTGAAAGGCAGCCAGAGAAAACTTACGCAATCATGGATATAAAAGTTAGGAATGACGGTTTATGTTTTTTTGCGTGGGTACCATTCTTGGATTAGTCCCAGTTCACTTTGGAAATAGCTTTTATATTTCAGAAAAAAATAAAATAAAAAAAAAACAGACCAAAAAATAAGGACATATAAAGATAAAGTGAATGACTGCATGCAGACCTGGACATTTTAGAATTTACTCTACAGTGTACCTCAGAGTCAAGATCTATGACTGGTGCAGTCAATATTGGATCAACAGTCAGCAGGTGAATAGTGATTTTAGAAAGGATTATACAATTGTGTCTGGTATTCAAAGAAGAAGGAAAATGATTCAGTTCACTTAGACCTCTTCATTTTATTATAAGCTGCCAGAATCAATTAGATCAGCCTGAGTTAGAACAGTCTAATGTCAAATCATCACAACTGACCTATTGTTACCTGATTTTTATATGCCAATTGTTCTTTTATACTCTGTATAGGACATAGGTGATACATGTTTGTAGCAGTCACATCTCAATTAGCGTATTAAATGTGTTGAATTTGCCTTACGTCTTACATCGGCCAGCATCCAGGTTCTGTGTTTCACTCGCATTCGACTGTGCGAGCAAATCAGGCCAGCCGAGCCGAGGTAATCGTCCTGATGAGTTCATTGTCTCGTGCCGTGGCTCACCAAAGCCAGAAAAGCAGATTTAGAGCAAAAAGGTCCTCAGCTGCAGGCCCGTGACCCCTGCATGTCAACCATTCCACAGCCAGCTGTCCCTCTCTCTTCCGTTCCTCTACTTTTCTTCTTTCCTCCCATTTACCAGCCGCTAACACGCAGCGTCTGTCCCCCTCAGTGTATCACACGTTCCTTATACAGCTTGATGTTCTGTGCTGCTTGTTTCATTCCAATGTGCAATGTTTAGCTCACCTTCACAGGCTGAAAGAAAACACTTTTACAGAAAACTGAAGCAGGTTGTGGCGTAGAAAAGAAGCTAGGAAGACCCTATAAAGATGTCTGAATCTGTAAACAACTCTGAGGAGTAATTAAGGCCAGAAAGGCTCCACATGAATGCACATGCTGATAAAGAGCAGCGGGGAAAGATTACATTTCTTTCAGTTTGAGAGCATTTCCACAGTGGCAATGCAAGGTGGAAAAACTGACAGAGATGGCGCAAATATTTCAGGATTTGGGGAAATTTTAACATTACAAAGCAAAAATTCACTTTTTTAGTTTTTGGCAAATTCAATGAGTTAATGGGGCACCCAGGCAACGTGTGAACGTATCAAATCTGTTGTTTTGCTTACTGTAAAATTTGACAGGACGACCCGACTCCCCATGCTTTTAGTGGTGGAAAAATCCACTGAATATTGTAATCAAGAACATGTTCAAATGAGAATGACTTGCTGTAAACTTTTAGTTCATATTGTAGTCTATATGATTAATGTTATTAGAATGGAACACACGCAGCACAGATTTAATCCGAACATCAAATTCAATTAAAGCTGCCGGTGGAAACGTGATACATTAAGAGGCTTTTCTTGTTCTTGACACTTTAAAGCAGCTTTATTGCTTTGTGGAGGTTTGTTTTTAATAAAATGTTCTATTTTAGAGTAGTTTGAACCCTTTTGGAAAAAAAGCAGTCAAACATGCTTTGTTCTGGAGTTATAAATAACCCCCCGTGCTCAGTAGACCAGCGGATTCCTCACTTAAGATTTTAATAGCATAAAATGGCTGTGTTATTCTATCAGAGTAAAGACAGGACTCATCTTCTCTGCCTGCCTCTGTCCTCCCACTTCCACCCGCCCTCTGCTTCCACAGCCATCTGCTCCAAACAGAGGGAAGGGTTTTTTTTTTTTTTTTGTGCAGATGGAAGGGAGGGGATAAAGAGAGAGGTTCATCAAATCTCTAACTTAATCTCATCTGCGCACACTGAAGCCGTGGCAGGTAGAGTATTTTATTTGTACAGAAGCCTGGAGCCATCAAAACAAGGACGCGCAATCAAAATCCTGCCAATCCTGCCATATCGGCTCACATGCGGGCGGACAAAAACTTGCTCATCTGATGCACACACCCACTCTGAGCAGGAGTATGTTCTATTTTCATTTGCAGGATCCAAAAATGGGTTTTGGGATCGCAGTTTCGGGAGGACGGGACAACCCCAATGAGGAAACGGGAGAGACGTCCATCGTTGTGTCGGACGTCTTGCAAGGCGGGCCCGCCGACGGACTGCTGTTGTAAGGCTGTTTCTGTAACTTCACTCATCTTCATACAACAAATGTACACATTCTTGAGTTGAGCTCATTTCTGTATGTGTGTGTGCACAGTGAGAAGGACAGAGTTGTTCAGGTGAACGCCATCCCCATGGAGGGAGCCCTCCACTCCTTTGCTGTTCAGACCCTCAGGAAGTGTGGCAAAGTGGCCAAAATTGTACGTATTTGGTTTATTAGATTGCTATAAAGATGTGACGATAAGAACTTAACTCAGATATTTCTCTGCAAAACTTCTGTTTTATTTTCATGGAACTATTCAGACCGTCAAGAGACCCCGGAAAGTTCCGGTCAACTTGCTGAACCGCCCCTCGTCCCCCGAGGACAGAGTCTTCAACAACGACCACAATGACGACTACAACTACGATCAGGACCGCCGCAGCGTGTACAGCGGCCGCAGCGGCGGGGGCCGCGACCATAGCCTCGAGAGGGAGCGAGGTGGGGGGGGCTACATGGATTCTGGATACCAAACTCGCGAGCGCGACTACGACCGCGGCAGGAGCACAGAGAGAGACTTCAGCCCAGACCGCCCGTACAGAAGAGACGGCAGCAGGGGTCGCACCCTGGACAAGGAGCGCAGCCCTGACCGCCGCTACCGGAGCGACCACCTGCTGGACCGCGACCCCAGCCCGGACAGAAGGTACCGCAGCGAGCGTACGCTAGACCGAGACCACAGCCCCGACCGCCGCTACCGCAGCGAGCGGGCCCTGGACCGCGAGTACAGCCCGGACCGCCGCTACCGCAGCGAGCGAATGCTGGACCGGGCCCACAGCCCGGACATGCGCTACGGCCGCGAACACAGCCCGGGAAGAGCCCGAGGGCACGACCACAACTACGAGCCGGGACGGGGAGGCGACCCAAGGAAGTACGACGAGCCGGTGAGGCGGAGCGGGAGCAGGGACCGCCTGGATCGCTTGTCCCCGCCTACCGTCGCGCCCATTCCTCTGCCCCGGCCTGCCCGGGACCTGGAGCCACTGGAGAAACCTGTGAACGTGCTGCTGTTGAAAAACCATCCCAACGAAGGTAAGGGCACAAAGACGATTAATCGAAGGCGGTCAGAGAAAGATCCGTGTGCAGACAATATATTTACAAGTTCTCTTCCAGAATATGGCCTTCGTCTGGGCAGTCAGCTCTTCATCAAAGAGATGACCAGTACAGGGCTCGCTGGCAGAGATGGAAACTTGCAGGAGGGGGACATCATACTAAAGGTACGCCAGTGGACGATTACTGTCTTCTGATATCCAATTGATGAATAACTGCTCCAAAGTCCTGTAGAAAGTAATTACGGCTGTGTCTTCGGCACACAATCTCATAAGCACCTGATCTCATCCTCAGATTAACGGGACCGTGACAGAGAATCTGTCTCTGAGCGATGCGGGGAAGCTAATCGAGAAGTCCCGCGGGAAGCTGCAGCTGGTGGTGCAGAGAGACAGACGACAGGTTCTGATCCGAGTCCCGCCAATGGTCGACAGCGACTCAGAGCTCGATGGTGAGAGACACTCGAATCTGAAAAGCAGCAGGACCTATCCAGTGTGAAAGCACACCTGTCGAGTGGCCGTCTCCATCATCATCTTCATCACCATATAGAACCCCACTGTATACGAACTTCAATTGAAATCAGCTGAGAAATCATTGTTGCCATTAATGTTACTGTATGTGTCAATTCATCATTAAATAAAGTTTTCCTGACATCATCTTTTAGTTGTATTTAAATATTATTTCATGTGTAAACACTCTGTGCTAACCAGAGATCCACCTATCATAACCGCCATCATAATTCCCTCACCCTCATGACTACTCAGACTTTTATACCTGGTTTTATTGTCACATGACCAGATGGCATGCCGTGATTGGTCAGCACCAATCTAGATAAGTGGTGTGTGGATGGTCATTGTAGGGAGGAGTAATAGCCGACAGACTTGTGACCCACTTTGTTAGCTGCGGTTTAGTGTGTTTGCCTGTGCTCTGTGTACGTGTGTGTGTGTTTTCATGTGTGAAAGTGTTCATTCGCCTCTAGCAGGGTGATCTAATCCTCAATCGTAATCCTGCTGTCGGATATAACAGAATTTCATTATGCTCAGGTTCCCTCTGCAGCAGCTGTCTGGCTCCTGCCATCCAACCTCCCTCATTTTGAACGATATCTGAGAACATAAAGGGACTTTGTTCAGGGGAAAATAGAAGATTTTTACCTCTGCAAAGTCTAAATCCTCTGGCTGTTATTTAGTTAATTTTGATCAAAATGGTTACATTGAAACATGGGCTAGACTTTCTATCCTAATGCCAAAGTGTGAAATTCAAATCTGTGTAAGTACTGAGAGAAATATGTTGTGAGAAGTGATCTGAATAGATCCTTATTGTACTTTTGACTAAACATAGGAGCATTAAGAATAAAGTCACTATGTCAGTTTCTCCAGCAATTTTTTTTCTTCTTTAATTTAGAATATCAAAATGCTGGTTTGGCTCCAGATAGGTCACAGTTTTCATCTGGTTTGTCATGTTTTGCAGATATCTCTGAGATCGAGTCGTACCGCTCTTACTCTCCACAGGATGACAGACGGGGCCATCACTCCGACCTTTCCTCCCACTCCTCCAACGAGCGAATCAGAGAAAAACCCAGGTACCCATTATTGCATCCCCCTGGTTAGATTCCACTAGGATAGCCTGTTTCAAATTGTAAAACTACATTTGGGGGTTCTCAGCAGCAGCTTGTTCACTAAATTAATCACACATGGTGAATGTTTAACTTATGATAATGGCTTATTAATTAAGACAGGGATGGCCCGAGGCTGTTCATGAGTTGGTTGTCAAATTACATTTAAACCCAAGAGAAAGAAGGTTCCAAAAATTAAACGGCTTTGATCCTAAAATCTGCTGTTGAATTAGCATAATAAGTTAAAGTTATCGTTTATACATTTTATTTTATATATTTTATTGTTTAACACATCAAAACTTTGTCAAATCTATTTTTCACCCCTTCCAAAGCGTTTAAAAACCTGACAAGTCTTTTTATTGAACATTTTCCAAGTTATAACAGTCCAGCAACATTCATATATTAGAAAATATACAGCAAATCCATAATACATCAGCAGTAATGATCTCAGCAGATTCTGACATTCCAGGCAATCACTTTCTATGTTCACAGGTATATCAACACTTTACCGAACTTTGTTTTAAAGATGTCATCCTGACCATTAATGCAAAATCTTTGTCTTTCAAGAGAAATAGATTCTGATATCAGACACTTCAACTGATGTATTGAAGGAGGTTAATCTCTTACCCATGAAGTTATAGCAGTTTTCCGGCCCAACATGTACAAAAATTGTACAATGTTCTTATGTGATCTTAGTGATTTAGGGATATATCCCAGTAAGCATATTATTGGGTTAGGCTGTAATTGCTGCTTAGTTATAATGCTGACCTCATCACATGCGTTTTGCCAAAACGGTTTAATCTTTTCACATTCCCAGGGGCAGTGAAATCTTGTTTCCAAAATAGTCTTGCATTTTGGGCAGTTTTGAGAAGCCCCTGTTATATATTTACTGTACATATATTGAAATATACAGACATTCTGTAAGATATTATATTGCATTTCTATGAATCTGTCACATATAGATATTTTTGTTGGTAAGAGTAAGATTTCCTCCCATTTTTCACTTTGTTTTCAGTTGGGTCTCCCATAGTTTCCGTAGGGATGATAATCTGTCTGTTTTCAGGTGTTGCATTTAGATTATCTAAAAGAGTCTTGTCTTATTAATTAAAGTCATCTAGAAGGTTGAGAGTTTCCATTTGGGTGTACACATAATTTCTAACCTGGAGGTATTTGTAAAATTCCTTTGTTTGTAATTTGTATGTGGCCTGTAATGATTTAAATGTTCCCTCATCCCAAAGGTCATTAATATGATAAATTCCTGCTTTATACCAGTTCTAAAAGTTAGGTCCATTGTCCCCCATGGTTAATTCAGGGTTATCTATCAGTGGTGTTAGACAGCTCAGTTTGTTTAATCCCTAATACTTTTCCCAAAGAATTCCAAGTATTACACACATCAGTAATTATTTTTCGCCATAATTGGTAGTTCACTCCTGCGTTTATCAAGTAAGTTGATAGGAGAGTACGGTTTGTAGAGGGTTGCAATTTCAAACCAAGGCGGTTTCGGTTTAGCCGAGATAATTCTGGCTTGCAAGGAAGTTGTGTACTTTGTAATGTTGGGGAGGCCCCCTCCTCTTTGTTCTTTTGGTAATTGTAAAATGTCTGGTTTAATTTTAGGCTTCCTGCCAGCCCATATAAAGTCAGAGATAGCTTAATTTATATCTCTAATGTTGTTTATTTTTAAAGATATGAAGAGCATAGATAGAGGGTAAAGGGAAGAATTGCCATCTTGATAAGATTGATTCTGCCAAGAAAGGTTAGGGGAAGCTTTTTCCAGCTCAACATCTTTTTTTTTTAATGTGTTTTATCATGAGGTAAATGTTCTTAGCATAAAGTTGACTCGTTTTATGTGTTATTTTAACACCAAGATATGTGAAACCATCTGGTTCCCAGCAAAAAGGTTTTAAGGCATTTTCCAACTCATATGAGAAACCTTGAGGCATGATTTCAGATATTGTCAAATTAAATTTGTATCCAGAAATCTGCCCGAACTCTTTCACACAATTGATTAATGCAGGAATTTAGTTTTTTTTTGCATCCACCGTTACAATAGCACTTGGGATTTACTGAAATTTAAGATAGTGAATAATTTTGATTAAACTTCTTGTGTTGTTTGATGAAGTACGGCCATTCATAAACCGTGTTTGGTCTGCATTAACTATATCAGCCAACACTCTTTCTAGTCCGGCCACCATTTTTGAGAGTATTTTAACATCCACTCCAAGTAGGCTAGTAGGGCGATAAGAGGCACGTAGGTCTTGACCTTTCCCTTTTTTGAGGATGACTATAATATGCGCTAAGTACATTGATTCGGGGAGTTCATCCTCTTCATACTCGTTGTAATAGTGTGATAATTTTGCTTTTCATCTTTTTATAAAACTGAGCACCAAGTCCATCAGCCCCTGGACTTTTATCAGGCTGGAGTGAGGAGATTGCTTTATCTATTTCTGTGATTATCTGTCAGATGAGGTATCTGTAATCCATCAAATAAATTTCTATTGGCTAGTGTAGCATAATCCAGTTCTGAGGTATACAGCTTTTATTAAGTGTCTGAAAACATTCAGTAATCTTCGTATTATTGGTTTGACGATTTTGATCCTAATTATATATTGCAAATATAAACGTTTTTGGGGGAGAATTTCTTGCAAGTCCAGCTAAGAATTTATTTGGCTTATTTCCAAATTCAAACATTCTTTGTCTAGCAAACAGAATATCAGACTCAGCCTTCTTTGTTAGTCAACTGTAGTCTTGCCTCTTTAAGCACCCCGTCCGATTTGAAACTCAGAAAAGCTTCCTCTAATTTTGTTATTTCATTTTCAGTTTATGTTTGTTCCTGAATGCGCTCTTTTTTTCTTCTTACTAGAGTATGATATAATCATGCCTCGAATAAAAGCGTTCTAGGCATCCCACACCTTCTTCTAAACAGAGGTCTGTCTGTGTTTTCCAAGAATTTGATAAAGTTATCGTCATGAAACAGTGATGCATTCATTTTCCAAGAAAACAATCTCTCTGCATGCCTACAGCTGCATTTCCAGAGTGACAGGGGCATGGTCTGAGAGGGCAATGGATCCAATGTCTGTTCTAATAAATGGACAAGGTGTCCAGATATAAATATATAGCCAGTTCGTGAGGATGACTAGTGTGGTGGAGAATGAAATGTGTTGTTTCTGTTATTAGGATTCATATATCTCTAACCATCTAACAAGTTCAATATCTCAAGGGAATTTTGTAGCACTGGATTTTGACTGATTTTCATGAGGGAGGTCTTTATCTAAAGAGGAGGAGAGATAGTTAAAGTCACCTCCAATTGTCATATTTGTACAGTCCATTTCAGGAATTTTACTGATTAGGAAGGCAAAAAAGTCCTCATCATAGACATTAGGAGCATAAACATTTCCTAACAATACTGGTTCTCCATATAGTTCTCCTTTTACTAAAACTTTCTTTGCTTTTGTATCTTTGTAACTATAGCTAAAAATGGCAACAATCTATGAACTAATATAATTACACCCCTTTTGTTTGTTGAATACAGTATTGTGTAAAATTAGATATGTTTTGTGTTCCTCCTCATTCCAATGGTTTTTTTTTAAGAAATGCAATCTGGTCATTTTCCTTTTTAAGATGGTTCAGAGCAGCTTTCCTTGGAGCCCTTGAATATTACAAGTACAACACTCGATATTCAAAATAATGAAACATTATATCATGCTGCATAGTATCCTTTGCCTTGTAGCAGAATCTTGATATGCTTTTTATCCGGAACCCTGCCTCGACCAAAACCAAAACCACAAAACACATTAACAATCCAAGCATAAGGCTTGGATAAATTTAACATGGCGAAAACTGAGCCAAGAAACATAAAAGCACAAAAAACAAAAACCTTTTACTCTAGCTATATTAGTACAGCTGAGGGATCAAATCAATCAAATAATGATTTAAAAAAAACAAGTATCCCAGGTCCCTCCATCTGGATAATGTCTTAATCGTACTGCCAGCATGTCAACGACTATGTAAATAATAATGATACAATATCAAATAAACTGAAAAGTGTTCATATGTACGTATCTATATTAAGATCAACAGAGTATATATTAATGTTATATAGTGCTCGCTGTCCGTTGTGCTCGTCGTTCACTGTTCATTAGTGTAGGAAGAAGACTATAAGAGGATTATATAATCACCCTGATCACAGGTGGATTGATAGAGGTATTAGGACGGGAGTGTCTTCACGTAATCGTTGATTTCCTTCATCGTGGAAAGGGAGATGAGTTTTCCATTTAGAGGGAGAACCTTTGTCTTGGTAAAATGACAATACCTAAAACAATTTTTTTAAGAGATCTACAACAGCAGACTGACGGCAAAAAAAAAACTACTGAAAATTTTTGCCAAAAATGCAAAAGCAGCTCTCCAACTTTTTGGAAACGATCATTCATGCACATGTCAAACTGCATGCGTGCAAAATGATCAGAGAAAACGCAAAAGGAGAAACATTTCAGAATCATTAAGCCAGTAAGCATGATAAATGTCACAATATAGTTTAGAAAAAGACTAAACAAGAATAGTTTACTTTTGATAGACTAGAACAAATAGACATTTAGTCATAATGCACAGCCAAAGCGACTTACAAAGTAGGGGGCTGCTGAGAGTTGAACTGGGGACCTCTTGATCTACAACTGAGCTGACTGATTTATAACATTATGATTTTGAACATTGGATTTGTTATGTCAAAATGTGTATCTGGTTGTATTGTAATTAATTAATTCAGTCATGCTGGTGGTCAATCTTGAATTTGACTTGCTATTGGCAGAGAGGACCCCCCTAGCAGGCTCACTAAAATGGGTGCCATGCCGACGCCATTTAGAGTTCCAGACAGAGCAGAAGAATCGCCGCAGGCCGACAGGAATGAGCATCGATCAGAGACACCGCCAGGTAAACGCGTTTCTGTGCCTAACAAAAAAAAAAAGAATAAATAAACTGCAGGAAAAAAACGGATTTTGTATGAGCTAACACTTTAAAATGACCTGTTCTGTTTGCTCTATTTCAGCTGTTTCCGCACCACAGAAGGTCAATGCTCCTCCTAAGACGTCACTAAAGCCAAGCCCAGAGGACCAGGAAGTGTACGGGTGGGTGTTCATAAATAACGGAAGCGTTCAGTCACACTCACACAGCAGAGGATTATCCATCACTGTACTGTGCTTCCTTGTTTTGTTTTTTTACCTCTAACTCGACAATGAACTGTAATCCAGACCCAACACAGTCATGGTGCGTTTCAAGAAAGGCGACAGTGTGGGTCTTCGGCTGGCGGGAGGGAACGATGTCGGCATCTTCATCGCTGGTGTTCAGGAGGACAGCGCGGCCGAGCAAGAGGGTCTCCAGACAGGAGATCAGATTGTGAAGGTGCCCGCACAACCAACCATGGAACATGTTTTATTTGCAGCTAATGTCTGCCTGATTAGCTGGCCTTGTTTTTCTCCTTTGTAACAAAATGTATTTCCAGGTGAACAACGTGGATTTCAGAGGCATGGTGCGTGAAGACGCTGTCCTTTACCTCCTGGATATCCCAAAAGGAGAAGATGTGACCATACTTTCTCAAAGCAAACCAGAAGGTAAAGAAGTATATAAGTATTGAGTGCTAAAACAACATTCACAGCAGCAACTTTGACCTAAAACATTTTTTAATCAGTCTTTGTCATTAATCTTTCAGTCTTTGTTCTGTTTCAGTCTACAAAGACATTTTAAATTCTGGCAGAGGCGATTCGTTCTTCATCCGAACCCACTTTGAGTATGAGAAGGAGGCCCCACAGAGTCTTCCTTTCTCCAGAGGAGAGATCTTCAAAGTGACCGACACCCTTTACGACGGCAAGCTGGGCCACTGGCTGGCCATACGCACAGACAAAGATAACCAGCTGCTGGAGAAAGGAATCATCCCCAACAAGAGCAGGTAGGGGTGACTAAAGACCAACTAATGTGAGACAGACAGACGTTTTCAAACAAGCTGGTGCGGTTCCTGATGAGGACAACAGAGATAATTAACTCATTGACTGCCAGCCATTTTCAGAACAGAGAATCCCATACTGTCAAGAGTCACAGAATAGTTTGTGCTATGACTATGTAAACACCGAACACACCAAAAGAAAGAGTAGACTCTCTTCTTTCATCAGGAAAAATTTTTTGTTTCTACCTTATTCCGTTCTTCCTCGACTTGCGTCTCACCGGCGACATGTTCTTTCATAGCGAACCATTACCTTTTTCTTATTTGCCTACAGTCTATGCTCATCTCCCATCAAAAGTGGCACTGCCACCTAGAGGGTCAATTTGTTAGTACATACTCTGTCTAGAAGCCTGATATTTACGGACAAGCTTTAGCAGATCGTCCCCCAAGCCACTCTCGTTGAAAATCATAAAAGACGTCTATAGACGTCTTTGGCAGTCAACGGTTGTATTTGAATTGACGTCTATAGACGTCTTTGGCAGCCAATGAGTTGAAAGATTTTTTCAGATTACTTTTCTCTGAGCAGCGGGCTAGATTTCTGTCCACCAAAAATCGTGTCAGGTTTCCATCTCAAAGCGTTGCCGACTTACAGCAAAAAAAAAAGTCTCATCACAGAGAAAATAAGTCAGCCTTTTGTCACAGGGCAGAGCAGATGGCAAACGTCCAGAATGCCGCCCGGGCTGCAACAGGCAACGACCGGGGAGACTTCTGGAGGCTGAGGGGTCAGAGAGCAGCCAAGAAGAAGGATTTGCGCAAGAGCCGAGAGGACCTGAGTGCCACTCCAGTTGCCACAAGGTTTCCTGCCTACGAGAGAGTGGCGTTACGCGAAGGTATGATGTAATATGCTCAAATATTTTCTTTGTTTATGGTATATAGAGGCATTTATTAATGTTGTTTCGTTTCGTTTAGCCGGTTTCAGAAGACCTGTGGTGATATTTGGGCCTATTTCTGACGCCGTGAACGAAAAACTGGCCAACGACCTTCCAAACGAGTTTGTCATAGCCAGTAAGAGTCCCCGTCGTTTGTGTCCCTCTGCATATTCAGATAGTCGTAGTTTTTCCTCGACTTTGTGACCGACTGGGTTTTTTTTCCCCACAGAAACGGAGCCCAAGGATGCCGGAACGGAAAAATCCTCCGGAGTAGTGAGACTGAACACCATTCGACAGATCATCGAGCAGGTAACGGTTCAGAGGGAAAGTGCAGTGTTGAGGAATCACTGCATCGCCAGCTCATGTCTTTATTTTCTCTGAGTTTATAGTTTTCAATCGCTATGATGGAAATCTGTCAACTCGGTTCTCATAAGGTCTCATGGTCCCACCAGAAAGGCAGAGTGAGAACCGCATATTATAAAAAACATATCGAGAGCCTTCAAAAATTCCTAGAGTAGTACAGATCATGAATGCAACACTCTACATATCCTAACAATATTCCACCCCATAAGGCTGTGCGTTTTTTTTGACAGAAGGGATAGATCTAGTGTTCACCCTTCGTAGAAACATAGAATTGAAAATTAAAACTATTGACTAAATGCCAAACCAATGTGTTTGATTAGTAATGAGTGTGTCTTTTTATGAAAGATAACAGCAGCACCACGTCGAGAAACACCAGACTATCTTTGCAAACTTTCCTTTGATTGACCACATGGTGTTTAAATATTGAGGCAGTGACCCACAGTGATACCTTAAAATAATTTTCATTTAGAGGATTTTGTTATTGCTTTAACCCCTGGGTTCTCCCGCTGCTCCTCCAGGACCGCCATGCCCTGCTGGACGTGACTCCCAAAGCGGTGGACACCTTGAACTATACCCAGTGGTATCCCATTGTCATCTTCCTGAACCCAGACAGCAAACAGGGAGTCAAGACCATGAGGAACCGCCTCTTGCCCGGATCCAACCGGAGTGCGCGCAAGTTGTACGAGCAGTCGGTGAAGCTGAGGAAGACCTGTTCGCACCTGTTCACAGGTTGGTTATGTGTCAACATGCACTCTGAAGGCTTAGTTAGAGGGGGCTAACGCTTAGCCTTATCCCGTTTGTGCTCTGCTTGTTTTTCTGTGAACATTTAGCCACCATCGACCTGAACTCTGCTAATGACGCATGGTATGGCAGCGTGAAGGAGTCCATCCATGATCAGCAGGACAGAGCGGTTTGGGTGTCCGAGGGCAAGGTGAGCCGGACCGAAGGAGGATGATGCTTCTGGGTCCCATTTTTAGGGGGATTCTGACGCTAGATGAGTTAGCGCTCACCATATTGTACCATCATCTCAGCTGGACGGTTCAGAGGAGGACCTGGATCTCCACGACGACCGCATGTCCTACCTGTCGGCAATGAGCGCCGACTATCTCAGCATGGACAGCCGCCTGACCAGCGACTACGAGGACACGGCGGACGAAGGCGGAGCTTACACCGACAACGAGCTAGACGAGACACTGGATGAGCCTCAGCCCGTGTCGGCCATCAGCAGGTCGTCCGAGCCCGTGCTGCCAGACGAGGTGGGTCCCACACTCAAACTACCCACATCGAGTTCTCCTGTCTGTGGTGTGACGACTCACCGACCAGCCTCCATCTCTGTGTAGAGGTCCCCCCATGAACCCCGGGCTCGCATGAGGAGCAGAGAGATTAACAGAGAGCCCAGTCCTCCCCCTTCTTTTGTTCCCGAACCCCCAAAGGTGAGAGCCTCCCCCCTCCTTCCCCTTCTCCGTCTGTTACAGCTACTTTCAGGCAGCACGTAGACAGCTCATAACGCCATTTTCTTTCCTTTGCTGGCACAGAAAGAGATTAATCTAAAGTTCAAAAGAGGATCCCTGCTGAAATGATGTTGATATCAGATCTCCGCCCGGTCCAAATACCTGCGTAATGATTTTGATCACTACCTTTGTGTTCCAGGTGCGCGCTCAGACCCGGACCGACTCCACAAGGAGCTATGAGTCGCAGTCCAGCAGCACCATCAGCAGCGATGCGGCAGCCGTAAACAAGCCCGCCCCTCCGCCCGTGGCTCTGAAGCCCTCCCTCACCCGTCTGAACCAGACATCAGAGGACCTTAGGGAGGGGGAGGAAGAGGAAGACCCTGCCAACAAATCCTTCATGGGAAAGGTCAGAAGTCCAACAGCAGATGTTAGAAATATCCTCTAAAAACTTCACTCTGGCTCCTCCTGCTTTTAAATTCCTCTCTTCTTATATTTCACTCAATAAATTACTTCCTTTTTCTTCCTCTTTGTTTTCTCTGTGCCAAATCAGAGAAAGGGCGACCAGGTAACTGTTCTGCCTCTGAATGTTTGCTCTTCTTTAAAAGCCTCATCATCCCACCATCAGTGCATCCCCACATCCTGAAACACCTACTCTCTATCTTGTGACTCATGCCATATGGATGTGCAGCATTTTTTTTTCATTTTTTTTTTCATCATGGCGCGTTCATTAACTCTCCTCTCTCTTCCCAGATTAAAGCTTTTGAGAAAATGGACCACCTGGCACGAGCTCAGAGGCTGCTGGAGCTTCAGGAGGCAGAAAACGCTCGGGTCAGTGAAGCCGGGGTTGTTCTCGTTACAGCGAGGAATAAGAAGGCTACAACTTCTCAGACGTAGCCTAGAACTGGTTCAATGTTTACCTGCATATATGGGTCACAGTTTTTAGGTAGATGGGCCGGGCTGCCATAACAATTCATACCTCTTACTGTTCTTCAGAGTCACAGCCTCTGTGGCGTTTTGTTGTTTTATCTGTACTGCTATTAGTGCTGACATATCTGGGTCTGTTCTTCTCTGTAGCTGGAAATCGCCCAGAAGCACCCAGACATCTACGCCGTCCCTGTAAAACTGCCCAAACCCAACCTCAACCGCCCTCAGCCGATTGGGTGAGAGCATCCGTCTCTTCTTATGGCCGGGAGCTGTAGATGATGTCACCCACTGCCGTTGTAAAAAAAAAATTAAACTGCGAGATGCTGCTGTGGCTGTGTGTTACCAGCTCAAGCTCCAGCGCCGAGCCGCAGGCCCCGTCCAGGCAGCCGTACTCGGAGGTGAGGGGACACGAGGACAGCGAGGCCAACTACCGCCGCCAGCTGGCCGACCAGACCAAGAGAGGGTACTACAATCCTCAGAAATACAAAGACACGGAGCTTTAAGCGGCCCGAAAGCCGAGAGAGTCACCGCAAGGTTCTGCTGCTCTACTGTTACAGTCAGACGGCAGCTGTTTCCACGGTTACAGCTTTAGCTGCTATGGCAAAACCCTCTGAACTTACATTTCCTGGCAATGTGGTTTCAGCTTTCATTTTTATACTATTTTTTTTGTTTTTGAACTATTGGTCCAGGAAACACGCGCGCACTGCTGGCTTCTCACTTTTTTTCTTTTTTTCCCCCCATATTCTTCAATTTCCGTATGTACATATTTTGTGTTGTTTTTGTTTTTTTTAATACCAACAACCTGTCGTGTGTTACAGTTAAAGTCTGGAGAGGCAAACATCTTACTATGAGCAGGGAAGACGAGCATTTTTATCCATCACAGGGCCGAAAATCCTAGTAGTAACGTCTGAAATCAGAATATAAAAGTCAATACAGGCAGGCATAAATTGAAGCCACCACACAGTCTGTCGTTCTTATGGAATCATGTCTAAAGCCAACAGGGTGTTGCACATGCTCTGTTAGCAGCTGCTCTGATACTAGACGTTCACTCCTCTGATCACTACCGTCCAGGCTTTGTCTGAGGCATGGCACCCTTCCACATTCCACCTGCGTTCACACTGTATGAGATGATTACAGAAGTATGGTCAAGTGCCTTGCGGCTCTCATTTATAATTTGGAATTGAAGAGTTCTGTTGGCAGGACAGTGTTTTTGTAAGCAGGACCAAACTGAGGGTTAAGTGTTTATTTTAACCTCATAATACAACTGTTTTATCATGTAATTCAAAGATAGGAAGGCTATTCAAATAAAATAAAATGTTATAATGTGTTTGGTGATTAAATATTCTTCTATATAATTTAACTTTGCAGCTGTCTAATGATTAGCTCTGCCTGAGCAATAAACAATGTCTCCAGAGCCAGAGGACTGAGATAAGCAGTATAAACGTAAAGTAAAGGTGGATTCCAATGCTGCAACATGGTTTGCTTGTCTTTATTAGCCGCTCGCAACCAGAGACAATCACATTTATATGGCTTATATTTTTCTATCGAACACACTCTTTAGTTCAGTCTTTGTGTACAGGAGCACCAGGAACATGGTGACAATCATTTTAGTTTCTTTTGAATTCGTTTGTTTGTGATTCTGTGATCTTTTTTTGTGTTTTTAGTTTATGATCCTTGTATTTCACAGCTCACTCTTGGAAAAATAATAAATAAGCCTTTTTGATACTGTCAGCCTGTGTTTTCACTGTAGTTAAACACCAGGGGAAATGGGGAATTTTGATCATAAGCTACCATCTTCTTATTCATCATCATCTCATTCATCATCTTTCTGCCTCCAAATGATACCAGTGTACTCTGGGAAATCAATGTTGGTTTATTTGTTTTTGGAATATTGGGAATCAATATTTTTTACTTTTAATATATTTCCATATGGCCACGTGTTAAGGAAAATTAGGACACGATCCCTATCATTTCTGTTAGCTATTCCTATTTCCCTAAAAATAATGCCAGAATAAGAAAAATGCCCCTAAAGGTAAAGAATACTCATTTCATCCTTTATTTGCCCGATTTCTTAAGGCCTTTGTGAAATATCTGTATCTTGGTTTTGTTAAACTTGTGCAGAGAGAAGGCACAACAGGTCCCTTCTCAGCTTTAATTTAACAATTAAGTTAAAAGAAACTGCTTTAATCTCTTTAGCCATATGTTTTGAGATCTTTTCTAAAGATGTTGGGTATCAGGTGAATACAGATTTAGGCCTAAATGACAAGAAATAATGCTTGGAGTGATTGAACAGTACTGATCTTTACATGGTTTATGCTAAAAAGTCTTATCTTTTTTCAGTAACAGCTGCTTCCAAACCCTGTTTGACTAGTTGTTGCCACTTATGTGCATTAAAGGCCCGAGCTGTTACACCACAGATAGGAACACTGCTTCCCTTCCAATAACGGGTGAGGGGAAACACTTTCAGGGCTTTATATTTTATGATTTGAAGCATTGGTTCAGTTAATCAAAACCAACTAACTTTAGTACTGTAAGTCATCTATAAGGGTGGGTTATCAAGAAGAAATGATCTATTTAATCTTCTGATATTGACGTAATAAACCATTACTACTAAACCATACTTTTAAGGGATTATTGGCCTATTTATTTATTTAAGTATACAAAAGTTGAGTTTTTAGAGCCAAGCAAAAGCAAAAAAAGGCATATAAGGTTTTGACTTCCCACCATGGAGGTAAAGAAAACTGTACTGGAATCATACTGCAATTATGCTAAATCAGATTTTTTCACAAGGCCAAAATACAGGGATGGGTATTGTTTTCTGTTGGTAGACACTTAAGATGATGAAATATACACTTTCATCCATCTATTATCTGCACTACTTATTCCTAGATGGCAATAGGAGCCTATCCCTGCATCGGGTGAGAAGCAGGTTTCAACTGGACAGGTCCATCACAGGGCTATACACATTTTAAAGGACAGACTGCATAAAGTCTTCCTTCAGTAGTCGATCTGTCACTGGCACAAACTGCATTAAACATAACTGTTTTGAGTATCACTCAACAAAGTCAGGAGTGGATTGGGTCAGAGGGCTTCTTTAAGTCTTTTCTTTTAATAGTTGAACACTTTTATTGTTAAACAGAGCATACCAGAATTTACTGCCATTTTTCTGTTTATTCTACAGAATTGTACATGCATTTTCCTTGATCATCACCATTCCTGTTAAAAGTTCTTTATCACTTGGGTCACCCTGGCAATTTATAGGTCCATCATGATGAGAGTACATTCAGGTTTTACAGCTATTTAACCAAAGCTAATATCGACACTGTTAGCAACCTAAATATAAACAAGAAAAGGAAAAAAAAAAACGTAAATTCTCTTTGGTCGAACATAAAATGCCACATGAACAATCAGCCTACTAGGATAAACTGCCTTTTGCTGTCATACTGGACATAAACATGTTTACATGACAGTCAACTGTACAGATTTAAGGCAAGTCAAGTGATATCAAACCAGGGTGCAGAGAGGAGGGAGAGGGAATCAAAAACAACTTGGAGGCAGTAGGATGGATAGTAGGAAAGACAAACTAAGTGAAGCTATGGAAACAGTGTAGAGTGAACTTTCAGATGTAGACGGGCTGCTCCTGCGCTGTCAGCAGGCGGTACATGGCAGCGGGCATCGTTTTCATGTGGATCTGGACAAAGAAACGACGAGCAAAACAAATGAGACTCTTCCCCCAATGAACTAGAAACCAACCCTTTGTCGCTTTTGTTCCAACTTTTTGCAGCCGTCAAATTCAAGATGATTTTTCATTTGAAAAGTCAACTATCTGTCTTTCAGATATTTGGTAAGAGTGTAATTGTAAATAAAGTATTGTTTGTGTGCTTTACAATGACACTAGATTCTAAAACTGAAATCATACCATATGTTTTTGTGAAAAAAAAATAGAGCTATCCACCAATAATAAAGCCTGACTTTACAGCAGAAGATTTAGAGATATGCATAGAAGATGGATACAAAAACAAAAGGACACAGACAAGGAAGAAATACTAATGGGAGTTTGGTAAATGGAACAACCAAATTATGTCTGGAGAGTTAAATAAAAACTTGCATCTGCTAGTTATGGAGCAGACATTGTTTTTTGTGTAAAGTTCTAAACGATAACGATTTGAAAAATAAGCAGCCTATGCACATTTCTGTTGTTGCACATTAAAAAAAGGTTTTCGGCCTTCAAGCTGAGGATGGACAGCACTCACTTTTAACAGTGAAACGAAAAATAGTTCAAGGCACTCTAATCAACAGAAGTGGAAAATCTGAAATGGCTTCAACAGCAAAAAAAAGGAGTAAACGAGTGTGAAGCTAGCTAGATAATAAGGATACACACCAAAATAAAGACTGTTCTCTGACACATAACTGTTTCAGTAGAAGTTATGAAAAGCAGAAAAAGTTGCCAAAAAGCCCTCACCTCCCCCATGGCGTTGGAGAGGATCTGAACGATCTTCTCATGAGGAGTCGCCACCACGCTCTGGCTGTTGATCTCGATGATGCGATGACCGACCCGGACGCCCCCTCGCTCGGCGATGCCCCCCCTCATCAGGCTGCAGATCTGCGGTCAGACACATTGGGGGTGAACGGGCAGCATTCCTTCAGAGTTGCTCAAAGGCTGCTCTGTCCGTTGCTGAGAAAGCAGCCCTGGTGATGATTGATACTGATACTAACTATGCCGTTCTGAACACTGAAGCCCAGCTGGTATCTGAGGTCCGGCCTGCGAATGAGTACCATGGTTACAGGAGGACATCTGACAATGTTCATCTTGATCCTGGATTGAGACTTAAGACCCTGCGGAAAGACGGATCTATTTAGCCATCACACCTATCAATCCATGCTAAAACTGGAACATTTCTCAAAACCAGGCTAGTCGGCGTACCTTGATGATGCTCTGGCAGGTGCTGAGCGGCAAACCCACCAAGCTTGTCCCATTTATGGTCATGATTTGATCCCCGATGTTGAGTCTGCCGGACTTCTCCGCAGGGCCGGCGTGCATCATGCTGGCGATGATGACGGTGGGGAGGATGGAGCCCCAGCCGGACTCCACGATCACCACGCCCAGAATCTCGCCCTTCTGCTTCTCAATGTAAACCTAGGTGAAAAGAGAGGTTCTTGAGGCGAGCAGTACCACTGTCCGGTTTATAGTTAACATTTTCTCTCTAACACAGTAACTCCTAACCAGCAGTTTAAAAACAATGGAAGGCAAACCAACAGAGCACAATAAAATGTTAAAACAAACTTTTAAAAGAGGCAATTCCGTGGATCAAGCATGTTGTGTTTGAATGACTATACATTGGCTGCCACCTGCTGGTCGACCTACGTCTTTGCAGTTCTCTGACTTGGAGAAATGGATGAGGTCATCGTTGTACATGTCCTGAGTGTTGAGCAGATCGCTGTACTCCCTCTGGCTCAGGTCCTCTGGGTCGATGCCATTGGCCCTGAGGAACTCCTGGTAGGCCACGCTGAAGGACTGCCCAATGGACTGTGCGATTAGCTGCGCCTGAGAGCACAGGAGAGGGTTGGCTCACACACACACCGAGCACAAACGGCAAATTCCAAAAAATGGAGCATTCAACAAAATGCAAACATATCGATGTTATCACATGCTGAGATTCTTTTTTGAGATAAAGTTACTGCTACCAGAAAAGAACCACTTCTTTATAGTGCGAGGTTTTTCATCCCTTTTATTGACTTTGAAAAGTCTTTATAAAACAGTGAAATAAAACTTTCCTCTGACCCTCACTTTTGTGAGTAAAGAGTCTCTGATCAAATGAAAAGGCACTGCTAAAGCTAAATCTTCCCCTTTGTGACGGACCCGATGGCTGCCTTTTCAATCTCTACCTCTCACATCGCCGTTCTTGTCGGGAAAAAAAGTCGGCCATGCTCTGGCGCACCTACAGCCGAGTGGCAGCTTAACAAAGCCTGACAACGGTCGCCTTCCCTCCCACAGAGCTGACCGGCACATTGTTAGTCATCCTTCGGTGCTCGCTGGGCCGCCGTTTTCATCAGCGAGACAAAAGCCGACAAATCACTAAACCCAGTTGAGTGGATGGGTTCAAAGTTCTAGATGCTAAATCAAACTTACAGGCAATGAAACTAAACTAAAAAAAGCTAAATCAACTTTTTGACCTGATGATTAGACCTGAGTAATAGAGTAAACTCTCTCCATTTTTGTTTCAAAGGGGATCATCCTTGACTTCCTCCACATTTAAAACTGTTTCAGATTATGTGTCTGGATGTAGATGAATGAAAATGCTTTTACCTTATAAAAATTAGCCCATAAGGTTACAATAATCATAGAAGGGCCCAAAGAACATATACTTCTATGAGTTAGTTCCATCCTTGGCTTTTATACGAGATTTTTCACTCTCTTTACAGATTTGCATAATACTGGGACCTAGAGATGTTCAAAGACCAGTTTAAAAAAAGAAGATTAATCAGAATTATTGATGATTTTGTCAGAAATTTGTCAGCCTTCTTTCATACCCAATGCTAACACACGCGCCTGTCACCATTTTGTGTTACAGATATAAGCTTTACTGTCCCACTTTTATTTGGGAATCTGTGGATTATAACATTTATTTCATAATACATGAGGAATTAAGAAAATGTGAGATCCCCACCACTATTCTATCTGAAGCCAAATTAAAGCTTTTTAGGGAATTCTTTGCCATACAACATTTTGTTGTATAGCACACATTTGTGAATTAGTGACATCCCATTAACATATCACAACATAAAATTTCAAAATCTTCTGTGGAGTAAGTCTTCTTCCATTAAACTCTTAATGACGATTCAAGGAAAGTCTCACAAAGTTCAGACTTTATGGGACGTAACAATATCATATGATGGACCAGATTTTATGTGTAAAAGAGGGGGAAAAGGGCGAAGGGCAACTCACGTCCTCGGATTCGAAGACATGGCAGATCATTCTGTACAGCCTCCTGTCGTCGTTGGACATGGTGGTTTGCTCATTTGTGTGATCCAGGTTATCCTGTGCGCTGCGGGACCGGACCATCTTGCCCCTGGCCATGAGAACCACCATGTTCCCTATGTCTGCTATGTAGGATATTGTCCTTAGAGGAAGGTCCATTAATGACTCCTGGTGGACAAAAAGACTACAGTAAATGTGGTTGTAGGTAAATCAATAAGCTACTACTTCTCATCGTAGACTGTACTGCTTGCTTTCCTGCTTCTTTCACTTAAACAAGCAAGGAAATGTTAGTAATATCAAATTATATTATCACATACCTGTGTATCTGCATTGAGGACTTTGATCCTCTGTGTGGACATGAACAGGTCAACCTCAGCAGTAGACGCAGCCTCGCCGTCTGCACTCTGCACAGCCAGAGGAAATTGCCAAGAAAAGAAGGAAGCAGAAGAGGCACAGATTAAACGAAGAGTTATCATGGTCAAAAGCCTGCAAATCTAGAAAACTGTTCATGTGTGGTTAATCTGTTGACCTAATTTTCCTCTGGCAATGTCTATGGAGCATGGATTTCTGAAAGAATAAACAAACCTCACCTTTTTCCTGTTCTTTGCCTGCTGTTGAGCAGCCTGTAGGGAGCAGAAAACAGAACGTTTTTTTTCAGAAAAAGGACAAATCAAGGCATCAATTCTAGATGCAGCTTTTAGGGCGGACAGACAAAAACCCAGGAACCTCATTCGCTGTGGACTGTCTCCGTTCCAAATGCCAAATAAAGGGACAAAAGAATCTCAAAGGTGAAAATATGTGTGTCGTGTGGGAAGACTGTGAGGCTGCTGTCAATCACATCTGACAGTAGCAGGAAGCCAGAGGCCTTTGCAGCACACACTATCACAAGTTTCCTCTTCATCAATGTGACACTGGCCACCCTGAAGACGAGGGAAGAGGGGGCTCATGTGTTTTCGGCTGACGCCTCGTCACAGCTCAGGGTCGCAAAATGTCGGCTTGTTGGACCATCTGCATTTTATATCACACCACTTCCGAGATTTGAACTTTTTCTGATGTGATTAAATGGAACGAGCTTTGATTGAATGCCTGCCAGAGAGCCGCTGCCATAGATTTACAGAATTTGGTTGATCCAATCAGTATTTAGGATACTTGTCATGTGTAATAGCTCACGTCTCCGAGGATTTTTACTTCCTTCACACACTGCTCCATAAAGACAATCGGTTTGGGTTTGCTCTCCACAAAGAAGATCAAATAATACCTAAAATGATTCCTTTGACAAGAGTTTAAAAATTGGCTCGACCAAGAGGTTGGCTTTAGAAATGGTCAAGTTAGAGATAACAACCATCTCAAATGTCAAGTTAGGGATTACAACCATCTCAAATGCCATAAAATGCCATTCTAATTCAAATTATTCTATAAGAAGGATTTGGTTTTAAAAAAGTTTTGCCATAAGGTGATATGATAAAAATATCACCTATGGTATTAAAGGGTTAAATATGGCTGTTTCCTTATATAAAATGACGAAACACTATTATAAATGAATAATTCTAATAAAAGTCTCTAACAAACCTGGTATTTAATAATCTAATGATTTTTGCCCATATATTTAGGTTAACTTTACTCATTCTAACTTTAGGATTGAGCATGTTCCACGTCGGCTATGTAAACATTGTAAAAATGATTTTTAAATGCACAGCCAAGAACCCCAAAACATTATCCTTCAGGCATTTGTGGTTACAGATGGTTCTGTCTGATTTGGAATAGGTGAAGTTTTGGTTAAAAAACGAGCTCTGATCGACTAAAAAAAAATACCCCGGTAATGTGTGAGGCGTGGCCTCTGCTCCTCCAGGAAGCACACCTCTTAGATCAGTTTCTCTCCAGCTGCGCCAGCTGTGCATCACAGCGTCATGCTGCTCTGGAGTCTGACGCCTGACCGGTGGTGGATGTCAGCATGTGCCTCTGTTCCAGGCCTGTCATCCTCAGCGCTTTCATGTGGCGACAGAGCACCTCGTGTGATAATCATCATCTGCCTCTCTATGCTGTTTGTCTGAGTCATCCGCTTTGACATACCTGCCGTGTCATATTCTTTAATCCATTATTATATTCATAATTGCCTCTCCATCTTTTACTTTCCAAAACATAGTGTTTCATTTACTGCAATTTTGGAAACACTTTTTAAAGCAGATTTATGTAAACTGCATGAATTGACTTAACAATTTAATACCACATTTCGAGTTCCATTGGCTCTAAAACCATAAATCAGCTCATACTCTGACATACTCTCTACATTTGGATAGTTAGATGAGTCAACAAAGATGTTTTGTGTGTGGGTGTGTCTATCTACAGGATCACTGCTCAAAAAATCTCCAACACATTTTCATTGGTATTCTCCATTTTATCCATTAGAATGAAAGCTAAAAGCATCTCCGCTCTCACGTGATGCACATTCAGCTACAGAGACTGTAACCAGAGAAGAAAGCCCCGTCCCGAGTCTCGTGCAGCTGTTCGTGTAACATGCTCAGAAGCTGAGCGGAAAGTCGCTGTATGCACTCTGCATCATGAGTGGTGAACCGTAGATGATGTGTTGAGCACAAAAGAGAGAGATTTCCTCCTCAGGCTCTGTCGACCGCTGTCTAAGAGTGTTGGACTTGAAAAGACCAATATGAGGTGAACCTTTGTGACGTGGCTGAATAATGGGCCTTAAAACCTAAAAGTAATTGGAAAAAAAAGGAGATGTAATGTCTGTGTTCCTTGGTGTTTGTCTTAATTCATTAGACGTATACTTCTATGATGCGTTTCAATTAAGTTTAAGCTTTAGATTTAAAGAAACCATAGAATATGTTATTGTATGTAAAAACAGTTGTACACTCTCTTTTAATTTATGTATTAGGATATTCAAAAAATCTATGTCTTACCAAGTCTTAAAATGAAAGATATGGAATTTTAAACATACAACAAGATATAGCATTTTAAACTCTGTTACTATTTATTTAATAAAAACAAAATATTAGAGAAATGTTCACAATGTTGTCATTAGCGTTATACTTTCTCTCATTTTTTATACCTCCTAAGAAAAAGGTGAGGGGAAATTGGGACTGTCATGTATAACCTCGCCACTAACAGCCAAAAATGAGGTGAACTCAAAATAAAGTAACACATTGTATGTGGTTTGCTCTCACCCGTACTCTGCTCATGGCCTCGTGGGCCTGCTGCATGCGAGCGCTCTTGGTGGGCGTCCTCTCTGACAGCAGGTGAGTACAGCCAAGGTAGGTGGCAGCAAAGATGATGCCGTCAATAAGGTCCTCGGGTTCGCACGGTCCCGGGACTGCACGACACAGAAGTGGCTGTTAGTCACACTAACACATTCACCTACTTCAAACATATATTTGGGATTGAAGATATTATTTGATGCAACTACACTACATCAGAAACTTCTAAAATATCTGTTTGAAATCGCGTCACATGAAGCCTTGAGTGGAAAAACAAAAGAGGCTTCAAATGTAAGCACTAATTTGTATTCTTTTCTTTGTTTAGATGGAAAGAACAACGATGAAACCATGATTTTCAAATGGAATGTCACTCACCGTCTACAAATGTGGGAAAGGGAGGAAGAGCTCTGCGAATCTGAGAAGTTGAAAACAAAGACAAACCCCCCCCCCCAAAAAAAGTTCTTATTATTTTCGCTTATGCACTGTGGTACTCTAAACTCATTTAAATTCAGCAGGATTATAAATTGTACACACAACCCCTTTTCTTTTCACAGCACATCTATTACTATCTGTTTTTCATTGACAATAACACACAAAAATGTGCTGCTGTGTCAACCAACATGCTGATAACGATATATGGTTAGGCTCTCACCTCCTGGACAGACGGTTTCTGGAGGGGGGACTCTGACTGCGCTTGCGTCTGAGACTGTGGACTCTGCTGTTCCTGCTGACGTTGGCACGGTTGGTGCTGATTTGGGGCCGTGGGGTCATACGTCTGTGGCTGTGCGTATGTCTGTGGGGTCCTGGCAGCATCCCTTTCATGGGAGTAGTGGCCTTGGTGGTGGTGATGGTTGTGCTGGAGCTGCTGCTGCTGTTGATAATGCTGTGGTTTAGGGGACCGAGATTCGGTTCTTTGAGGGCTGACGATTTCCCGAAACGGGTGCGAGGCGTAGTGAGATGGAGACTCCAAAGCAGACAGAGATGGGGAGTGAGGAGAAGACTGCTAGAAGAAACAAAAGCCAAGGAAAATCACATTTCAAGCAATAAAATGAGAACCAAAGATGTCAAGATGGAAATTTTGCATTCAGTTCATGTTTGATCAATTCTATTTCCAAATTCCAAATGCGTAAAAAAAAAAACTGACAAAATAAGCATAAAAAAGTGCATAAAAACAATCTAAACTATTCTGCTTAGAGCAATTTAAAAGATAAGTCATACTAACATGGCCGGTAGTGGCTTGCGTTGGGTATGTATCCTCTGTTGGGCTGATCTCCTGTCTCATCACCCAAATGGGCTCCACAGGCTCGTCAGGTGTGTAGGGCGAGCGCACTGTCTTAGTTTTGACTCCCTCAATTGCCTCCCTAATGTCTTTAATCGCCAAGCTGATCGCATCTCCAGAGCTCTTTGTTGCTTCTGCCAAGAGACCCACCGCATTCCGATCACCGTGGGGCTCATTCAACATATTCTGCCTGAAAGACGGACTCTTGGCTTGGGTCTGTTGTTGTTGAGATGCCTGCCTCCCACTTTTTGTGAGGGGGCTTTTATCTGCACCTTCCCCCTCTCCATCAGACTTTCCGTTGTAATGGTGCAAGCGGCAGCCAACAGAGCGATCCAGAGGGGAATGGCAGGTGCCACGTTCTCTTGCTTGCCTCGGGGCATGATGGGAGCCTTCAACGGTTGAGGATGGAGCCCCTTTTTGCACGTGGATGGTCGTAGGCTCTTGGCTAGACTCTTGCTGGGCCTTGTTAGGCTCACCCCTCCGACCTGGTTGCCAACGGGGTTCCTTGTTCGGTTCTGGGTAGGAGGTCTTCAGGGGCTTGGGAAAAGAGTTTGGGTGGGATTTCGGTTCGGAGTACGATTCGTGGACCGGCTCTGCGTAAGATTTTTGGTGGGATTCCGAGTAAAAGTCTGCATAGTGTTTTGGATAGGATTCAGAACAAGAGGTTGAATGAGACAGCGAGCAGGACTCGGAGCAATCTTCCTCCTCCTCTTCAGGTAAGGGTTCGTTGTCCGGAGGAGAACTTCCACCAATGTCCTCATTGAAGTGGTCCAGTTGGGGGAAAGGGGGAACATCAGGGGAGGAGGGAGGAGTTGGTGACTGGAGCGGTGGTGGGCTGTGCAGATGTCCGTCCATACTGAGTGAGGCGGCACTCTCGGTGTCAGAGCACAGATCTGTTATTTCACTTCCCTGTACAGCAGGATCCTCCTCTGCATTGTCCATCACATCTTCCTGAGGCTCCTCCCCCCTTTCAGCTTGTTCTTCGGCTCTTTCATCGTGGCAGTTGCTTGGGGGGCCTGCTGACGGGTGGAAGTCTCCACCATCCGCAACTTGTTCTTGATCTTCTTCGTTCTCTTTAACTTCCTGTGATTCCTCTTCCTGCTTGGCTTTACACTCATGGAGGTCCTCCTCTGCATCTGGAGGTGCATTATGAGGGTCAAACTGTGTGTGATGCTTGGCAGAAGTTGGCGAGAGGTTGGTTGGAGTTTGTTGAAGGGAAGTCCTGTCCTGGGATTCTCCAACTATGGGATCGACCGCTAAGCTTTGTTGTGCCCCTGCTCCGTCGACATCAACAGCGGAAGAATATTGGGTCTCTCTGAACTGCTGCCGCTGTCGGTGACCCCTGAGTCTGGGGTTTGGGTCACCATGACGGCGGTATCGGGCGACAGCAGGGCGGGGCTGCTGGATGGGACGTGTTTCACCAACCTGACCGTCACCTCCATCTACCCTTGAGGGCCCCCCAGCTGGGACCGCACCGGGACTCTGAGCCTGGTTCTGTCCTTGCCCCGACAAAGGCCGCCGACGCTGACGATGGTGTCCACGACCCATATGGTGGTGGTGAGGATGGTGATGATGATTATGTTGATTATGATGATGGGAAGTCGGTTCTCCGTCCTGGTTGAGTACCTGGCACGGCCTCCAGGACCGACGTACTCCAGTGGTCCCATTGGGTTGCCTGCTCCTGGCAGGGGCTGAGGCTGCTGTCGGCTCCTCAACTGCTTCCTCTGTCACATCTTCCTGATACTTGTGGCTCATTGCAGGGGCTTTATTTGACTCCAAATTTCAGAACATGCTCATCTCTCGAAGAACCCACTCATAACTCAACCTGGGAGAGGAAGTGGCAGAATACAAACAAGATGTCACATTAAACAGAAATAATGACATTTATGAGTCAAGCTAAGCTATTATTAAGGATGGTAAACGCTTCAAGTTTTTGAAAGCATATTTGAATAAGTCAAAGTATGCTTTGATGGTGAGGAACCCTCCAACCTGATTTGACATGATTACCAACCTAATTTTCCTGTCCTTTTGATCGACTTTTATATAGTTGATCAGATATTGTTTGAAAAAACAAGTTAGCTGCTATGACCAATTCTATGCTTAAATATTAATAATGAATTGGTTTTTAGACATCTAAAAAAAATGATAAAAAATGTATTTGTTTTCTATACCGCATGTTTCTAGTTGAGTTTTCGGAGGGCTGGTCACCAGACCATCAAAGGGCCATACAGAGATGAATGAGACTGACAACCATGCACTAACCCACACACCCAATCCTGTGGGAAATTAAGAATCACAAACCCAGCTAACATGCATGTTATTGGACTTTGGGGGAAAGCTGGGTTTGAGAAGAGAACCCCCACATGCAAACTCCACACAGAAAGATCCCATCAGGGAATTTTCTTGCTGTGAGGCACTGATGCAAACCACCACCCCACCAAGCAGCACTTACAAAAATCAACTGATCTTTTCTGACAGTTTATAATGTAAACGTAAAACCCCCCACATATATCATGCCCACTCTGCTTTGTAGCTGCGTCTGTGCTTGTAGTAGCCTTCTGCTATCATTTGGCGGCAGTATCAAAAATATTTGAAGATATTATTTGATTAATTCATGTAAAACATGTCGGGATGTTAGAACTTACCCATGTACAAAGCTGACATATGGGGTGATGCTGAACAATTTTTTGGCATTGCTAAGCCAGACTGTTGTATAACTCACAAATAGTTTGACAGATCGTATATCATCATATATCTTTTATTTTAAAATGTTGTGTGCTACATTTGGTTATAGCATTATTAAAGAAAAGGAACAAAAGGGGTATGACACAGGACTCACCCTGTCTCTGTACCACTAATACTAACATTTTAAATCCCCTGGGAAGCAGTGCATTTTAATCTGCACCACTTTCATCCGTCCACCAGCAGCTGGCAGATGGCACAAGATGGAAGGGAAAAGGAGGAGGAGCAGCCATGGGGCGGAGCAGAACACCAAGGAGGGAATTCTATATGGTCTCTGATAAGACCTGACTGAGGGGAATAGAAAGGGCAGCATTCTAAATAATAAATGGAGTCTTTGAACAAAAAACAAGTCAATTTTGAAGCTGATTTGATATGACAAGCCTGTGAAGGTGTCCATCAGCTACCTCCTATCACAAGGTTAAATGTTTCTGTGGTCAAAAGCAAAAGCACACCGGAATCAACTGTATCCCTAAAGGATACAGTCTCCAGTAATAATCAAATGGCTCAGTGATATCAACAAAGAAAAAACATTGGTGTCTCTCAAAAATTAGAATAGGCTCAGCTCATTCGGTCCTATAATCATAAGATACATTTTTTTTACATGCTTGCACAAGATCTTTATCAAAATCTATTCAAATAATTTCCCTTTTGGATTTTGTATTTGAGCTCAACTCAAAATGCATTCTGAAGTGACTCCAATTAAATAATCCAGACTGGCGTCTAAACAATACTATGTGATTATTTTAACGTTCCTTCCTAAAAATATGAAGAAAAAACATGGATTCCAACTGCTCTTGAGCTCTAAAACTGATACTTGATATTGAATGTGCACAGTTCTTACTAGGACCACAAGCAACAAGTTACTTCCAGAAAGTTACAGATTTTAACTAAACTTTGAGCTGCTTTTGTTGTATATGTAGTTTTGTATTAAAATGTAAAGGTACAATCTTATGGGGAATGCTTAATGTTGACAAGCATTGTTTGTTTGGTTGTTATGTCGTGTTCTCTTTTTTTGCTAGCAGAATTAGTTTCAACATTTCTTTTTACAAAGTCTTTACGTCTCTAATTCTCATATCCAAATGTTAAACGTCTGTCCACTTCAGGTATAAAACACAATGTAATTTTAATGTAAAGATAGATGTGTAAAAATCAAGGTTTCAAAATCCACTTCATATAACAACACAATACAAAAATATTGCAGAATACGTGCGGATATATTATAATTTTTTTAATGAATCTAAAAAATGTGGGTTTGGATCTTTTGAAGGACCAATTTGGCATAGCACAGGCTTGGGAATGATCAGTTCTACCAGAGAATAGAATCGTATTTCTTCTTTCCCCCATCGCTTCTCCACTCAACTTGACTATTTTGGTCAAACAAGGCAAAATCTGCCCAGGCAACAACAGTTTGAAATGGTTCTATCTAACAACACTATGTCATAAATATTTTCACACTCTCTGAGCGATAGTGAAAAGCAGCACTGTGACACTCTGAATTTTATGTAACCCTGGTTACGAGCTTCCCGGAAGAAGCCGACATCCTTGGTTCAAAATACTCAAATGTGTTAAGTAAGGAGATAACTACAGCCATTTCATCATCAATAGTGTCAAAAAAGGAATGTGATTCTAAATATATGCATAAAAGAATCATGGTTGCTTCAAATTTTGTATCTTCTTGTTTATACACGTCCTATTTGGTTGACTGAGAAGAAGACTAAATATACACAACTGTCAACTCCAAGAGGGGAGCCAGTAAAGACAGATGTAGTTTTTTCAAATCTATGCCCATGAATAAGCTCTTACAATAAAAATGAATATTCTTGCACAAAGATAAGACTGCAAGTTATAGTATCGATCATATAATTTGAACCCAAACCACTAAAATCCCATTGTGGATTGACCCTGATGGGACACAGTAGGAGAGTATATGGACTCCCCTTATTCCTTGGGTTAACAGAGGAGGGTGATGGTGATTAGGTCACTGGGCGAGTAAGAAGGGGGCAGCGTGGGTCCCAGATGGCCCTGGCAACACACCATGCCCGAAAACAGGGTGGTCAAAGCTGATAGTCGAGCACTGCATTTCCATCTGTTGGGCGGCAGTGAAAGCTCCTCTCTGGAGGATTTATGAGTCCATTAACTTACTGATCTTACACTCTCAAACAGATCCTGACGACAACTCATGCGTTCTAAATACACTTGCAAGTTACTGAATGAAAAAATCCATTTGATGCAATCAACAGTTCCAAAGCACAAAAAAAGGTGAAATTTAGTCTTTAAGATGAAGTTCTAAAATAAAACAAACAGTTTTTATCATTTCAAAAGAATGCTCATAATGTAAGAATACAATTAGACTGATGAAACAATTGTTGCTTTGCCAGGTTATTTACAAAAGTGCTAGTATTCAATCATCATTGATTTTTTTTTAATGCTAACTGACGCTAAGACTCATAAACAATGAGCTTTAAAATTGATTCTGGGCATTATGTAGTCTGAGCAGGAACAAGGATCTGTTTGAATGCTGAATATGCTTTGTATTATTATTATTATTTTGAAATCTTATAACTTACATATACATTTTATTGTTAAACAATCCTGGGTTTCATCTTGGCAACACATCCAATTACTCTTTCTTTTTGTCAGTTCCAGAAACTCAGTGTGTCAAAAGGTGATACTGTGGGGGTTCCCTCTGGATTTATAGAATACTAATGAGGTCAGCCTACTCTAATGAGAGTAGGTTGACCTACATAGAGGCTGCTGGTGGCTAGTAAAGGTGTTACTAAAATTCTTAGTTAGCAAGTAATTTCACCCTCTGTTATAGACACAATTTCATGCTAGTCCAGTCTCAAAGTTGACTACTAGATGTCAGTAATTCACAATCCTACTTATGGACATTTATGCCCATTTGGGCAACTATCCCCCTTTATCTGGGACTACTTTTTGCAGTATTAGTTCTATATATTTTGTAAGTTTATGTTCTAACAAAATCCATCAATCCATCTTATTCCGCTTATCTGAGAGGTTTGCCTTTAGGCTTTTTGTATAAAAGTTTCTCTTCTAAAAAACTTTCAATTTCAAATTAATCTTTGTAACACCACAACAGAATGCTGTGAAATAAACTACCGTCTTGAGTCATCCAGAACAAAATGTCCACATTCATGAAATTCTATAAAAACTTAACATATTAATATTTTTCCAGATTTTTTCCCTGAATAAATGTCTTTAACTACTTCTGCCCTGCTCAAAACTAGTAAACTACCATTCAAAACATTTTAAGAGTTTAACTCTTTAACCCTAAAGTGCCTGTTTAAAGCCTACAAAGCTCAATAACCCAAGCACAAAAACAAATCTAATTATGAGCATCTAGTCCATAGGTCTACAATCTGAGAAGTGGCTGCTGATAGTGATAAAAAGGAGACATCTGAACTAACATCACATGATGGTTGATCATATTGTTAAAGCCACAAGTTAAACAAAATGCTGCAAAAAATGTTGTCCTTAAATGATTCAAGAGGGTAGTAAACCTTTAATTGGCTGATACACAAAAACATGCAAAAAAGTCCAGATTTGACTCATCCTCGACCTGTCCACAACACTATCTTTTCAAAAATAATTAAATCAGAAGCAAATTTACACAGTTAAGATATTTAAAGTTTTGTTTTGTGTATTTTTGAAAAGATGAGATTTTGTGCAGAAAAAAAGCAGAAAATTACTAATCTGTAAAGTTTTTACAGTGTAGATTTTTGTTCTTAATGACTCTTCCTGGTAGTAAATTAAACTGAAAAAGAATCGATTCATAATATATTTTTGTAAATGATTTAAATCCCACCTTAAATCATAAAATAAAATCCTTTCATCCTTGAAGCCAAATTTTAACCAGTAAAGATAACACAGCTGTATAATAAGTCAAATATTGCATTAAGTGCTAAACCAAAATTGTCCATGATTAATTCCAATCAAAACCAAACCTCAGCTTCAAGTTGCATTACTGTAGATTGAGCTATTCCAATTTTTGCTTTGGTCTTTTGGCTCTGGCCTGGCAAAAAAAAAAAGACAATTGGTGTGGTGATTTAGAAAAGATTGCACACCTCCAGTTTGTCAGTGCTTCAGAGTATGATTCATCCACTGAGGTTCTGCAAACACACGCCACATGGTGACACTCTATCACTCGGCAGGCATATGGTCCATGTAGGGACGCATCAATTATCACGTTCCGTGCGTCGTGCACAGGGATGACAGATAGAAGGATGGGAGCAGAACTGGCCAGTGCTTATTTTTTGCAGCTTTATCTTGCTTCTTAAACGTCCCTCCCATAACCTTCGACGGCTTTAACACATCCAAAAAAAAAAATATTCATAAATAAACGGCTTCCCTTGAGATCCATCTCATTAAAATGCGCTTACCGTGCGTGGCACGATTCCTATCTGCGATGAGTGTTTCGGATAACCTGTGATGCGTATTTCCTGCCAATTGCATAGGCTACGCGTCCTGTAGGCTACTGTATCCAGAGTGGGAATGTTTGATATTTAATCTAAAAGGGATAGGGGAGAGAGGCAAGGTGGGGGTGGAAAGAGAAGAGGGGGGATCCAAATGTACAAGCTGTCACCTGTCTTCAAGACTCCCTCTCCCTTATCCATAAAACTCCGCAGGTGCAGGATCCGCCATCAATGAAACGACCCAGAGCTTATTCTGGTACCACCGCCCTGAACCTGGACCAGGCAACAAAAAAAAACAAAAAAAAAGACAAATATCCCCCTCTTCTTACCGATTGTCGGAGCTGTGGACATGACAATTTCCTCCTTTACCTGCATGTCAGAGAAGGAGAGGCCCAGCTCCGGCCGCCGTCGCACGCATTGACCCTGAATCCGTGCGCGCTCCCGCCGGGCTCGGCTCGGCTCGGCTCGGCTCTGCTCAGCGCCTCCAGACGGGATTAACGCGCAACGCTCAGCCCCTCCTTCCTGCTCCGTGACATCAGAGCAGGATTAGCTGGACACAAAGCGCCTTTATAAAACACTGCTGAGAGCGTTCGTGCAGACCACGAACACACCAGCAGCCCCTTATCCCTCCTCCCGCTCCATCACCGGCAGAGTGCTGCAACGCACGCTCCCGCGCACAGACCAGGGGGTCGCTGTTATCCGTCTACTGAGCCTTCAGGAAAGTCACTACATGCAGAACCACACTGGTACAGCCATCAGCCTGCCTCCATTTAGCCAATTCCTCCAAAACTATGTCAGTTGTTGAAAAAAAAATCATCTTATTACTGGAGACAAATTCTTTAACTCAAACTCCATCACTGATCCTGAATGCAACACATCCAAATACTGTTTCAAAAAGGAAACAAATCACTCCAGGTGCCATATAAATACATATTAATACATATATTTAGAATATTTACAGACACCCTCAAACTATAGCTACTGTAGGCTATCTCTAACAAAAATAAAGAGACACATTTGACAGTCTCTATAGAATTGAACCTGTAGCAAATGTACTGAACTTGATACAATACATTCAATTCAATTCAATTCAATTTTATTTATATAGCGCCACATCACAACAGTTGTCTCACAGCGCTTTCCAAACAGAGCAGGTCTGAAGTTAATTACAGAAACCCAACAATTCCCACCATGAGCAAGCACTAGGCGACACAGGCAAGGAAAAACTTCCTTTTAACAGGCAGAAACCTCGAGCAGAACCATGGGTCAGGGTGGGCGGCCATCTGCCTCGGCCGGTTGGTGGTGAGAAAAAGAGAGGGCAGGAGAGAGGCCGCCAACACAGCAACACGTAGACTAGATGAAAAATGCCAATGATATTAATACTAATGATGATGGTAGAAGTTATGACAGCAATAACACTATGCAGAGTACTATGTCAGTTATTGGAATAAAATCATCTTATTACCGGAGACAAATTCTTTAACTCAAGCTCCATCCCTGATCCTGAATGCAACGCATCCGGACACTGTTTCGTAAAGGACATAAATCACTCCAGTTGCCATATAAATACATATTAATACATCTATTAAGAATATTTACAGACACCTGGCTTTAACCCTTCAGCGTAGGCTATCTCTAACTAAATTAAAGAGACACATTTGACATTCTCTATAGAATTGACCCTGTAGCAAATGTACTGAACTTGATACAATACATTAATCTTTCTTTTAAATGTGAGATCTTTCACAAATTCTGGGGAGACCTTAGGTTACATTTCCACATTCTTGTATGTTTAAAGACATAAAAGGCTATTTCTAAAGACCCACTGAAACAGTTTACAAAATGTGGTAAACTATATTACATCTTTTTTTTATATTTGTTATGTATTCAACATGTATCTATTTATTTGACTTTTAATCAGTATTTGTATTTCTTTCTAACACAATATTGTATAGTTTATTGACACTATCATCTAACCAACTTGTTTTTCTTTTTTCTTTTGCTACAATATAGTTTTTCCCATTTATTTAACTTTAATAAAGTTCAGAAAAAAAGTTTAAGTTTAGCCATCAGCAGCATCCATGCAGCTAACTCAAATCCCCCCAAAACAAAGTCTTTTTAAAGGTACAATGTAATTAAATATGGTCTTGTTGTAATTTAAAGGTTTTGCCAGCATCTCTGGGGTATTGGTGGTACTTTAGGTATGCCAGTTTAGCCCTGTTTTGATGTCACCTGAAATCCAACTGAGCAGATTAACGAAGTCTGCCTCTACACTGTTGAGCATTCCCATCTACGTCACGCCACCTTTCCTTTCTGCAAGAGCAACCGTTACCGTGACAACAGCATGTGATGTGGGGTAGGGATGGCGTGGTGTAACCATGGATCAATCTGTTTTTACCGTCTCACTCGCCTTCCATCCCACACAGGGAGCCGACACAGCTTGCCCAAACACACGAAATGTGAACCTCAAGGTTCATTTTCAAAAAGCTCCAACACATGAAAAGCAATAAACAAAGTGAAAAATGTCAGTAATGACAGCCCGATGCAGCCTATATTTCATTTCAGGTCACTACTGGTCTATTTTCAGAGAGTACATCAATAATTTTGTATGCCTCTCTCTGCATACATGCATGAATGTACAGTAAATGTGTTAGACAGCACAGAGCATATCCAGTATTGTAATTAACATACATTAAAGTTTCATCATGGTCCATTACTGGGTTATTTCATATCATGTTGGTGGCTTTGATTCAAGACTTTGCCGTCTTCACGAGAATCAGGATTCAGGTTTATCTTCTCAAAGTCTGTGTTTTCAGTGGATCTGAATGTGGCAGCTTTCAGGATGCTGCTGGTTAAGTAGCTATTTATTTTCAGCTTTTTAACTTTAATGAAGAAGCTTCACACTCACGATTTTTCCAAGAAGCTTACGAGAACAGTCATATTCTCAACTTCAGTTTGTTTATGGTGAGTTTTCATTTAATTATCTTAACCATGTTTCAGGTCCATTTGTGCACATTACTTTCCAAGAATTGTTTTCTTCTGCATCTATCATGTGAACATTCTATTATGTACTTTACTTGCTGTTCATTACTATTTTACTTGAAATGTGTCGTTTATACTTGTCCTTTTGTTTGCCTTTGTTATTTCCATGAAGGTGGCTGTTTTAATTTAAATTTAAATTGATTAAAAGGCATAGACTTGAGGCACCTCTCATCATTTATCCCTGCTAGAGTTGATGGAGAATCCACATTTTAGCTTGTAGACATGAGGCAAGTAATTGTAGATTTAATTAAGTCACTTTATCAAAAAATAAAAACTGAACCAACTGAAAGGTGACAGATGTAAACTGATCATGTGCCAACATGGCAGATAAATGAAGACATATCAGGACAATCACTGGTACGTTGCTTGTTTATGTAGCTTATAGCTTTTCTGTATAGTGTTTAACTACTCAAAATGCTTTTATATTACAAGCCACATACATTCAGTCACATACAATACACACACTTATAGAGCATGTATAAGTCTATACATGTATCTAAATGACCCAGACAGGGTTTTTTCTTCAATCAAAAATAATTACAGATAAATTAAATATAGATGTAATAAATGTGATGCCAAAGATTGCTTCAAAATATGGCAGCTGGAGTCAAATCACTTCCATATCACTTCCAACTGGGAGACCACTAATCTTCATCTTGAGCCACAGCTGTCCCAGACAAAGAAATAAATCATAAAACAGACTAAAAGCATTCATCCATCAATGTCCTATAAACAATTCAAACATCTGAAATTCATGTGGAACCTATTCCAGCTGTAGGACAGGTCCATCCTACTCCCAATGCAGATACAAACACCCATGGACACTAACATTTCCGTTCAATTAAGGGGCAGAAATCAGACTAAAATTAATGGTTTAGGATAGTAGGATTAAATCACAGAACATGCCAGCTGAGATTTTTACCAGAGACCATCTTCCTGTGAAGCAACATTGCCACCACTACTCCATAATGCAACTCCAAGACTCAAACATAGAACTATAAAACTAAACAGAATACATTATTAAGTGAGCTTTGAGCATTAAATAAGTTTTTAAGAGGATATTAACTACAATATAAGATGGAATAAGGCAAATGATACCAGAAAAACGTGGGAGAACAGCACATCAAAGTCAAAAGTCAAGTTTTCAAAATTATCTTTGGACATTGGATCCTTTTTCCAGGCATCTTAACTGACAATTTTAAGACAAAACTGCATTTGTATGTATTTTTGTCTGTTTATTTGTTAATTAACTCTAACCTTTGAATAATTAAAACAAAAAAAAAACACCTTACTCAAGGGATGAATCAGTGTTGTGTTACTGTGTGACTGAAAATTTTATGAAGATCAAACAACATAATGCGTCTTCAAACACTTTGTTAGAAGCAGCCTCAAAAAAGAAAAGACACCAAATATTGACTGTCAGCTTGTTAGAATAGTGCTAAATCTATTTTTAACACAGATGCTGTATGCTTTCAGATGCTTTCAGATGCTGTACATTTGGGTCACTAGTTCAAACTCATTCCTACGGGTAGTTCAGAGTCACTAATTAACCTAACATAAATGTTTCTGGCATATGGAAAGAAGCTGAAGTTCTCGGAAAGATGTTAACTAATCCAACTGGAGTAGTATAGAAGAAATCATATCTTATAACGCCGAGACCAACTATGAAGTGATTATTTTTCTTATTATGTGAACCTTCAAGCTATATGTATATTATCTAAAAGAACAACATCTGTACTTTTCTTTTACATAACAGCATCTTTTCTTTCTGTTGAAACACGCTTTCAGCAAGTTTGACAATTTCACTAACAACAGTCCAGGCTTACGCTTTTGGAGCAGAGGCGGTGATTTGGGATGTTCTCAGCAGAAGGGTGGAAGATCCCATGGGACCTAACTTAGAAATCCCCAAGGCTATAAAACACATATTGGGAGGATCATGCAAACAGTGACCTCTATATGCACTGCACGTGGCATCTATCAACATCTAAGGCAGTTATTGAAGTTCTACATTGTGATTTTTTCACACAGGAAATTAAGTTTATAAGTGATGCAAGAAAGATATCTGAGCTGTGCGATCATGGTAAAAGTCTAAGAGAGGGTGTTTGTTTTTTGCGCTTTTAAGACATGATTTTGGCCGTTTTCCTCAAAACTGAGCAGGGGTGTGGAGACTCTTGTGATGGTTGCAGTCAGAGCCTTCCAAGCACAAAATCAGAGGAGAATTCACCTCTACATCTGCTGGGAAATTGCTCACGGTTCCACGTTAAAATGCCAATGACCAGAGGAGAGAGGAAGGCAGAGTGCTGACTATGTGCAAGACTTCAGCAGTAAAAGAGAAAAAACACACAGGCATATCTGACAGATGGAACACAAATGTTGTTCCTCTGCATAATACAGCAAAGCCCAGTTTTTATTACATAACATCCCCGTCTCCCCTGCTTCTCAGTTTAATTTCACCTCCCAACTGCATGGACACTAAATTGAATGTCGTCAGGATTAATTCATTCCGTTACAAAGCACAAGTTTTCCATTCAGCAGATTTATTACTGCAAACAGAATAAGCTCCTCCGTTCCTCTTTTCCGCTCGAGGCCTGTTTTGAATGACATAATTTTTCCACATGGCTGGTTTGTATTTAACCCTATCCAGACTTGAGGTCACTGAGCCAGGACGAGGTCATAAAATATAATGTACAGTGACTGGAAACTGCACAATAACATCTAGGGTGCACTACTATAAAAGAATAAAGGATGGATTTCATAATTATTTGTATTCTCAAACTTTATTAGGTCTGTGGGCTGCTCAATGCTGTGGTCAGCACAAATGAGTTCTCCATAGTGTGAGTTAAAAGTCATAGGACACTTTTTTGTTTCAAAACAAAAGCTGAAATGGATTTCTTGAAACAATTCTGCTTTTATTTGATATTCTGAATGACTGCCTTTCCATGAAAGAAGTCCCAGGACACCTTTTTATTTCAGAACAAAAGATTAAATTTATTTTTTGAAACAATTCGGCTTTTATTTGATATTCAAATGACCACCTTACCATGAATGAACCTGCCCTTGATCCAATATGGCTACTTTTAGTATGGCAGCTCTGTTCCCCACACAGCCTAAAGGATAGGCCCCCTCAGACACCACTTGCTAGGGTATTCAGATATGTCATTTTCTGATTAATTCAAAGCCTCTTTGAACATTTTTTATGTATGATTTGCATTCAGAAGATGGAGGCAAGACGAGGTCGAGAGAAACTGTAACAAAAATAATGTGTCCGAAAATGTTCATGCGCTCCAATATTTAAAAGGCCCTAGGTGCAGTCATTAAAAAGCATCAGCAACCTTAGTTCTTAGTTTGAAAATCTAAAGAGAAATGCTGGTGTAAAGGTAAGAGACATAGTCTCGCCTGCAATGGCTGACAACTTTCTACCTTTTTCACAACTCCAAATCTTTTCTCTTTTCTCCCCCTTTTCCTTTTTTGCCTTTCCCTTGCTCCCTCACAAGTTCCAGATCATCTCACCTTCTTCCCTCCTCCTCCTTTTCCTCTCAGCCTGTTCACCGTCTCTTCCTCCTCCTGCTCCTCCTCCCTGTTCTCCCCACAGAGATTGTGCAGTGTGCTGCCAGTCGGCGAGCCGGAGAGACACACAGGCAACACACGCGAGAGGCGTCTTCAAAAGCATCAAGGATTTTGAAAACTTTCCTCAAAGTTCACCTACTTTTGATAGCTTTTTAAGAGGAGTGTGAAGACTTTTTTTTCTTGTTGTTTTTTTTTCTACCATTGAAAATTGCAATGCTCCCATTCTACCTCCTAACTTTTGCTGGTGAGTATTTCTTAAAGGCTGTGCCAGTGCTGGTGCCTGAGAGCATTTTAATGATTCATACTTACCATTCCCACTCTGTTATGTCTTTCCTCTCTGCATTTCTCCTCCCGCCCCTCAAAGCCACCATCCAAGCCCACAACCAGCTGTTGCCAGGCTCATGCAACTTTGAATCCAACACCTGCGGATATACTTCGGATTCAGAGTTTGCAAGCTGGACACTGCAGAAAGATGGTACATATAATGATATCAAACTGTTCCTTTGTTATTCTGATTGCTGAGTTTAGTTCAGGCTTTTCTGATGGATGGAAATTGTTTCCAGGCTTTAGTTTCCTTTTTTTTCAAAGCAACATTTTAAGTGCTGATTGGGAGTTAATACACACCAACTTTTGTAGAAAGGAATCCATCTGCTCTGCATTGATTCAAGCGTCCCTGAACACCTGGAGTCAGTGAAATAACACATTCAGACATTTCCAAAGGGGTTGGCACTGCCTTTTCGTTTAATCTACTGAAAAGTTCCAGGTCAGTGTTTTTGTGCTGCAGAACAGTCGCAGTGCACCAAGTAAACAAAGTAGAGCAAAGCAATAAATCAGAGATTTTACTATGCTATTGACTCTATACAAACATGTAAGAAGACACAACATTAGTGTTTTTAAAGTCAGTGTTCTGTTATTAGAAAAAGTCTGTGAGCGGGTCTGTGTGCATCATCTTTGTCAGTTAAACTGTTTTTTCCGTGGTTCTAAAAATAAGGTTACACCCCAAAAAAGGTCTTTAACACAGTGGAATATGAACAAACAGGACTCCTCTGCTCATAAAGACATAATCAGAATGGATGGTTTTGGAATGAGTTGTGATTACGTATGTTTTTATGGGAATTTCATTAAAGTCTGATATAATTGAATAATGTGATTATCAAAAGTATCCAATTTTCACAGTATATTATTCTATCAGTAAACGTTTTTTTGGTCTCTGTTAATTGAAGATGGAATTTTGATTTTTAACATTTTTGTGTTGAAATTTGTGTGACGTTTAGTGGCTGTCTTACACTGCTGAGTAATGGATTGACACGTGTTCCAGTCACAGTTGTGCTCCTATATCAAAACCCAGACCCTAATTAAAATTCTCTCTTTAAGATTTTATTTCCGGCCATATTCCTTGCTTATTCTTGTTCCAGCATGTCACATCAAATAATTGCTGCTGCTTTGGAAAAGTAACTGCAGTTGGTACATTATTGGTGTAATAAATTTGCCACTCTTGTTTTCCGTCCATGGAGTTTGCATCAGGGAAATTAATTGAAAAAGTGTTTAAGCCCTTTTAAAGTGTGTTTTTACCCAAGTGTGACTTAATCAGGAAAGTTTGTTTAATAGGTGTAGATAATCCACAGATAATTAGAGGGGAAAAAAGGAGATAACAGGGTTTTTTTTCAAATTGAAGCGGAAATAAGCTCTCTCCTGGTGTGAGTGTTGTTTAGGATATACTGTATGTAGCCCCCGGGCAGAAGAGCATTCCACAGGGACAAATAATAAATGGCAGACCAGCAAGGGGAGCGCTGAAGCCCCTGAAAAAAGAAAAAGCTGTGGAGGAGGATTTCATGTTGAACCAGTTCAAAGATTTTCACTTTGCAATGAAATGCTGATTTGAGTTTTGCTCATAGTCGCATTCAGTTCTGTATTTTGTCTCAGGGGTCTCTATAAGTATCTATTTAGCCTTTATTTCAAAAGCTGATAACATTTCCTGAAGTCTTAAAGAAAGTATACAAGTCTGAAGGTCCAAGATTTGATCCCTGCTTTCTGAAAACCACGTATCAAAGTGTCCCCTGTCTATCTATCCTTCATATTGTATTTAGATGTGGTTTTAATAAATAATGTTAAAAATTCAACTGTAGTCACACTGTAATATCTATCTTTTTGTTTAGGTCATTTTGTTGCGGTGGAAGCAGTCAAAAAGGATGAACTGGATGATAACACAGGTTCAGGTACCGAACCACAGAGAGAGAACACAGGAATCCTGCTCAGTCCGGTTCTGGAGTATGAAGAGTGGAGTTGCCTGAGGCTTGTCTACCAGATCACTGAGTCGGGAAGTTTGGAGGTCCTGCAGCGCACCCAGGAAAAGAGCTTTGACAAATTGCTGTGGAGCAATCAGGCACCCTCCGACAGCTGGGTGATCTCAAGCATGGATCTGCAGAACAACTCCGAGCCTTACAGGGTAAAAATGCTTTTCCAATAAGATAAAACCTTTTTTCATGAGGCCAGTTCGAAACAAACAAAGTGACAATAAATAATTCCCGCTAAAAGTGACATGTTTTATGTGAGCTAAAAGGAGAAGACGTTAAGTGTTTGAAATGGAAATATTTACTCTCTAAGGAGCTTGTTTTTATGTTACTACAGTGTTTAAGTAGAACCTTTGGCTAGATGGTAGTGTAGTTCACAGAAAAAAACAAAATGATTCATTCGAGCGTGAAAATCATTCACACACAAAAAAAAAAGAAAACATAACATAACAAGAAACAAGGAAATTTAGACTTGCATTTCTAATATTACTATTAAACCCTAATCATTATCATTCATGTAATGGGCCTTCCATCTTACCCTCAAAAAATATTCTCTTCTTCTCTACTTCCCTTGCCATTATGTATTGATCATTGTAAACACATGATAAATATGATAAATATAAATTCTATTAATTTTTTCATGGACCTTTCTACAGAACATAATCAATTTCTACAATTGAATAAATCGATGCATCCACAGCAGAATTAAAATCAAAATGTTGCTGAAACGTCAGACTCAGGTTGACATTAAACATGTAAGCCAAAAAACAGCCAGATATGGAGTATGCTGTCATTGTCTAAACACTGCACATGTTTATATTACATGCTGGCGCAGGACTGCCTCCAATAGTACTGCAGCCTGCACAAACCTTTTTAGAGGAGACCGTGATAAAATAAGTGAACTTGCCATGTGCTGACATCACAACTACAGACAGTCAAAATTTCATTGTTCCATTGACTAACACAATATTTGCTTCGTACTACTCGATTGAACAACATTTGGATTTAATTTAGCAATCTGCTCTTTTATCCAAGAGGTTAAGACACAATTAGCCCAGGTTAACATGGCTTATCTTAGCATTAACATTGGAAGCATTCCCATTGGTGTATGGATTAGCCAAACTAAAATGACAAACTGTTGAAATGCCAATTTTATTTCACAAGTTTCACAAGTTCAGTGATATCTGACAAAACTGCTATCCAGTTAATGCTCTTTCTTCTACTTTGAACTGAACTGCAGAAATCACAAAGAGCAGGCAAGATAATCTTATCTCTAATAAATCATTCATGTCACTCATCTTCAGAAGTCAAATTAATTATTACTAGTTTTTTTATTTTCAAATAAGCTGCTGACTGGATCTGACAAATATTTAAATCTAGAGATGAATCTTGGCAATGTTCCTTCTATTGATTGCATATTTTTACTTTCCAAGAAGATATTAAAAATGTATTTGTGTCATGCAGAGTAGGACACTTAAAGGCTCACCAAATCCATGAATGATTAATAAATCCATGACAAGGTATTTTGAAGTAAAATAGAATTAAATCTAAACATTTGTTTAGTTTGGCCCAAAGCCTCTCTTCTTGTTTTAGTTTAATCAATTAGATAAAGCCAAGCTGCTGTAATGCTCCTAGATATTTTTCTTCAAGTTTACTTTTTAGTTTCCAACACTTGTCTGTGGTTCAGTCTAAAACTTGTCATTCACTTTTTCCAGCAGGAACTTAAATGTCTTGAGCAAACCCGTTTTTTTTAATAACCTTCTCTGCTTTAGCCCAAAGACATAAAGGCCTGATCTCCTATTTTAAGGAGGTTTTTTTTTTTCCCTCCACAAGGCATGCTGTTTAGCAGAGCTTTGAACGATACATCAGATCTCTGTTTATGTCAGGTGTTAACCTTTTGGCCTCTCATTCCCGTGCCTGCCGTTATCAGCGCTTATGGGGTATAAACTGAACATGTGTTTTGGATTAGGTCGTCATCGAAGGTAAATCTGGAGCGAGTGTTGGGAGCAGCGTGGCCATCTTTGAGATCCACATTAGCCGCGGATACTGCCTGGGTCGGTGACTTCAAACATGCGATGTATATCACTCACACGTCTTTCCTAAAACAGAAACTCTGCCCACATGATAGGCGTAAGAGCTGATGGACACCATCTGCTCCGCTATTCTTGTAACTTTCTAAGAAAACATCAAAGTTGCAGCACTGCAAAAGTGGTATCTTTGTTGCTGATTTTTCTCAAAATTAACATTGGAAATATATCTATAGAATGTGATTTTGAGGAGCCTCACCTGTGTGGATACACAAACCAATGGAATGCCAACGTAAACTGGTATGTGGGAGGAGGTGTGATCAACTCTCTGAACATCAACATGCCAGATGACCACACATTCCATAACCAGACAGGTGGGTGACATGTCTGCCATATTTACACAAATATATTTTCAATCTCTCAGCAGCTAAACGTACATTTCATTCTGTGACAAGAAATCCATGCAGTGACAACAACTAGAAATGAAGAGGTTCCTGGGCCATGGTTCTGCTCGAGGTTTCTGCCTGTTAAAAGGAAGTTTTTCCTTGCCTGTGTCGCCTAGTGCTTGCTCATGGTGGGAATTGTTGGGTTTCTGTAATTAACTTCAGAGTAGGGTCTGACCTGCTCTGTTTGGAAAGCGCTGTGAGATAACTGTTGTTGTGATGTGGCGCTATATAAATAAAACTGAATTGAATTATTTATCTAGTTATTTGTTCAAACATATTTTCTGTTTTTTATGCTCTCTGTGGAACTTTTTGTAAAGAGAAATGATCTGTGTGAGGAGGACGGCAGAATCTGAAATGCACCCAGACCATTTTCATTTCTGGGATAAACAAACCAAAAGATTACAGTGCAGTAAACATGTAATTGGGCATATCTTCAGATCAGATTATAGTCATTTTGAAGCTGTGGAAACAGTTATACGCGTCCAGGTCGCATAAAAAAAACTCAAGGCTATTCTGTTGAACTTTGAATGATTGAAAAAATGCTTACTGGTTATAAGTAAACACAGACACTTTCGACCCAGGGCATTTCATGTACGCGGATTCCGGCTACTCCAAGACTTTCAAAGAGGTGGCGAAACTGGTCTCCCCCATGACAAATGTGCCGATGTCTGGGTGCCTGAGTTTTCAGTACCAGCGCACAGAGGACAAAGGAAACCTGTTCTCTGTTTACACCCGTGACCGCCTGGGCCAGTACCAGGAGTTGTGGAGGGCTGGATCAGAGGACCAGAGTGAGTGGTCCGAAGTATTTGGAGAGTGGATACCGGTGCAGGTGGACCTCAAAGCGCCATACTCAGTACAGGTCAGTTAATGTTAATAATGTTTCCTGAATAATATTTCAGCATACAGGCATTTGGAACCATGGTGGGAAGAAATGCTAAACAATTTCCTAAGATGTGCAAATTAGATCCAGGGATGGTTTTCTAAATGTTGCATTGAACAAAAAAATGAAAACAAGAATATTATTTGAGTTCAAAGCTTTTAACTTTTCAGGATCTACTCAAATAAATGTTCCAGTCTTTATTGGGTCCTTCAGATGAATAAAGTCCACCTTTTTTAAATGTTGCCACTATTTATTGAACAATACAGAAGCACAGTAGAAAAAAGTCCATCCTTACAGCTTCCTAAGAACACTAGGAATTACGACAACTTCCAGCCAGGTGCATGGTAACAAATGCTTTAGTCAATTGATCATACTCGTGAGCATCCTCTACAAAAGCAGAAGTGTTCTGAGTTTACATCACACACAAAAAAGCTTCTTGAACAATTGCAACGGTAATGCTGAGGGCTGATGAGTCGGGTTTGTTTACTGACCACAGAATCTGGGCATCTTGCTTTCGAGTCACAGAGTAAAATGTGAGGCCATCAGTGTGACAGCTTAACTAAAACTAAACCAAAATGACCCAAACCAGCAGCAAATCTAACCAAAATTTTAGGGGGAAAAAAGGAATTCTCTAAGGGTGTACTCAATGAAGTGGTCAGTGCTGCTGAAAGCATATATCCTGATGTATTAGCGCTTATCACAATGTTTTGACTTGTTTCTCAGAATATGAAATGGCAAATAAAGTGAGCGGGTTCAAGTGATGGGTGATGTGCCTGGAAAAAATATAATTATTGCTGAAAATTAACGTCCAAAGTTAACCCTTTAAAGCCTGATCCAAGAACAAAACAAAACAGAAAATGACTTTTTTTTGGTTTGAATTCCTTATTTGGCCTTTTAACAAAATATGTAAGAAAAAAAAACAGAAATACATTTTTATCATTAATAATTTATTACTATGCGATAAATCAAGATAATCTTTTGTGTAGTCTCCTGCCCCCTGTTATCAGGTATATCTGACTGTGTACAATAGGATTTTGAGCAAAGTTTTTACCATTAAATTATGGGAAAGGTGTCAGATGCAAAACATTTCAGAAACCGTACGTATCAAATATGATACATTTGGCATTACAGGGTTAAAAAGTTGGCGTATGTGTTTGCCCGATTTTACTGATATGCATTTTTGTTTGAGTGCTTGTTTCTGTGCGTCCATTTGGGCCTTTAGGTGGTCTTTGAGGCGGCCTTCCGAAGTGCAAGTGGTGGACATCTCGCCCTTGATGACATATCCTTCTCTCCAGAGTTTTGCAGCACAGACACAGGTTAGCTGGAGATAACCATCGTTCAAAAACTGAAATGAAATTTTAAAAAAAGACCCACTGAATCCTTGAGTTTCTTTCATCAGAGCCGACCTTCGACCCGTCAATTGCCAACTGTGATTTCGAGTCCGGTTTCTGCCTCTACACCCACGACCAGGTGACAGGGAAATCGTGGAGAAGAGTTGCCGTGAAGCCAAACATATTTAGAAATGGAGACCACACCACAGGCGCAGGTGGGAACACAGCAATGGAGAGAGGATTTTGTGCAAGTTTTGAATCCTAAGTATAGTAGATCACTGAGCTAAAGAGCACTGCAGGACTTCATCCTTCTCCTCCTGAGAGGATTTTAGCATATTTTGGCTGCTAGTTTAGCTTTAAAAGCAGCCACTTCCTTTTTCATTCCATCACTACACTGGTAGCCGTGGTTAGCATAATTTTTTCATAAAAATGACAGCCAAACATATGGTTATGGCTACATGTTTGTCCACTGCTCCCTCCGCTCCCTTACAGGCAGTTTAACCCCTAAAAGCCTGATCCAAGAAAAAGTAGGTAGAAAAAAGTTTTTAACACAAATCTGAAAAAATAATGTAAATGATTTTTGAACATTTATCATTTATCACTGTGCAATGAGTCAAAACCATTGTCCAGTAGTCTTCTTACAGCTGTTATCAGGTATATCTGAATCTGTACAATGAGGTTTTGAGCTAATTTTCTACCATTGAATGATGCAAAAGGCCCAAGGTGCAAAACTTTTCAGAAACCGTATGTATCAAATATGACACATACGGTATTATAGGGTTAAAAGAAAAAAGTTACATCACCGGAGTCAGATTTCTTTAAAAAAAAAAAAAAAAAACATAATAAGGGAAACTTTATGGAAGACAGTTGTAAACTACAAACAGGTGGAAACGATGATGAGAACATTCATGGCAACCGGAGGAAAAGGGAGATTTGCAAAAAAAAAAAAAAAGACTGTCTTCTCCTCCAGGATCTTTTCTGTTGGCTCACTCCCGACTGGGCCCGCGGTCCGGCTACGTAAGCCGCATAATCGGCCCAACTCTGCCCGGGAACATGAAGTACTGCCTGAGATTTTACTTCTCCCTGATGGGTGAGCAGCATCCCCAAAAAATGTTAAGATATCGGTCAAGTGCCCTCTGCGAGTGAGTAGTCTGCCTGAATACTTGTGACTGACTCGCTAATCATAAACATCTCTGGCAATATCAGGATTCAACCAGACGGAACAGGCTCTGACTGTCTATCTGCTGCAGCAGCAGAGCGGAAGCCAGGAGAAGATTTGGACGCACGCAGAGAGGTCCAGGGGACTCTGGATGGCGGCAGACGCCTCTTTCCAGCCGTCACAGCCTGCCAAGGTGAGAGGGAGGAAGAGGAAACGGAATTGAATATTTGTGGGGGGAAAAAAGTCATAAGGTCAAAGAAAATTGAGAAAAAGAGGAATAGAGGCAATGGGGGAGGAATGGAGAAGAGATGACATTATAAATAATGGACAGAATGGAGGGAAAAAGGATTCCAGGATTATAAATGCAACAAAATGTGATTGAAGGAGGGAAGAAAATCATCTGTGATCTGTGGAAAAAAACACAGAAAACTGGAAAATAGTAAAGATGAAGAGAGGCAATGGGGAAAGGCAAGAGAACATTTCAATTCATTTGCACATTCAGTTCTATATTTTTAAAGATTGTATTATTCAGTTTTATAATTTCTGTTATATTTTTATTTCTACATTTTATTTCCTTCCTTGCTTCTCATAGAAGTGTTGTGCACCAAACACCAAGGCAAATTCCTTGTAAGTCTAAAAACCTACTTGGCAATAAACCTTATTCTGATTCTGATTCTGAAGAGCTAATATTAGAAATAAATGAAAAAGCAGAAGGGGACAAACAAAATGAAGGAAAAAAAGGGATTCCAGGAAGATAAATGTTAAAACAAGAAGGGAATAAAAGCATAATCAAATATTGAATAAGAATTGGCAGAAGAATGACAGTTTAAACAGAGGATTGTACAAACAAAAAAAAATAAATGGAAAAACAAACCAAATGAGCATACAATGAAAGAATGGGCTCCTTTGCTCTTTTGTTTAAACATTTTCCTGCAGTATAGATTTCCTTTTGTCACTCCAGCTGCTTCTCAGCACACCATCGATGTCCCATTTGAGGATAATTATTCATCGAGACAACACAGTACAAAGTGGATATCCTCTCAGCAGAAAGGAAACAGGAAGTGACTTATTAAAGAGACTTATTGTTTCTTAAATGTAGAACATTTGGGTTGTTTTCATCCTCACAAGAGGTTTAAGATTCCGACAGGAAGGCCGGCGATGAGCAACATCTGGAGCAAACTGCATCTGGACCTAAACATTTATAGAGGGCCCCTGTTTGCTGTAAAACTGTGCTGTATAGATGGTTTTCGTCAGCACCTGCAGGAGTTTCTGGGACTGCGGCTCCGTGGCTCTGGACGACATCACTTTGAGCCTCGGCGACTGTGAGTTAACAGAAGGTAACGACCCGCATGCTCATCTGAAAATTAGTGTGTGTGTGTGTGTGTGTGTGGGGTTAAAACACAGTTCTGCTGTGAGGTTCAGTATCGTTCATTTTTCCCTCTTCAGGACTGTTGTCGTCCCCTCTCTCTGGACACTGTGACTTTGAGGAAGGGATGTGCGCTTACACCCAGGATAAAAAGGGCGATGTAGCCGACTGGGAGCTGAGGAGAGGGTCCACCCCAACCTCATACACTGGCCCCAGAGGGGACCACACCACAGGACTTGGTGAGGGCACCCACCACTTCATGTTGCCTCCAAATTAATTTGGCTTTCTTCAGGATATTTCCCACGCAGTATGACTTGAATATAGCTTTACACAAAAATATACACAGTGTGTAGTATCTGGCTTCTTAATGAGCCACCTATGCCCTTATAGACAGGTAACACCATTCCTTAATTGTAGATAGTACTCAATGCAGTGTAACCTGACTTGCTGTTATAATATTTGTTTTTTGTTTTTTTTTTTTGTTGTTGTTGTTTTTGTTTTTTGTTTCTGTTTTTTTTCTCTTATTGGACGTCTTTATTTTTGTTACTGGATTGATAAGAGTATACTGCTTTCATACAGGATTTTGTTACACACCGTATATACATGGATATGTAAGTCTGCGTGTATATGTGCATATATATTTACTTATACTCTCATGTATGATTTATGTATGTTATATTCTGAAAACCTAATGAACATATATATAAAAAAAAAATATATATATATATATGTACAGTGGCGTAAATAAGTATTTGACCCCTTGCTGATTTTGCAGGTTTGCCCACTTACTAAAAAAGGTTATTTTTCCTCATCAGATGGTTATTAATTTTTATAAATTCATATGATGTGATTTTCTAGGAATTTTCTTTGGGATTCTGTCTTTCACTGTTAGAATGTACATATGATTAAAGTTATAGATCGTTACATTCTTTGTAAGTGCGCAAACCTGCAAAATCAGCAAGTGGTCAAATACTTATTTCCCCCACTGTATATAAAACAATAAAAACCCTCCTTCAGGTTTGCCCACTTACAAAGAATGCTTATTTTTCCTCATCAGATGGTTATCAATTTTTATAAATTCATATGATGTGATTTTCTGGAACTTTCTTTGGGATTCTGTCTTTCACTGTTAGAATGTACATATGATTAAAGTTATAGATCATTGCATTGTTTGTAAGTGCGCAAACCTGCAAAATCAGCAAGGGGTCAAATACTTATTTCCCCCACTGTATATTAAAACAATAAAAACTCTCCTTCTCTGCCAGGATACTACCTCTACATGGAGGCGTCGCCAATGCTGCATGGTCAGAACGCACGTTTACAGTCCCGCCCCCTCAGGGGAGCCAGGGGGCCGCAGTGTCTTCAGTTCTTTTACCACATGTATGGCTCGGGCACGGGCCAGCTCCGAGTTCTCATCCATCATGACGGAGAGGAAGTGCTGCTGTGGCAACGGACTGGCGAGCAAAGCATTTCCTGGTTGAAGGCCCAAGTGGAGTACAAGTGTAACAGAAAGCATCAGGCAAGAGTGGACAAAAAAAAAACCTTTCTTGATATTATTTTTATAAACAGAAAACATGTGCATTTAGATATTTGAGATAAGGTTTTGAAATTATAATAACAGTATCATATCACTGCAAGTGTTGGGCTCAGGTCTGAAATCGTCACTGTTTTCCATTCAAAACTGTGTAAATGCCTAAATTTAAAAATCTAAATGCTGTGTCACTGTCCCAGATTGTACTTGAAGCCATCAGAGGACCAACAGTAAGGAGTGACATTGCTCTTGATGACATCATTTTGGAAGGAGGCCCTTGCCCAGGTGAGCAGCGTACCTCTCTAAGATCCTTCTTTGATGTGCTGCACACCAAAATCAGTCTAGGATTGCTTGATTTCTGATTTTCTTCCGTTTTCCCTTACAGACATGGAGAGCGGGTCCACCTTAGGATCTTCAAATGAGATCGAGTAGGAGTCACATAGCTGCTTATGATCCATGCCACCGCCATCCTCTGACCTTTTTTGCACATTTCAGACTGCTCCAAGTGTCTCTGACTCTGAAATGTCAGTCTGAGCGTGTGGAATAAGCTAATCGTTTCTTGTAGTTCTGTTTTCATGGGTCAAAACATATTGGATTAATTATAGTCGACGCAACTCTGCCCCTGCAGGGGATGTTAATCTGAGTTAATCTGACTTCACATTTATATGCATTAGATTAATGCTCATTGCCAAAATAAAGCGAGATTGTTCTTTAACTCCATTTCTCACGTTTTTTTCCTCAGGAAAACACTTCCATAGATGTTCAGCATATGTTGTTACAGTTGATTTTGGACAAATATTTAAAAGCACAGTAATGAAAAATTCAACTCGGATAAAGTCAGAATTTAGTATGCTTCCCCAAAAAAAGTGCAGACAGAAGAGAAAGCAAAACCAATATATTCAGATTTATTTAAAACATACACTGTACATTTCCATGAAAAAACAGAGTCAATGGTTAAATCAGAAAAGTGTCATTTGGTCCCTCAACATGGACACTACAAGATGCATGTCCCGTCATTCAGGTACTTCATGGACTCCATCTGCTGTGTCATTGCCAGAACTTCGTGAAATCCGGTGCTGAGTCCAGACATGTGTTGGAAGTATGCCTCCTTCTCCACTTGGATCGACAGATTATTCACCCCAGCGTCTTTCAAAATAGCCGTCACCTACCAAAAAGGACACCTAGTCAGTGCTTTGTACAAGAACCTGACATAAAACCTTGTAAGAAAAAGGATGTGAAGGAGTAAAAAAAGGATGGCAATATAACAATGAAGAAGAAAAAGAGGTCATCAACTCTGAGTCATAACTCTGGATCAATCTGTTTAGACATTTTGACACCTAATGAAACGTATCGCTTCTCTAATTTGCTTCCTTATTCAGAGGTTTGGGCCTGAATTGTAGCTACAACCAAGTTCTTTTGGTGAGGCTTTCTTTGTGTATGAGGGGTAATCACTTGACTGAGGCACACTAGCAAAGGGAACAGCTCATCAGCAGGGAGATCTGGGTTAGAAAATGTGCTCATGGAGGCATCATTCGGATCTGTGCACCCTTCATATTTTGTGTTTAACATCGTGCAACATATAAAGAAGAACACATTTCTAGGCAGAAAAAAGTCCCATTTGTGCACACCTGCTGTATGATCCTCTGCTCCACCACATCTGACATAACCTGGAGGTGGATGGTCCCAGCAATCACACTGGCTGAATGCCTCCAGAAATGAGGGTCTCTGTAGGACAAAACTCCCTCAATCTTCTCAACCTGAAACCAGAAAAAGTCAGTTCAGGAAAACATTTCTTCAGTAGTTTGTCACCTTTTCTTTAGAATATCACTTGATCACCGTATTGGCAACTCCAATTCAAGTTGGAGATTAATGGAAAGTACTTAAAATTTGTATAAGACATTCTGTTTAATGTAATACAACCTGGAATCTGCACAGTCCAAAGTTTATGTCATTTCTGACAGAATTACATACACATTTCCGACTGAGATTAAATACGAAGCATAACAGGGTATCAAATGTATTATCGCCAGTCTTATGATTGTAAAATTTCAGGACTGATAACGCGCTCATTGATTCAATTTACGAGAAAAATTTGGCTCACCATCCTCCATCCTGAACTGCTCCAGCTGACAAAAAGGCATGAAAATATGGAAGATCTTTAACTGCTCACCTTTTCCAGCGCGCCGTTCAGGTCCTTCTCCAGTTCTGGGGGGGTTCGAAGAAGGAGAACCTCACAGGCGTCCTTAAGCAGGGGGATGACACTCAGGAAAATGAGCGTGGCGATGAAGAGCGAACATATAGGGTCGGCGATCAGCCAACCGAACTGACGGATGAGGATGGTGGAGATTATCACACCCACGCTGCCCAGAGTGTCTGCCAGGACGTGAAGGAATACACCTGGAGGAGGAGATGGTCATGAGCATTTTCCTTTTTTTTTTTGCCCGATTCCTTACTGACACCCGTAGACATGACCACATCACACCTGTCCTCCACTCCCTACACTGGCTCCAGGTACAGTACAGGATTCAATTCAAAATACGCTTATTTGTCTTTCGAGCAGTTAATGGCCTTGCATTGCTTGTATATAAGTGAAATTGTGAGGTTTCACCAGCCCAGCAGACCACTTCGGTCTGCTGATCAACATCTGCTGGAGGTCCCACGATCCAGGTGCAAACAGAGGGGTGACCGCTCTTTTGCAGTGGCAGGACCTAAACTGTGGAACTCTCTGCCCACTGAGTTACGTTCATTTACTGACCTGCCACTGTTCAAAGCTCAACTTAAAACGTATTTGTTCAGGATGGCTTTTTGCATGTAAAATCTCTATATACTGGGTTATGTCGCCAATGTGTTTGTCTTTGTATATTTCGATAGTTTGATCTGTTTTTATTCTGTAAAGCACTTTGGTCAGCTCCGGTTGTTGTAAAGTGCTATATAAATAAACATTGATTGATTGATTGATTGATTGATCCTTTCACCCAGGAATACACACAACATGTGTTAGAAAATGACTGGCACACACACACACACACACCTCTCATGTTGGCGTTCATGCCTCGGCTCCCTGAGCTGCCGTGGGAGTGGCCGTGGCCTCCGTGAGAGTGCCCGTGACCTCCGTGAGAGTGGCCGTGGCCGCCGTGGCCGTGGTCGCTGTGGGAGTGGCCGTGGTCGTGCGACGAACAGCTTTTGCCGCCGTGAGAGTGAGCGTGGCTGAAAGCGCAGATGCCCACCAGGTTGACCAGCAGGCCTCCGACGGACACAGGCTGCAGAGGACAACAGCAAAAAGTCAGGCAGCATGAGAGATGTCCCTCCTCTGGAAGGGTTTTCCTTCCAATTTTGGGATGAGAGTGTTTTTCAATTAATCACACACGGTGTCCAATATTGTGCTATAAATCCACAACCATTTGTACTACTATTTAACAAAGGGGGAAAAAAGTGCAATGCAATTTACTGGTGGAATTTCAAATCCAACATCTAATTCACTCAAAAGATTTGAAGCCTAACACCTCAAATTTGTAATAAAAAAAAACAAAAGGGTCAAGGGATATCATCATCAAATGGAGGATCCTGTGATGCACAGGGCAGATTTATAGCTGCATGTCTTTATTTTATGGATAAATAGGCGTTCATGTTGGATGGTCTAAAAAACTTTACAAATGATTTGGGTAAATAATGTCTCCCTCACAGATGTGTTTGGTCTACAGCGGGGGTCTCCAGTCCTTAAGGGCACCCCCCCGCCTTGCATGTTTGTAGACGTGTTCCTACTTTGCCATGTGAACAATGTTTGAGAACAATGTTTGCCTAACTTGTGTGTGTTGAAGCTGGGAAAATGTAAAACCTGCAGGACAGCAGCCCTCGAGTACTGGAATTTGAGACCCCTAGTGTTAAGGGATGTTATGATTCCAAATAAGCATGCCTTTTTTATGTGGGCCAAAGAGCAGATCTTAAAATTTTGGGCCAAGCTCACGGGGCAAGATTTTACAACCAATTTTCAGAAATATTTCCCAGAACAATTGTTGGATTTACCAGACAAATGAGAATAACATTTGCCAAATCTGCCTCTTTAACAGCTTAAAATAAAGGCGACAGTGTTTTAGAACTCATTTTGGACTTCTTCATTCGGTCACCGAACCATATTGATTTCATTGTGTTGTTTCTGGTGTGAGACCCATTGTTGCACAAGAGTTGTTTAGTGTGGGCACATTTTTAATGAAAAAAATCACACACAAAAAATAAAGAAATCTTACAGTCTTTACTTATGTTTGTCCCAAACAGGTGATTGTTCCATACTTTTCTGCCTTGTGTTTAGTTTGGTCAAACCTGGAAAGAGCTGAATGTTGTCTGCAGACCACCAAACGTCCATCAGGATTGTTTATTATTAGTGACACCACTCTAGTATTTTTTTGTATGATAAATCCACCATTGTTGACTTTGGAACAGGTCACTTAGATTAAACGGTTGTTAAAATGCTCATCCCCCAAGGCAGCGCATTACCTAGAGAATTTTCCAGTATGTAATCCTCTTTTTGACCCACAAAACTACAGGAAACTGTCATTAAAAACCTACATTTCACACCAAATCTCGATGTTTTCACTCAGTGCTTTGAATTTTAATTTTAAGGTAAATAAATATCTATCATCTGTTACCACGTACCTATAGAAATATTAAAGATTTAAAGACAAAGATTCTAAAATAAGTTACTAAAATAATGTGTGGTAAAACACAATCAGGCACTACTTGTGGATGAGGCAGTTAACTCACTGTCAGCATGTCAGTGTTTATGTTGGGAGGATCCAAGAGGCGGGTGACTGACTCCATGAACACAAAGAAAGCGATGACCATCAGAAACAGGCCGTTGATGAATCCAGAGAGTATTTCGACTCGACCGTACCTGCGAAACAATGAGTCTGCTTCTTAAGTGGGGCTGAAGGAGCACTGCTCTGATACTTCCCGGCTATTAAAAAAGGGCCTTACCCGTAAGAGAAGATCCTGGTGGCTTTCCAGCGGGTCATGAGGGCAGCAAATAGACCCAGGACTAAAGCAGAGCAGTCAAACAGCATGTGGAACCCATCAGAGATAAGTCCCAGACTGTTGGTCCAAACACCATAAAACAGCTCCACAAAGGTGAAAGCCTAACAAATGCAAAAGAACAAGCTTAAGAAAACAAACAGAATGAGTCAACGCTGATTTTTTTATCGGTCAGATGAATTACAGCATTATTATTACATAATATCGCTGTCATACTTCATAGGAATTTGAAGAAAGAAAATACTTTAAATGTTAGGTTATAAACAGAGATATATCAACCCCCCCCACTGAAGTAAAAATAAATTCTGAGGTAATACAGCACTTATTGTTTATGCACTTAGCAGACGCTTTTATCCAAAACAACTTATAATGCGGATTCAACATTACAGTTAAATTGTATTTGTATCTAATTTTTTTATACTTATACTGTGTATGATTATTTACCTTTATTCATATTTATTTATTTTAAACACACAGTTCTTATATGAGTACGAAACAAAAGATACAGAAAAAAGCTTCCTTCCAATTCACAATCCTGGGGAGGGGAGTGATAATTAAATGCTATTTCGTACCAGGTTAAGACACAGGAAATAGAAGATCTGCCTGGAGTCGTACTCCTCCAGGATCTGTTTCAGGCAATCTTTGATGAATCGCGGCACAGACTGGGAGGTGTGCTGCAGGGCGTCGCCCATGAAATTGTACAGAGGAGTCCCTTCAGGAGAGTAACCCACCAAGGTTCCCTTCTGACCTTTCTTTGAAGGGGATGAGAGGATGCTGGACGCTGTGAGGAAACACGGGACAGGTTGGTCTCCCAGTGGAAACGGCGTCGTGTTTGGTTGTTAGCAGCTCTACTTACACATGATGAAGAAGACGGCGCTGACTATCACTCCCCCAGAGAGCACGTGCTCTGTGCTGACCTGCTGGGGGGGCTTGCTCATGGAGCGGAGCTGGTCGGTCAGCGGGTGGGTCCAGAAGTTGGCCAGCAGAAGCGCGCTGATGAAGAGGGCGACGGTGCCGTAGCGGGCGCAGCGGGGCGTCTCCATCTTTGCGCTGCAGATGGCCTCGACGTAAAACTCCAGGATCATGACGGAAAAGATGACCATCAAAAAGGGCAGGATGAGAGATGAACTTGATTCCACTTTGCTCTGCAGAAAAAGGGTTAACAAGAGGAGAACATCTATTTTAAAGACAAAAAGTACCTTCAAAAGCTTTAAAACTGAAGTTAAACTCAAGTGTTCCTTGATTAGTGGAGACCTACAGGTTTACAGACCATAATAATCAGAGTTCTTTGTTAATTTGAAATTTCCTTTTAAGTAAAGGGATAATATTAACACAAATATCAATAGAAACTAATACAAATAATAAAAAAAACTTCTCATTTTGAGTTTATTGGCCATTTTTCAGTCATGGGTTTGAACAGCATTTTGTTGAATGGACTGATTTGAATTTTCTTGTCTCAGGTGAAGGTTGACAGCTAAATGCTCATCCAAACTCTCCTTTCTAAACTGTTATAACACAAGATTTCAGTCTGTTCTGAGCAACAAACATTCTGATGCCTAAGTTATAGAAGCTATGGAGCCCGGTGAAATGCTCAGGGGATTTCTTTGGGGATTAATGATACTAAAATCTCACAGAAATCTGGCCACAAATTCACATCACGCATTTCGACAAGCAGGCAGACTTTCATTGGATTATTCATTTCTTACCCATCAATGAGACCAGTCTGACTAACTGCATCTTTAACCCTTGTATGGTCTTCGGGTCAAATTGACCCGTTTCCGATTTTTACAATAAGAAAAATGGTACAAGTATACATTTTTTCTACCTGAAACTCAATGGCCTTACCTTATTTTCTGTGATGAACATGTATAAACAAAAAAAAATATTTGAGCACACATGCTACTATACCCCACACATTTACATCCTTCGTATGGTCTTCGGGTCAGATTGACCCGCATACACAGAGACACACAAAAACATGCCCACAAGACACACAGACAAACAGAAACATGCCGACAGACACACACAGTCACAAACACACACACACGCATGCTTGTATGCGCACGCACACGCACGCACACGCACACACACACAAACACACACACACACACACACACACGCACACACACACACACACACACACACACACATAATGTTGCATTATTATAATCTAAGCAGTGAGAAGCTGTTTGCTCTCACTTTCCCGCACTCTTTCCCACTCTTTCCCGCACCCTCTTTCATGTGTCCACCTGTAAACCCCTTTTTTTCGAATGATTGTCCATAACATTTGATACATCAAAAAATTTTCTCGCACTATATTCCTCGCACCTGCCCATCAAGGGGGGGACAAAAAAGATAAATACCACTGCATCACAGTAGAGATTCTTCCACCCTCAGTATGACAAAAAGATTTAGCTGTCAGAGAGCTTTGGAGCTCTAGGTTGCAGCCGGTGTCAAGAAGAAGCGCTGCGAGGTGTGTGGACCATCAAATGACACAAAGACACAAACCACATGCAGAAACTGCAAAAAGTACATCTGTGGTACACATACTGTCAAATTTTGTGATGCATGTGTTTTGTAAACAGGCATGCCTGTCATTTTTCAAAAGCATCAACCCTGTTGCAAGTATTTCATAAGATAAAAGTTATTGATTGTTGAAGTTCCAGTTTATGTATTGAGAGTTTGCATTCAAAGTAATAAATGTTAATGAAAACATTGTCCCACTTAATCTTTTCCAAGATAAGCATGATCACATAGTGGATTTTTAACATGAATTATAACCTTATGACAAAAAAACGAATAACACTTCCATTGTTAATTGTGTTCCAGGAGAGACTGATTGCATTCCCTAAACATATATGTTATCTCAATTGTTTGAAATGTAGATAAAGACAATATTTTTAAATAGATTATCAAGTAAAATTTTATTTCACAATGGTTTTTAAAGCCCCATATATGTCACGGGTCAATTTGACCCGAGGGATACCAGAGGGTCCCAAAAGTGAAGACAATACAAGGGTTAAATTAAAAGGGCTAAAGTGACCTTCATTTAGAATCTTTGTGATAAATGGATGATCTAACAATAATCTGGTAAAGTTTCAGAGTATACGTGTCTTATTTCCAGGAGTGCACATAACTGGTATGCAGGTACACAAACGCAACAATATAAAATAAAAAAATCAGGTATGCATGGTGTCATCTCCGGCAGTAGTTGACAACTTGCGTGTTTAAATAGATAGTGGTGTTGATAAGTCAATTGTCAAATACAAAAAGGTGTGTGGTAACACACCTGAGGTGAGGGTACAATTGTCCTGCTTCTAAAGAGTACAGATGTGACTCTGCTTGCTCCTGCTACATTCCTTTTTTTACTTGCTTTTAAATAATTCTCAAATAATTTTAAATAATTTTCATTGTCCCAATAATTCTCATTGTTATTCTTATCCTTTCAGTTTCCCAAGAAACTTTTTTATATTTTTTTCATAATACATATTGGACTTCCTTGGCAGGAGCCAGCATCATCAGCGGATACCCTTCTTTTCTGAAGTTAACTACTATGATCTTCTGTAAATCAACATGGTGAAGACCAAAATCTAATGACTTGAGGTGAATGTGGAGGTAAATGGAATATGTGGATATGACACAACTTTAACTCTGGCTAAACATAGTGGGCATGATCCTGCTAACCGACAGCTAATCAGCACGAGCAAGGCTGATAGGAAATGTGAGCATGTTCCTCACAGGGAGAAGACAGAACCAGTCCTGCCTGCTGATATCTGTGATGCGATGTCACGCACTACCAACAAGATTAAAGTCTTCCTCAGCATCACTTGTTAGCAGGACACAGACTAGGACAGCGGTCAGTAATAAAACACTACAGAAGAGATTTGTATCGCTGCAGAACTCTGGATCTCCATCTGATGACCTGGATAAAGTCTCTTCACACCGCAATGTAAATTGGAAACAAATTAAAGGCAGGAAGCTAATGCCTGGACCCGAGACTGTTGGTGATGATGCTGCTGAGAAGGATGTAAGATATGTTCAATTTGATTCAATTACATTTAATTTATATATCGCCAAATCACAACAATAGTTATCTCACAGCGCTTTCCAAGCAAAGCAGGTCAGAACCTACTCTGAAGTTATATACAGAAGCCCAACAAGTCCCACTAAGAGCAAGAACTAGACGACACAGGCAAGGAAAAACTTCCTTTTAAGAGGCAGAAAACTCAAGCAGAACCATGATGACTCAGGGTAGGCGGCCATCTGCTTCGGCCAGTTAGGGGTGAGAGATAGAAAGGGGAAGAGAGAGAGAGAGGGAGAGAAGAATGTGTGGGAAATGTACAAAAATACAGCACTTTTAAACAAACATGGTATCACGTGTAAGAGAACACATTGTGCAAATTATGGCTGCACATCCAACTATCAATTATCTTGTATTACACCTTGGATCTAACGAACCAGTAGTCTGAAGTGCTAAAACAAAACTTCAAAAGGCTGTTTGATAAAGTTAATAGTGTGAATGCCTTGGTGCTAATTACTGGCCCTCTACCACTGATGGGAGGAGATGAGAGATTCAGCAGGCTGTTTAGCCTGAACATATGGCTGTCAGGTGTGTGCGTCACATATTCCTTTAGCTTGACTGACAATTTGTTTTTTCTGGGACCACAGCCATTATTTTAAGGCACATGGTCTCTGCCTCAACAGATCTGGAGTAAAGCTGTGTGTGTAGGTATTCTTTTCTATGTTTTGAGTTACCGATCTCCTCCATTGGGCAAGGACAGAATTAAGTAAAAACAAGAACCTCGAGACGGGGGCGCCCCAGACCCAGAGGACTGGAATAAGAACCCATCCTCATATAGGTCATCCTCCACATCTCTTCCTCTGGTGGACTTCACTACCCCATGAAGGATCTGGTCACTGTTGCTACCAAGATGACCCCATTCCCCAGTCCAAATCCTGCGCCCAAAAACGACCTTTCGTTCTTCCGCTTCTCCCCCACCACAAATTCCAAATGTCAGATCAATATTCACTGACCAGATGAGGGCAGAGTTGCAGGATTCTCCTGGGTCACCACTACAGAAAGCCCAGCAACACACCTGCAAGCAGCAGGTGAAAGAGGCTAGTCCCCAGCATCCAAAACCCCTGCACCGCAGAAACAAAAACATCACCTCTCAAAACAGCCCTGCCTTTGATAGAGTGGACCATGTGATTTTATTACAGGGGTTAGAAGACTGGGTGGGAATCTCTGGTCCAGCTTTAAACAGGTTCAAGTTCTACCTCAAGGACAGGTGCTACTTTGCACAATTTGGGCACTGTGTCTCAGACCCAAATGGGTCTGGCCTGTGGGATTTTCTATGGAACAATTCTGGGACCCCTTTTCTTTTTGTTCAATCTGTACATGTACATTAGGTCAGCTAACACACGGCTATAATGTGTCATATCACAACTATGCAAATGACACTCGGATCTATGTGTCGCTGATAACAGGAGAACATGGGCCTGTAGATGTATTGTGTTGCTGTATTGAACAGATCAGTTTGTGGATGCAGAACAACTTTCTCCAGTTAAACTGGGACAAAACTGATATATTTATCTGTGGCCCACAGAAACAAAGAGTAAGCCTTCACACTCAATCTGGAACCTAAAAAACCAGGTCAGAAATCTTGGGGTAATACTGGACTCAGATTTTAACTTGAACAGCCACATTAAATCAGTAACATCAACAGGCTTTTATCATCTAAAAAACGGCCAAATTGGAGGAATAGTGTCTAAGAGGCAGACCTAGAAAAACGAATCCATAAATTTGTCTCCAGCAGGTAAGAGTACTGTAAAGCTGCTCACTTGGCTCCTTAAATAATTTGTAAGACAGCTGCAGAACATCCAGAATGCTGCTGCTAAAGTTCTGACCAGAACCAGGAAATAGGACCACGTCAGTCCAGTGCTCAGGTCCTGTCACTGAGAGAATAGATTTTAAAAAAGCTCTGCTTTTGTACATGATGCATGGTCATATGAAGCAATATGAATCAGTTCAGACTGAGAATCTCAGGTTCTGGTCTCCTGCAGGTGCCCAGAGTCAGGACCAAACAATGAGAGGCAGTGTTTAAGTTTTATTATCCTAAAATATGGAAAAGACTTCCTGAAGAAGTGAGACAGGTCTCAACTCTGACAATGTTCAAATCTATCCAGAAACAGTTTTATTTTTCTTAGCATATCACAATTTAAGGTATTTTATCTGCGATTTTTAATAATTTAATAATTTTATCTTCACTTTTAATCTATTTAATCAATGATTATTTCTTGTAAAAAAATGTATTTCAAACTATCACTTTTTAATGCATTATGTTTTTTTTTATAAAGCACTTTGAATTGTCCTGTACATGAAATGTGAAATACAAATTAATTTACCTTCCTGATTTTTGTTGTTCGTGTATACCTGCGTACCGGTTATGTGCACCCGTGCTCATTTCATTCTAACAGCTATCACTTACGTCTGTGGTTGTTGACAGCACTATGACCCAGGGAAGCAGCACCACAGAAGAAACCAGGTTGTCCAGGGCATAAAGGCGTTTGGCGCCGCCGATTTCCACAGATAATTTCCGGGAAGCCGTATGGAAGCCTACTTTCAAACACAGCGAGACCACCAGCAACAGGACACCACCCTAACAACGAGACAACCAATACAAAAAAAAATATCGTAAAAGAGAGAACAAATCATAAGGAAAAAGCCCAAGGATATAGTGACTTTTGGCTTACTTTGTGATCGGCCACCCCTAAAAGGGATATAGCAGTGTAGAGGAAATGAGTGAGCGCACTGTCGTGATGTCCCTCAGCTGGTTACGGTGTCAGTGAAGGCAAACGCAGAGAGGAACAGAGGGCCAAACAAGTAGAGCAGGCCTTTATGCGGATCAAAGGATACGGTGGTCGGCCATCTTAGCCATGAGATCGTCGTTGTCGAACAAAAAGAGGCAGATGACTGCGATGATGAAAAATGCAGCCCCTCTGGTCTGTGCAAAGTCAGAGGGAAATCAGCATACGATGGCAGTCTCAGAATACGCAAACCAATGCATTTTTAAATCAAAGCAAAGGCTGAGATTAAGGAGATTATTTATCCGAGGCATAATCTGTAGGTTAAGGTTTTTTGTTTTTTTTAAAGAGGCTCAGTTAAAATCAGTTTATCTCCTGTTGGAACAACAATTCATGCTTCCAGACCAAATAGGGTTTTTTTTCTAAAAAAGATTATATCTAGTGATGTAAGCAATCAAACTGCTGGCAGGAACAAAGTCAAAACACTTAAAACTAGAATGACCTGTGAAAGTTATAATCCCTTGATTGTGCTAAAAAATAAAAAAATTTTAAAATTTTAAAAATAGGAAAAACATTTCTAACCTTCCACAGACTAAATGCATTTAGTCTGTGGAAGGTTAGAAATCTTAGATCAAAAGTGTGGTAAAGCCATTTTCATTTCCAAGCTGGACTCATACCTTGGATGGTCCCCCTCCTGAGTTTGTGAAAAGGACACCAAGGAGTGCGATCACCACAACGTCACTGTGCTCAAAAAGTAAAAGTGTCCTGTGAAAGACAAAACAAATATCTGAATTATAATCTGAACACAACTGTGTTTGCAGAAGCTCACAAACACTCTCTCAATTGTATACATATAAAGTCCTCTATGTTGACTTATTTCCAATTGGAACCATTTAAATAAATTGAAATGACCATGGTCAATTGCTTTATATAAAAATAAGTGCTAAAGGCACAAACATAGTTCATGTATCCACTTATATGCAAAGGAAACATGGTTTACCTTAAAGGTCCACAGAGAGTAAGACCAAAGAAGCCAAGTAGGGATATGACACAGCCAAAAACAGCGTGCTTTATTAATTTAATCCACTGAAAAAAAGTGAAAAAACAGGATTAGAGAGAAATGGATTGTGCAACAAAAGAAAGTAGACATGAACTCAACGTTTTACTAAATTCAAAACTGGGCAGAGGTGGAAGAGCCATTTATACGTTTTTCCACCTGAATGCTTTTTTTTTGTCTTTGTTACAGAAACAGGGATGGTAAAATGCACATAATGATGGTGAAGGAATCCAACAAACCTGTCTTTTTGAGATGGCTTTTCCAGATGAGAAAGGTTTTTGAAAGAAAAGGAGAATAAAAGCACTCCTAAAAGTAAAGAATATTTTTTTAAAAAGCAATAAATACAAGATAAATATGTCACAAATCATACAAGTTGTCAAATTACTTTTCATCAGCCTGATCATTTGGACCATTGACATATTATCTCATTGAAAAATCTGCTGGTAGTGAGTGGAATATATGAGAAAATAAAACAAACTAAAACTAACAATTCTGACAGTGGCCAAATTGTGATGGATGGATGGTTGGCTTTGAGCATCTCTATCAGTAATGGTACCTATCTGAAGTGGTCTAAACAGATAGAAAATTAATAAATGAATGAAAAACCAGTGAAATGGGAAGCAAAGGACTGCCTGTACTGCGCCATGTAGAAGAACTGCTGTAGCACAAATAGCTAAAAACTGTCATATTTGCTCTGAATGACAGATGCCTGAACACACAGTTTATCCTGGCTTTTCACCTCGGGTAAGTGTAGGTGCCCTGCTCTGGTTAAATGATTTAAAAAGAGCCAAATGGGCCTCCGAACTAGAGCACATAGTATCAGAAATTATACAGATTCATGTATGGAATAAAGAAGGTAAGTCACACCATCTGGATGCCTAACCCCTAAAACTGAAAAAACGTTTTAAGTGAGGAACAAAATAAATTGGAAGTATTCCAATCTCCAAACTAACCAATTAATAATTTCAGAGACATAAAGTACATAAAGGTCCTATTTATGAATCCATCTCATGACAAAAAGGGGACCTGCTTCAGACTGCTTGGGGCCAGATACAAACCAATTTCATTGTATTATCATGATGTTTAATTATTCATATCATTACTTGCAACTTTAATTAGAGGAAAGATTGAACTGAAACTTTTTACGTAACAACATGTAAAGCACTTACCCTAATTTTAGTATGAAGATAAAGTGAACAACGTGAACAACTTTGAGGATGTCGTAGGACTCAAAGATCCCTAAAGCCTTAAGGACCTTCGAGATGACGAGTAAAATAATGTACCTGGTCAACCTAAAGATGGAGAGTAGAGAGCAGAATGCAGTATATTAGATCACACACAGTGAAACAGTAAAGTAAAACTAAATATGCAATAGCATTGATCCACAGCCCTAGACAAAGGACCTGCATTCCCACGGATGATACAGTTTGTCATTTGAGAGTAAACCAGCCTGGAAAGCATCAGCTGAGAGTGAGCACTTTAAAAAAATTAGGTTACCTGGAATCTGGGACCTCGACCATTCCCAGCCTCCCTCCTGACAGAACGTTGCTACTGTATTTCTCCTCCATTTTTAAGCCCAAAAGCAAACCTTAATAGTAGTATGTTTCTGATGCGCTCTACATCACTGTGGTCAGAATAGTGACATTAGGCCGCACCCGAAAGTCGCTCAAGCATATAAGTCTTCCCTGTTTCTTGTTCATACCCATTTAGCTAAAATTGTACTCCAATAAATACGTATGTTAAGCTGGCAGCCTGTTTAGCTTGTTAGCCAACTAGTTAGCTCGCTGGCATGCCAGATAGAACATTCTCTAAACTTTCTGGAAGCGTCACGCGATTTTTGTTCATTGTGTATCAAATAAACACACCGAGCCCTCATTTAAAAGGGAGAGAGGGGCATTTTAAATTGAAAAGGCTACAATAAACGCTAAAGTTCACAATGATAGAGCATAAAACATCCAAGCTGTTCATAGAGCCACGACACTTCCGGACACGATCAACACTCCACGTCACGCGAGACGTTTCATGAGCTTCAGTGTTGCGTGTTTCGGGGCATGCGCAAGGACTCGCGCAGTCACATTGGATCATAACTCGGGATGTATTTATCTATAAGGTGGAAATCGCTCTGTCACCACTGCACAAACCTGGTTAAAGTCGTTTAAATATATTTGATAATTGGGGAGATATCAGATTAAATGGGATCACATGTTCAATATCTGAGATACCGTGGAATGTATGGTTTGGTACACAATCCCTGAAATTTTAAATATGCAAATGATTTTTATGCACTTTGTGACTGCAGAAAACGTCCAGAGAAGGAATTTGAATTGAATTTGTCAAATTTGTATTTTTCTTTTAATCATGTCATGAAAGAATAAGATAGAAAAGAATAGAAAATAATTTTATACCATTCAATATTATATCAGATATACAGTAAATAAGTATTTGAACACCTTGCTATTTTGCTAGTTCTCCCACTTAGATGAGTCTGAAGTTGTCATCATGTCCACTGTGAGAGACATAATCTAAAAACATCCAAAAATCAGAATGTATGGTTTTTTAGCAATTTATTAGTATGATACAGCTGCAAATAAGTATTTGAACACCTGAGAAAACCAATGTTAATATTTGGTAAGGTAACGTTTGTTTGCAATTACGGATGTCAAGGATTTCCTGTAGTTTTTCACCTGATTTGCAGTGTGTGCAGGAGGGATTCTGGCCAACTCCTCTACACAGATCTTCTCTAGATCATTCAGGTTTCTGGGCTGTCGCTGAGAAACACAGAGCTTGAGCTCCCTCCAAAGATTCCCTATTGGGTTTAGGTCTGGAGACTGGCGAGGCCACCCCAGAACCTTGAAATGCTTCTTACAAAGCCACTCCTTGGTTATCCTGGCTGTGTGCTTCAGGTCATTGTCATGTTGGACGACCCTGCCTCGACCCATCTTCCATGCTCTAACTGATGGATGGAGGTTGTTCCCCAAAATCTCACAATACATGGCCCCAGTCATCCTTTCCTTAATACAGTGCAGTTGCCCTGTCCCATGTGCAGAAAAACACCCCCAAAGCATGATGCTACCACCCCCATGCTTCACAGTAGGGATGGTGTTCTTGGGATGGTACTCATCATTCTTCTTCCTCCAAACACGGTAAGTGGAATTATGACCAAAAAGTTCTATTTTGGTCTCATCTGACCACATGACTTTTTTCCATGACTCTTCTGGATCATCCAAATGGTCATTGGCAAACTTAAGACGGGGCTTGACATGTGCTGGTTTAAGCGGGGGGAACCTTCTGTGCCATACATGATTTCAAACCATGACGTCTTAGTGTAGTACCAACAGTAACCTTGGAAATGGTGGTCCCTGGTCTTTTCAGGTCATTGACCAGCTCCCCCCCATGTAGTTCTGGGCTGATTTCTCACCTTTCTTGGGATCATTGAGACCCCACGAGGTGAGATCTTGCATGGAGCCCCAGTCCGAGGGAGATTGACAGTCACGTTTAGCGTATTCCATTTTCTAACGATTGCTCCAACAGTGGTAATATGTTCACCCAGCTGCTTGGCAATTTCCCTGCAGCCCTTTCCAGCTTTGTGGAGGTGTACAATTGTGTCTCTAGTGTCTTTGGACAGCTCTTTGGTCTTGGCCATGTTAGTAGTTGGATTCTTACTGAGTGTATGGGATGTACAGGTGACTTTATGCAGCTGACCTCAAACAGGTGCATCTAATTTAGGATGATAAATGGAGTGGAGATGGACATTTTGAAGGCAGATTAAGAGGTCTTTGAGGGTCAGAATTCCAGCTAAAGGACAGATGTTCAAATACTTATTTGGTGCTGTATAATACAAATAGTTAAATCATATATTGTCATTTTTGGATTACATTTTTTTTTATTATATCTCTCTCAGTGGACATGCACCTACGATGACAATATCAGACTCCTCCATGATTTCAAAGTGGGAGTGCTCTCAAAATAGCAAGGTGTTAAAACACCTATTTTCCTCTGTGTATCTTTAAAGAACCATTTTTTTTAATGGTTTATGTTGATATAGCCAGAGGGGGGAAATTGGTAATCATCCAAAATCAAACAGCCATAAAGGATACAAAGTGATGATTTGGTTTTAAAACCTAAGGTTTGAATTTCTGTTTGGTTAATGTTGCAAGCCGAATGCAACGTTGGCTTATCTTTCTTTTATAACTTCCCCTATACAGTTTAGCAGCTGAGTAAGTTAAAGCAAAACTTTTTTTTTTTTTTTTTATTATACATGAGACCATGTCTACTTCCAAAACCTGTTTCAGAAGATTAAGTGAGAGTTTGTCTTCTTCAAAAAACCAAAAAAAGATTTTATGTTCTTTGGGATAATTGCTTTATTGGAACATGGACTCAAGGCAAAATTACTTATTTTCTTGTTGCAAATGAGATTGGAAATAAGATTCAGAACAGTACGATTTAGTAAGGGCCACACAATCCAAGCAAGACTTTCTGATAATGTCCCTTGGTGTCATGCTGCAAAAGACAAAGAATATTGTCATCATAGTTAATTATTTTACATGCTTGTTAAAAAAAAAAAAGTTTAAAACACAGCAGTCGTTCTTTTCTTTTTTACCAGTATGTCTTCGTGTAGGCTATTGTCATACATAGCCCTGTATTCCTCCACAATCTTCTTGAGGTCAACCTCAGAGCGGCTTACCAGGACCCTGATCAGTGTCTTTTCACACGTGCCATGGCCCTGTGGGAGCATAGCACAGTTTTAGACATGCACATACACACTCTATTATAAAAAAATACAATAAGCCACATTTAATGTATGTTTTGAAACAAAAGTAGGCTGGAAAAAAATGACAAATTAGAGTTTATTGTATGTGTGTATAAAAACATACATGAGTTTCTTTGTTGGCATTATGAAAAAAGAAAGAAACAAAAATCTGTCAAATGAGTGTGGTCTTACAAACAAATGAAGTCTTTTTGTATGGTCTGCCTTATTTTACTGTAGACTCAAACAATGGTACATTATTTAGGTAAGTAAAGTGATTTGGGCACTCTCTCAGTACGAGAGAGTACTAAAATCCTGAAACTTCTTACAGCACACAGCATATTTATTTAGATGAAAAAAAAAAAGTGCAGTTAAAAGTTTAATTCAGTGGAAACTTAAAGAGTATGAACATAGTCACGCTTATACACACCTTCATTGCCAGATGGAGCTTCTCGGCAAAGAAAGCCGGTGTGTTCCATGCACATTTGACTAGAATAAGAGGAGGACAAACACACATCAAAGTAATAATATGAAAAAGCTGAATCCAGATGCTGCTCTGTCCAACAGCTGGGTTAGTGTCTTGATGAGTTGCAGGTTTAGACTTAAAGTCTCTAAACTCTGAAATGGTCCGTGATCTCTAGGTATGAAAGATATACCAGACCATAATCCAAATCAGACGATTAGTACCCTCATTATTCAGCTGAAGAGTTGTTTGTTTTTGTTGTTTTTTTTACACGCTTAAGTCCAACTACCACTGCCTTAAAAGCCAAATGCATTAAAGCCATGAATCAAAAAATAAATCCATAAACAAATTGACCATTCCCTGCATTCACTCCTAAGGGCAATTTCCCCAATCTCCAATCAGCCTAACATGCAGGTTTTTGGACTGTGGGAGGAAGCCGGAGAGAACCCACGCAGACACAGGGAGAACATGCAAACTCCACCCAGAAAGGTCCTGGTTCCCCCGGGAACCCAGAACCCTCTCGCTGGGAGGCGACAGTGCTAACCACCACACCACCGTGCCGCCTCCTCATCACCTAACCTTTACTATTAAATTCTTACCAACTACAAAAGCATGTTTTGATCATCAAAACTCCATCTGGACCACTGGAAACCGATACTGGATACATAAAAATAGATACTAAATATAATAGAAATAGAGCGTAATAATTCACTACAATGTTTGTCCGTTTTTTTCATTTTGATCAAATTGAATCTTGTTCTCTCAAAATGAGCCTGCACACATGCTTCTTGAATGTTTTCAGGAAAAACTACTTACCAATATCAATAAGGCAGTCTTCAATGTCACCACTTAGCTGAATTGTCAGGGCTTTAGGTAATGTGATGTCACTGACACAGGCATATTGATGGAATGCTACAAGGAAAAAACAAGTGGGTATTGTGGGGGAAATTAGCAGAAACTAAAATTATTCCAGCTATGAAAGATCTTTATATAAACAGCAGATATGCAGGCAACAAACTAAACGCGTTTATAAGAACTTGTTGTTCAGACTGATGTCTATAATTACAACTAAAAATTGAAACTATAAAGATGATCTGTGAACAAGACCGAGTTCCTTCTGTTGTTCCGTGCTGGGTGTGATATACTGGAAATTTTAGTGATTGTGGTTTTACCTGTTTATCCAGGTCTTTGTTCAGGCTGAGGTACAAGATGACATTTGAATTATTCAGATTTCACAGAGCACTTACTTTTAGTGAGCTGGGGGCCGCTCCGTGTAGTCAGGATGTTAATCAGGGTGGACACATCGACTTTTTTACCTGTCTCACCAGCTTCAAACAGAATCTCAGGACAAAAGAGAGTGGTTAATGTAAATCTTTCTATATGGATCTGAATTAAAAAGAGAAGCCTGTTAATAATTTCATAATTTTGATGTAACCAACAAATAAGATAACATTTGTAACTAGATTTCTATAATTATTTCCACAAGGAAACATCACCAATGATTTGTAAAGCAAGGTTTTGCCCCTAAACAAATAATTCAGATTTTCTTTTGAGACCTAAAAGAAAATAAAAAAATAAAAAGAGGGGGAAAAAACACATTCGTCTAGCCATTACATTTAATCATTCAGATGTCCTTGTTTGTACAACATAGAAAAGGAGATGCGTGTGTACAATACAAACCAGCTGTCCTCTAACTTAAAACCTAACAAAGGGCCATGAGGTTGAAATGACTTTTGGGCTAACTGACAGTAAGAAAAATAAAGGCTGGCTGTTGGTTTTACCTCTGCGTCTTTACGGGCTAGATCCAAATCTATATCTTTGCTCTCATCCTTATTTGCCTTCAGCATGGCCAGGAGGGCCTGGGTAAAGTCCCCGCTGGTGTCATCTTTAACATCCTGCTCCAGGTCTTCTTTATACTCTGTGGTAAAAATGAAGAGAAAACTAAATAAGATTTCCAACAGAATCACAATGCACTACTTAAACTTTTGTGAAGACATAAGTGTCAATTTAGTAGCGTTCCACTGGTGGAGGCACTAAAGACTGTCAGCCGACATTCCTAAGACGTTATGCAAAACTTGAAAATCTTTCAAGAACGGAGCACACCATGAAGAACAAATAACAGAGTGGCTGTTCTGAAAACCTTCTTTGAAGACCCTTTTGATCTCTTCAATCTCCTTGTTTGATCGCGTTGCCAGAATCTCCACAAGGACAGCCTCATCTGTGCCCAGACCCTGTTGGAAAAGTGGAAATGATTGTTTTTAAACTGTAAAATATACTAGAATTTGTACAACTGATGACACTTAAGGCTGCAGTAAAGTGGAACTTTGCACTTTATGTAAATTATGAGACAAATTTCTGACTGGAAAGTTAGGATTTTTAAGGTAAATCTGGATAAGTTACAGTAAGTCTGACTATTACCAGACCAATCCCACCAACAAAGCAGCCACGAAGGCAGACAAATATGATTAAGGCATTTTCAATTCATATGTATGAGTCTAAGAAGTAAAACAGGTTGTATAAGTCTCAAATTGGCTTGACCCTTTAAAGCCTGATCCAAGAAAAATAGGAAGAATATTGGATTTTTTTAGTCTGAAGTCTTTCTTTAGCCCTCCAACAAAATATGAAGATTTTTTTTTTTTTTTAATAAAAAATAAATATATTTTGGTGTAGTCTACTGGCTGTTATCAGGTATATCTGAATGTGTAAAACAGGGGTTTGAGCAAAGCTTTTACCATTGAATGATGCAAAAAGTCTCAGATCCAAAAGACTTCAGAAACCGTATCTATCAAATATGATACATTTGGGGTGTCCAATTGTTTGACATTACAGATGGCCTACAAACCACTATAATTTACCTTTGTGGCTTTCTTAAGCAGGTAAGCATCAAACTGTGCCGGCATCATTAGCAAAGCCAGAGACACGTCCTCCAAGTCTGACCTGAGAGCTGACTTCAGATCTTCATCCAGCCTCTGTAACACACAGCAAACGGACTCAAATCATTCCGGTCGAACAACGCTTTAAAATCAATCTTGAAATGAAAATGGATGTAATTTCTTCAAGTAAGGTGAACAATCAAAACCAAAAAAGAAACTCTGAAGGGAGACCATCTACTGCCCAGTCTAGGAAACCATCTCCTTTAGCTGAGCCCCTCTTTGTAAAGATTGGAGAACTGACATGTGCTCTCCATAGTGATTCAATTCAATTTTATTTATATAGCGCCACATCACAACAACAGTTGTCTCACAGCGCTTTCCAAACAGACCAGGTCAGACTCTACTCTGAAGTTAATTACAGAAACCCAACAATTCCCACCATGAGCAAGCACTAGGCGACACAGGCAAGGAAAAACTTCCTTTTAACAGTGATGGCTTGCATTGATGAGAGATAGTCAGGGAAAGCCAACTGGCTGAAGCTGAGAGAAGCCATTCCCATTGTACACAGCAGAGTGTGTAAGTTAATGACACATGCAATGGAGTCAGCTCGTGATTTCACCTCACGGGCACGCCCGTGCTGGTTCTATGTGAATCGAGGGAGTGCCAGGCTGTTCTCATGGGAGACAAAAAAAAAAAAAAAAAAAAAATGATTGAAATTGGGCAAGGGATTTTAAGAAATATAGTCCTTCAAACTAAGCCATGTTGTATGCTTTAGGGAGACACCAGCCAAGCTCAAAACGGCTGAGTGATAGAGTGGTTTCTGTGGGGCGGGGGTCTCTGTCTCCTTCCATTTCTCCTTTACCGTTCCAATCGGTGACATGGATCACAGAAAGATGCATTTTTGTATGAGTTTGAATGTAAATTTGGCGATCGGTGTCTCAGGACTTATTACTTCTGTGCACTGAGGCGTGTGGGGAAACAAACAGAAACATTTGTAATCACTGTGACTGAAGGAGCACAGAGAGCTTCCACTTCCAACATTTATCAGCAAAGCATTCTGGGAACTGGAGTGCTTGTTACTATGCTATCTTTGGTAGTTTATCACTAAAATAAACAAAGATAAAAACATGAAACATCACAATTGTAAAGCTGTTATTTTAATGCAACATTTAATATTCTTTAATTAAGTAAAACAATACCCCTAATGGGGTCTTGACATAGAACAAAATCGCAAGCAAAAAAAGAACCATTAAGGTCAACAATTTATGAGTTTATATTTGAAAGAAATCGAGACTAAGCAAAGGAATTACAGCTTAATTTTCAGCAGCTCTGGATAAGAGAACTTCTGATGGCAATTTCACCTAATTTGTTTTGCAAATCTGTAATTTCCCATAACAACGGAGGGCAAATGGATTAATGGCTTTTCATTAACAGTTCTCTGGGGATCAGTTTCCACTTTTTGGTTTGTATTCTCAGAGTGGCATCATCCGAAAGATCTTACTCACCCTCCCTGTGGACGCTTCATAAACTGCTTTGATCTTTTGCCTCTGCTCGTTGCTTCTCTTCACCAGAACAGCTACGATCACATCTTCCTCCACCCCTGTCAAAGACATCCTGAACTTAACCTCATTTTTGCTTTAAAGGCACCAGAAAAATATGGAATCTTGATGGGTAGCTCGTATTAGTATCAATCTCACAGTCATTTAAGTGTGTGTGTGATGGCGGGGTATGTCTTTACCTTAAAACTTTGCTTTCACCGTTTATTTATTTATTTTTTTACAAACACAAGCTCACTGACCTTTACTTTTAATGGCGCTCTCAAGTACTGAAGCATCAGCGCTGGCATTGAAGTCAGGATACGGAGTGACGGTTCCATAATACTTGGGTTTCGGCTTATTCTTCACCTTCATAAACAACAAGAGTTTTTAGAAGATTTCTTTTCATCAACCTAAAAACGGATGGTCTCATACTCACAGAGACTGTGTCATCTTGTGGGTCCGTGTCACGAACTATGTTCTTAAAAAACCTCCTGAACAAAGACATTGTAACTGGAAACACACAATGAGACGGGTGAGATTTTACAGGAAAGCAAGAGACACAAGCAGCTTATTTAGAGAAAGAAAAGGCCATGAATTAGAGATAAATTCATCTGGATGCAAACAGAAACTGGCTTAAGGAAGTTCTGAGTGAAAAGCTAATCAGATAACGAGACAGGTGAAACCAATCAAGACAGGAAGATGAGGCAAGCAAAAAGTAAATCAACAACAACAAAAAAAAAATATATATATATATATATATATATATGTACATATGTAACATATATAAACTACAGAATAAAAATCACCTTTGCTGCTGAATGTCCTCACCCCTGTGTTCACCTCCCAGTTGAATGCAGTGTCTGTATCACTCTCCACCCACCTCAACTACATGATTTTCAGGTAGTGTAACTTTAATCGACCGCCTCCTCAGACAACATTCCTGCAAGGCGACGGACAAAAGGCTCCACACCTCCGACAGGTCGAGTGACTCTTCCGTTCAGACAGACTCAGCTCTTTATCAAAAAAGGTTGTCATTTCCTGACACATTTAGAGAATAACTATAAAACAAAAGATCAGAGTTGACATTAGCCTCTGTTTTAGCGGAGCCGGGGGAACATCCTGTAACTTTTGTTTGTTTTTGGACGCTAACATAAATGAACCAGATGTTCTGCATTTGCTTTCCAGACTCAGGTTCTACTGCACTAATGTTGCCTGTTAAAGTGTGTTTCCAGGTAATATCCACCAGAATAGTGGGACGGAATGATTGCACAAACAGGCAGTGGGATTCCAGTGAGAAAGAGAGCCAGTAGAAAGGAAAATAGAGTGAGAGAAGACAGTATGCAGCACAAAAAAATAGTGATTCCAGGGAATAAAAGGAAAATAAATGGGACTAAGTTGATGTACACTTAAGCAAGAAAAGAGGGCAGAAAGTTAATGAGGGAGAGGAATGGAAAGGACGTGTGTTGGTAGACACTGCAGCACAATATTTAACACTGGATGCTAAGGATTCTATTCCTGTTATGGGGTTTTCGGGAGATTTGAAAGTATTTATCCTCTGAAACCTGTTATGGAAGGCCAAACCTTCTTGGCCTCTCCTTAATATCCAGTGAATCAGGTGGGGCAGAGATATTTTTGTGGAACATGGAGCAACCATATTGTGCTCACCTAATGGGAGTAAAGCAACTTTTACTAGTGGGTTCATCACAACCTGTTCCTCCTCATCATCTTTTCAGTCCCATTAGATAGTGTTGGCTCGTAACAAAGATCCCAGCCTGCGGGTTTTAGTGGACATTTACTGGGTACTTTTAGAGCCACAGACACCAGAGAAGGGAGGAGTGTGCTCCCTGTCCCAGCTGTGGAAAACATGGTTCAGTCTCTTTCATCTTTACCTGCTTACCCTTTCCATGTTACACTAAATCAGGATCATGAGGGGGACTTAGTGTATCAAGAGGCATTCCATGATCCTATACAGGGGGTATATAGAGGGGGTGACAACAAGCAACTTGCTTGTTGTCAACTGGGACATGCTCCAGGCCCACTGTTACCCTGTTGGGAATAAGCAGCATAGAAAAAAATGGATGGATCTGATATGAATCATTTGCCCTATTTTAAATTGCACACAGGGTCCAGATTATTGGAAAAATCATTGAACCCCATTTTCATTCACGGCAGACATTTTAAACCTTTTTGGGGGAATATTCTAGCAAATGTATGTTCATCGTGGAAAGACTCAATAATATTGAAGATGTCCCACAATAAACTTTAAACACACATTTACTACATTTTGTTTATTGAAGTTTAAACACAAATATCTTCTGACATGATATTTAGGATTGAGATGTGGACAACCTTTGTGGTGTTTAATTTTAATCAATTCAAACAGGGTGAGGTATTTTACAAAACCATTAAAAACATCTTTGGAAAATGTATTTCATTGCTCGACTGAGTATTTGACATAAGAACAAAATTAATCTGGGAAACCAATATTGACATAATGTCCACTTACAACCTGTGGAAAAGAGATCACTCTTTGTTATCTACAGATATCTGAGAAATCAGTAAACTTGTCAAACTCCAAAACATCAGTGACATTGGTGGAAGGACAGTCAAAGAACTGGACTTAAAGATTCATTTTCACTCCAGAATTTAGCCACATTCATGTGACAAATTGAATATGTGCAGTATTTGCATTCTTGTGAACAAAGTTTTCAGGCATTTTCCCACACAGCAATTAAAAAAACATTTTTTTACAGTGTAATTTCTTTTCAACATGACTTTGTATAACTGCACAGAGGTCTGGTGGTTAGCACCGTTACTCACAGCACGAGGGTTTCTGGTTCAAATCCCAGGGTGCTGGGGGCACTTTGGTATGAAGTCTGAGTGGGTTTCATAGGGGCATTCTGACTTTTTTTATAGGCCTACTGTCTAAAAACATGCATATTAGGTTAATCCAACAGTCTAAAATTGGTCTTTGGAGTGTGTGTGTGGTTGGTTGTCTTTGTGTTCACCTGCAATGAACTGATGACTATGTACTGTTCCCATTGCCCTTTGTCAACTGGGATAGGCTCCACCCCC